GGGGGGGGCGGCGGGCAGGATCCGGGTCGACCTATACGTAGGTAGCGTTTCAGTAAGAATTTGATACCTTTTAATTGCCAAGGGTCCTTCTCTGCCCATCTTCTATCTGTGATCAATGAGAGGAAAGAGGTAATAGGTCTTTGAAAAATTCTTCTCGCCCAAGAGAGTTGATTTAGCAGCCATAGGCTCCAACTTGGTACTACTGCATAGAGGTACTTTAAACCAATCCCTGGTAGTAACTAAAACCCATGAAGTGCTTTTGTATAGTCGTAGAGAGTATCAAAATACATAGGTTGGGTATTATTATCTTCTACTTCGTTAATCATTATGCATCTCTCGTTGCGTCTGCTGCAATGGCGTCTTCTGGTCCCGTGCCCAGGGCTTCAACACCAACCTCTTCCACCCCACCCTTCCCCCGTCCTCCTAGCAGCTCCCAGTCCCTGGTTTCCCAATCTAACCATGCCCTGAGACTCTCGTCCCAATATGAAGCTTGTCTCGAAGCTTGGCGCTGCCCTTCTTCGGCTCCCCATCCTCCTCATCCATCTGCTGTTTCAACTCGAGAAACCTCTTCTCCCTCTCCACACTCTCACTCTTCTCGCGTTCTTGTTCCTCCCGCCTAGCGACTTCCTTAGGGGATATAACTTTATCACTGCCGTGCATAATTCTATGAACGAGTGACTTTGCTCGTCGACGGCCTGCTATGTAGGTTTCTAGTCCAACAAGAATCGCATAAGAACGAGATATTGAGACGTGGCTCATGTCGGCTCCAGCGTCATTTAAGGAATTGACAAAAGCCCTAAAGTTCTTGACTACATGACAATTAACAACAGTAACCGAAAAGGTTTGGAGCAAAAAATACCTGGTGGTCGATAATGCCCACTGAGGGGGCTCAGCTTTGTAATTCGCCCATTCTTGATCTTGATTAAACCAGCGGCTGATATTCGAGATCCATGGAGGAAGCTTGAGTGCTGGAAAGCGCCGCTCTGCTTGATCCCGACATAGAGGCGGAAGCTCGTGTCTGCTACAAATATCCAGGTATTTTTCTTGACGGTTCCCCGAAGGAGTTTATTGAGGATGGTGGCTGCCGAGACCTGCCTGACCTTTTTGATTCCCACTGCGTGATCAAGTTCCGTATTAGCATACCTCTTAGCATCACCCTCGCCATCTGTCTCCCGTCCGTGATCTGTTGAGCCACTGGAGATTGACGATGTGTCGGAGGATGTATCCCGAAGCTCAGGTACTGCTTTTGCTGTAACGGGTGCATAAGCAGGCGTGGGATCTGTGTTTGGGACGATGCCGTGGATACTGTCTTTAAATTTATCAGTTGTATCGATACGAGCACCATTCTTCACCCAACATAGCCGGCCTTCGTTATCGATCTTCACCAAGTAATTCAACCGCTCTTCCTTGGACAAGTATCGAACCTGCTCTCGGTCCAACTTCTCCCTTGAGCACGCCTGGCAATCTATGAATCGCCCCTCGCCATAATCCAACCAGTAGAAGAATGATTCCTGTGTGTCTGACTTCTTCCACTCTTCGTGATATACCCTCAAGTTACTCCCATATCGATGCTTAAGGTCGACCATCTCCAGGAAATACTGCAGGTCCATTAGCTTCGCGGCCTTCTGTCTCCGCAGCTTCTCCTCCATACGACGTTTTCGGCGTATCTCCCTTTCCTCCTCCGGTGCACTCTGATCATCCTCGCTGTTGGTATCCGATTCCTCATCGCCCCCGGCTCTTCTCGTAATGAGACCGACCTTCTTCCACTTCTGCCTAGCAAGACTGTTGGATCTCCCGGGCCCCGCCCCAGGACCGCCATCAGGACCACCTTCCCCCATACTCGCCCTGGCTTGCGGCTCTGTCATCTGTCGATACCTCGCCTCTTTAACCGCCTCCGCCCACCTCGTGCTCGGGTCTAGCGTCTTGCCTTGCAAAATCCGCCTTTCCCTATGCCCCCTATAGTTCCTCTGGATGACCGCCGCCGCCTTCCTCCTCCTCTCCTCCTCGGACAACTGCGGACGATCCACACTTAGCCTCCTCATGATGGCCGCCTCTTCCTTATGCTCCTGCGCCGTCGCAATCTGCTGCAGCACCTCCTGGGTTGGAGGCACTAGGCTATCCAGGTACTCCTTATGGCTCCGCGTGGAGGTAGTGGAATCCCTAGTTCCAACCGAGACGTTCGAGTCATGTTTGGCATGATGGGACGTCCTACGGGTCCGCGGCTCATGGATGCCGGTATCCAGTGCGGAGGGCGGCACCATGATGCGGCTTGCCGATGTCAAAAAGATAACAGTTGAGCCTTGGTGGGGAATTATGACCTGCAGATGTCGATCAAGGGCACAGCGTTGCCGAGTCTCTGCAGCTCAGGCCTCAAACCTTGAATGTCGCAAGATGCTTGAGAGTTATCCCGCGAGCAGCTAATAACTGGGTTCACGGTGGAAGTGGAGTTGGAGCCTTGGGTTATGCTCCTGGGGTATGGAGATCATTGCGTCAGAGGCTCCGTGCTTCTTGAGTAGGGTAGAAAAATAAGCACCCGGGCGTTCCTTGTGATACAGTCAATACCTGTATCCCTGTGCCCCGGTGGGTGGATGATATATAGATTTTGGGATTCATGAACAATCGGAGGACCCCTGGTATAGTACGCGCCTTGATTGAGCCCCTGGCAAGACACATTTCTCGCTTAGGTGTGGCTTTGACGGAATGTACCCTGAAGACCTGAACCCAGCCACCATCGACACCCCGACGGTGGCTCAGATTGAGGCTGTTCCGGTTATCCTGAGTGTAGGTTCTGAGTAGTATCTTCCCTGACAATTACAGAATCCATGTGAACAAGAACTATCATAGTACTCTATAGGCATGCGCATTCTTTGTACAACGAGTGTAGGGAAGGTATGTACAAGTAACAAACAACATAACACCATGTCAAAATGCCGCCAGCTTGTTCTAATAACAACGCCGTCCCATGCTGCCATGCTTTTCTTTACCATCCAAAGACATCCTGGTTGCGTTGAAGGGTAGTCTATTAATGCCCGTATGCATGGGCCCAATCCCCCCTGAAGGTAATTATAAAGACCCTCACCGGATCGTAATCGTCGTATAATCCATTAGAACTCATGTGAACCCCGTATCCTGAAATGAACAACTTGCACACCCATCTCCCCTTCACCTTTTCACTTAATCCACGCGCTTCCCGGGGCCATGGCCATTGGCAGATCCATTTGCGGTCTTGAGTCTGTCCTGATTGGCTTTTTGTTGACTTGTTGGGATCGTCAAACAGTTGATGCCCAAGTATTCGCAGATGCTGTTGATGACAAGGAATGCCCATCTGAAATAGACAATCACAGCGAAGACAAGGTACGCCCAGAGGTACCACAGCTCAACAGAGGCGCTAACTCCTGGGAGACCAATCCGAGGTAGGTTTGAAAGAACTGCTCCACCGACAAGGGGTGTGAGCATAACCGTCCAGTATGGGAATGGCTGGCGGGTAAGATGCGCCAGAATAATTTTGGTAGTCATCCTGCCAAAAACAAAGGACATGGTGACACAGAAGAGGACCAGATGGTTGTCAGCCATAAGAGCGGAGTAGGGTGAGAAGAGCCATGCTGCTATGGCAAAGGTGAACACAACTATAGGCGTCCACTCCATGAAGACTGGTAGAACGGGGAGGTTATTTCTTCTGCGTGCCTTTATCACATTGATAACACAGAAAGGAACATGAATTCCGAAAGTTGAGACTAGAAGGATGGGCACCCAGAGATCTCTCACAGAATAGGGACCAAAGAACTCGTGATATCCCAAGAAGTAGTGATGGCCGACGAGGTCTGTAATACGTCGAGTCCAGATCTCGGGTCCGTAATATCCTGAACAGACCATAATCAAGCAGGCGAGGATAAGACCTTCTGTTGGCCCGTTGAGCACACCAAGGTATAATGTGTGAGTGTGATAAGTTTCCCACGTAGAGAAGAACATAGGCAAGCAGGGAATCAGGGCGGTAAGTATTCCAGCTTGTGATGTACCCAAGCCCATAGCTGCTGTTTCGCACAAGCTGGCGAGTGTGCAGTTAAGAGAATCAATACCATGGTCAAAGAGTTCCCCAAGGCCACTGGATGTGCCAGTCCTCCGCGCTTGTTTGCCGTCCACATTATCCATAGTTGAATACATCCAAAGACCAAAGGCAAAGCTGTAGTACAACCACGACGGGCCCTAGTGGATCACGAAGAATCAGCGCAAGTGAGACTTGTATGGACTTCGGCAGAGTGAAACGTACGGGTCCGACCAAGTCTGGCATGAATATCACCAGGAAGGCCACATTTGTCAGGATGAAGCAGAATCCTATCAGCGTCACCATATTCGGAGCAACCCATAATGGCAGCAGTTCGACAAAGGCATTCCACTATAATACTCGTCAGGACGTGTCTTCCCATTGCATATGCTCTCAATGGACGCGTACGTAGTGCTTGAGGATATAGTTTGAAATAAAGGATTTGTCGACGCTCGAGTACTTGTAGGACCTCAGATGGACAAGGGCCTCCTCCGACACACACTCGTGTGCAGCCTCCTCTAGAAATCCAGGGCGCGGTTAGCAGGAGAGCAGTATATAGGGGACAGGATGGACTTGCTTTTGCTGGGCGCCATAGGAGACTTGGGTGTGGTGACCGGAGGAGGGAGCAGAGGTTCCTTCTGAACCGGGAGGATATCGAGGGACCGAATTTTGAATCGAGGCAGCCGGAGTGCGCTCCGACCTGGCGACAGTGGGATAGTAGGGGACAGGACTTATAGGTAATTAAATAAGCAGTTAAAAGGGCTACTTGGGGCTATCGCGACATAGCGGTGCGGTGCGGTGCGGTGTGAGGTGGGACGTGGAAATGGGGGATGGACGAGAGACGAGGGACGAGTGACAGTTAAGGTGAAGAAATTAGTGGTTCAGGGCCGGTTAGTCTGGCTGAGCTGCTGCGTAGTCCCGTCACCTCCCGTGGTAAGCGTTCAGGGTCGTCGTCAAATGGTCGAATCTCATCGCGCTCTGCTATTGACCCCGGCAGGATTCCGTCATGGTGTAATAATAGGAATAGGAACAGTACTTATAAGTCTTGAACCCTCTGCTGACATCCTTGTTGGTTATGATAATCTATACATAGAGGGTGGGCTGAAACACCATCAACTACAACTCAACACATGGGCATGGCTATTGGACAATCTCGTTCTTCAATTGCCACTCGACACTCAATGCAACACTCAATGGTAACGCCGCCTCGCAGGTACGCATGGTCCCGAGATCGGATCCCAATTCATTATCAATTAAGGTGCCATGTGCTTACTCTCTCCGCTTTATCTCCAGTTTATTTGCGCAGGACGCCCCCATGTCAAGAAAGAAAACACGCCGGTAGACAGAGCTACAGAGCACAAAGCAACGACAAATCATTCCCCAGATCGCTAAACCCGCACCAACAATCAACAATCACAGCCAGATCAGATCCATGATGGCCGAGTTTCTGACCCGACCGAAGCCTTCATCGCGAGTCAGCTCTACATGACCAAGGCGAATCCGGCGAAAAGACCAGCGAAGACAACAGCAAGGCCATAGCTGCGTCCAAGGTCCAAGGCCGCTTGAGAGCCGCTCTTCTTGCTGTCGCTCGTAGAGGAAGAAGTAGAGGACGAGGATGAAGCGGATGAAGTGGCGGCGGCGCCTCCAAGACCTGTAAAGCGGACGCCATCACTGCCACTGCTTGCAGCTGCAGATCCCGACGCAGATCCGGAAGTTGACGATGCAGTACTGGAGGAAGTAGTGCTTGTAGCATTAATTCTGGTTGGGTCCTGGGCTCCGCATGGGTGGTCAACTCTGCACGAGGTCTGGCAGGCCGAGTTGCCGTTGCATCCTGCAACGCATTGGTTTCCGTACTCCGTGCATTCGAAGTATGGGATTGTCTGTGAGTAATTGGCAGCGTTGGGCGCTAGACCGTTGCCGCAGATACATTCATAGTTGAGGCTGGCCTGTCAACAAGTCAGCATCAGGTGCGAGGGTGAAGGTTCACGGGATCCACTCACTGGGTCACAGCTGTTTGACTCGGTGGTAGACGATTGTCCCGAAAGCTGGAGGCAGAGCAATGGGCAAGAGGCGATTTGTGACTGGCACCATGATGCTGTCAAGTGTCAACCGGAGACCTAGCGGACCAGGGGAAAGATAACATACTACGAGTGGAGAGGGGCACACTGTTGGGATCGATATAGTACGTGTATTGAGCCTGGGCACCGAGGGACAGGACGGCAGCCGCTACGAGAGCCGCAGAGGTCTTGAACGAAACCATGTTGGCGGAATTGGGTATTGACGGGAAGGGAGTCGGTGGAGAGGTGAGATAGAGCTCTTGGAGTCTTGGGCCTTTTAACTGAATCACCACGGGCTAAGTCAGTGGATTTCTCAGCAAGAAAGAAGGCAATGCCCTATGGGGACTGCGGAAGCGCGGGAAGCGCGGGAAGCGTCGCGGTGAAGGAGACCCGGGACAAATGGATGTACCTCTCAGAAAAACGGCGCAGATAGATAGATGGTGATGAGAACGAACGAAGGGATTCTCAACGATCGATCACTTGTAGCAGAAAGGCAAAGCGAGCGTGAGTCGACTGCGGAAGGGAAGCAGCAGAGATATAGAGGAGGAGAAGGAGTGAGGCGTGATTCTTCTTTCTTCTTTCTTCTTATATTATGTATTATTATTATTATTATTACGGCGTACGATCCCCAGAGAGGTGTCTGGGCTCAATCAAGAGCACTCGACCGAATACGGCCATAGCGGCCATTCCTAGCCCGAAGCAGACAAGCGCACCGCACGCGAGCCAACCACGGAGGTTTGCGCTATCCCGGCGCTGCGCTTTGGCGATTCAAGTGCGCCGGTCTATCGAGTTTTGGCCTCCAGATCCCCATCTTTAGCAACGGTGCACATGCGGATGCTTCGTATTTGATTGTTGTGCTGCATCAAGTGCCACGGAGTACGAGCCCCCTCACCGACGATATGCTTCCTTGACCCCGAATTCCATTTGCCACCGCGTGTTGGAACATCTTCACGAAGTACTATACTGTGCGGGCTTTGGGTGGGGACGCAGCATAGATAGAAGAGGGTGGAAAGGGGAGGCTGAAAACAGCAGAAATACTTCTCGAATCCCTCCAATAACGCGCGCCACAACCCTTGGCTTCCTGGCTTCCCGCAACAACCTCAACTCCAGAGAACCCCGCCTCCCCAAGGAATTCTGCGAGCCATCGCAGCCATTCGCAAATGGATGGAGGAGCCGGCTCCAACCTCACGACCCAGCGATGACAGCATGACCGGCGATGCTGCCGGTACAACCAAACTCGGCATCGACACGGCCACGCCACCCTCCGAGCAGCAACAACCTGCCCCCACTCCTCGCCCAACATCGCCAGTGACAACCCCGCCATATTGGTCGCATCAAAGATCCTTCTCTAGTATCTCGGTCGATACGATCGCGCCTGGCGCTATAACTCTGCAAGACAACGACAACGGGGAGGATGCAAAGAACAAGGCGTGCTGGGCAAAGAGCGTATCTATTGAGGATTATGTTGTCGTAAATGGAAGTAGGACAGGCATTGGGGCGTTTGTTGTCTGGAACATCAATGTAGAAACACTGCACGTAAGTCGAGAGAGAGCCCTTGAAAGGGGCTGGAGATTCCCTGTCTAGCTACCTCAAGTTACTTTGTCGTTGCTGACCAGTTACGTCGAACAGGGCGGATCTTTTCGAATTCGAAAGCGCTTCTCAGAGTTCGACGATCTCCGTAATAAGCTGCTCCAAACCTTTCCCAATTCCGTGGCTGCTATGCCACCTCTACCGCCAAAGAGCGTTATATCAAAATTCCGGCCCAGATTTCTGGAAGATCGCCGGGTGGGCTTGCAGTACTTCCTTAAGTGAGTACAAGGAGCATTCAGCCGTCGACTCAATGCTAATCCCCACAGTTGCATACTGCTAAATCCCGAGTTCTCTGGGTCGCCGGTTCTCAAAGAGTTCCTTTTCGAGTCCTAGTTTCCAAAGCCCTATTGGATATTGGGAGATGCTGTCAGGATAAGTTCTGTACATACCATGTAGGATAAGCTGGTGTGCTGTTTACTTTCTCATTCCTATACTCTGTATTACTGGAAGGAGACGCGATGACGAAACGTGTATATGGATTGTAATCATTTGGTCTTATTGCTTTAGGTATCATGCATGTCCTTAAGTTGATTGATTGACAGGTTGTTTACTCAATCTTCAAGAATAGGTAGCTAGTTACGGTCTTACATTTGCACCTTTCAAGGTAAGGCCGGTAAGTCAAGTTCCAACAGGTAGGTAAACAAACCCCTAGGGATAGACATAGGTAACAGGTACAGTACGCCTGATGGGATTCCGGGGATAGTTTCAATGATTCAGGAGACTTTGAGCGGTTCTCTTTATAGGAGAGCCGGCTTGGATAACCGAGTCATTGCTAGTAATGAATCAAGTTAGGATGAACTGTCAAGATAAGACAGCCCTTTCACCGTTTCACTTCTCTAGGAGACATGCTAGTTCCTTCAGGTAAGGTTAGAACCGTTAGATAGACATGTCTAAGGTACGGAGAACCTAGACACTACTAACCTATACCTCCGTATACCTCCGTAAGGTACCTAGGTACTCCTTGGGAGACGATGCACGTGATCTCCAACATGCGACATGCATCACGTGCTGATAACGATATGGATTACAGCTCGATGATACCATCCTCCCCACCTCCAAGGAGAAACAGAGAGAAACAGAGAGGCTCTTCGGCATAGATAGGTAGTTAGTGGTTTGGCACCCCATTTAGTCAGCTACCCCATGGGCCTTTGGCCTGGAACGGTTTATGAATCAATCAATCAATCAATCAATCAATCAATCAATCAATCAATCAATCAGTCAGCTACGGCATGGGCCTTCGGCCTGGACCGGTTTATGAATAAGACAAACAAACAAACCACCCCACCTCCAAGACGTCACCTCTACATCTGATTGCTATATAGAAGACAGTCGAACTGCTCTCCAACCCTCATCCAACATCCCCATTCACCAAGCACCAACGCTCCAAACCCAACAACACCATGGCACTCGCACCCAAATTCGCCGGGCAGAAGTTCTCAGCCGCCAATGCTCCGACGCTGCACACGCTGGAGCTCTACCTCGACTATGTATGCCCGTTCTCCGCCAAGATGTTCAACACCGTATACACATCCGTGTTCCCTCTCATCCGCCAAAAATACGCCTCCAAGGTACAGATTCTATTCCGGCAGCAGGTCCAGCCGTGGCATCCCTCATCGACGCTCGTGCACGAGGCCGGGGTCGCCGTGCTCAAGCTGCAGCCTGCCAAGTTTTGGGATTTCAGCAAGGTAGGTACCTAGATATTTTTATTTATTTTACTTATGAAGCCCCCCCCCCGGGTCCTACCTTATCCATCTATCTATCTATTCCCTCATATCTCCTCAATACCAGCCGCGGGCGCGCAAGAAAAGGGTACAGCTAGCTAATATCTCGAGTTTGAAATGACAAAAAGGCATTATTCGACGACGCCAAATCCTTCTATGACGTGAACGTCGTGAACGAGACGCGAAACAAGACATACGAGCGCCTCGCCAAGCTGGGAGCGAGCGTCGGCATCGACGAGAAGGAGATGCTGAAGCTGCTGTGGATCAGCGATAAGCCGGCCAGCGACGGCAGTCTGAATACCGGGAACGGCGTCACGAATGATCTGAAGGTGCTGGTGAAGATGAATCGCATGCAGGGCATCCACGTCTCGCCCACGGTCGTCTTTGATGGCGTCGTTGAGAATTCTATAAGTTCTAGCTTTACGCCGGAGCAGTGGGAGGATTGGTTGGATAAGAATGTCGCTGCTTGACTACTACCTGAGCGGGAAGAGACGGCGCGGGGGAAACGTAGGGAAAAGCTATGAGACATATCATCTAGAAACGACTTGGAGAGAATGCAATGCGTATTGCTTGCTTGCTCTTAACAATCTGCGCCATTGGGATACAAGATTCAAGTACGCTTGCAAAATTTAGGTATTGCACTTTCAGCCTCCTCTGCCAGGGACCCAAATCATCCGGCAGGTGGGGAAGCCCACCACGGCCAGGGGACCCAGCGGCCCGGCCCAGATGCACGAACAAGCTCCGCTTCAAGTATAACGGGCTCAAGTTGGTCTTATAAACGTATCAGGACTTGACGTAGCCATCTCTCCTCGTACACAGTATCGGTATATAGACACGTATATGTATATTCACACCAATCTTCCATATCCAAAACACAAGACAAGCGGAGGAGAAAATGTATATTCATTGCATAATCGGCCAATGGATCATAATCTCGTCACTCATAAAACCCTCCACGATCCCCTGATACAGCGTATATATGTATATAATCGAATGCCAGAAGCCAAAATGACCCAGATCTAATGCGAACCAACGCTACCTATGCTTGGAACACGCGCACACCAAAATGGTATTCCCAACGCCCGAAAAATGCAGTGAGACCGGAACTCCTTGATTCCCCCCAACCCCCCAAAACGACTGTCCGGTCGTTCGATGGATGCACCTCTATATGTAGAAATGGAGACTAAACAATATACATGTTTGAGAATGAGATATATGAGTCGTGCTGCGGCTGTTGAAGGCCGTGTCATGTAGAAGAGCCTGCTGCGGAATATTTGGCAGGCATAGATCCCCAAGGAGTTGTATCATTACTCTTGGCTACCAAATCCTCGATCTTGGGTATCAATTCTGGCATCCGGAAAGGTTTCGAGACGACATCATCCTATAGGGGGTTAGTTCTAGATAAAACAGGGGGCAAAGTAAAAGAAGGGGGGGGGGGAACTCACCATGCCAGCGGAGATGGCGCTTTCAATCTGCTCCAGGCGAGCATTGGCTGTCACGGCTATTATGGGGACATGCTTGATGATCGTCCCCTCTCCTTCCAGAACTCGGATCGTGCGGGCGCATGTTAGGCCGTCCATGACTGGCATTTCCAGATCCATCAAGATAACTGCAAGCTCTTTGCCATCTTCCTCTCGACCTGCCCAGAGCCGTGAATTCTTGAGGACTTCGAGCGCTTCGCCACCATGATTCGCAACCTCAACATTGAATCCAAGGTTCCGCAACTGCTTTTGAAGGACTCTTTGGTTCACTAAGTTGTCTTCCACGATGAGCACTTTCAATTTACTATAGTCCAGCGTGGAAGCCGAAGGCAGACTTGGAAACGAGGTTGAAGTAAGCGCAGATGTGCGTCTTATCTTTCCAGATGTGTTTGATAATTGAACAGGCTTGCCGGAAGAATTGCGTCTACTTTCGATAGTGAACGAGACTGAGGCATCATTTGTAGAGCTTCTGCGCAAGGAGTTGAGAGACGCGAGGATAGGGGTCTGCTGCGGCATATGCTCGACCCTCCGAGCTTTGATGTAGAAGGCAAAGGTACTGCCAATTCCCCTCTCTGACGAGACACCGATTTCGCCGCCTTGCAATTCCGTGAGCTCTCTAGAGATGAACAATCCCAACCCAGAGCCTCCGTATTGTACATGCGTACGAGGGGACGCCTGACGGAAGCGTTGGAACAGGAGGGCCATTTCACTTTCGTCGAGCCCACGCCCAGTATCTTGAACTGCAAATTTTAGATAAATATTCTCACCTTTACCCCATTCCGCTTCGTCAATGGTCAGATCAGTATGCTTCGAACGGGTTGGGAAGTAGTCGACATCGGAATCAGTGCCATTTGGGGGTGCACTACTCGCGCCAATAGTGACTACAATGGCTCGTTCATCTTGTCCATTGGTAAACTTTATGGCGTTGGTAGTAAGATTTATCAAAACTTGAAGAAGTCGTGAAGGATCAAGCTTGACCCAGTCGATATTCATGTCCAAGTAAGACATCTCCATCCGGAACTCCATAGCGATGTCATTAGAAGCTAGTTCTCCCTCGAACATCTTGAGCGCTCGCTGGACGACGGCAACCTGAGAAATTATCAGTAAGATGTACTAGTACGTGCCCTCAAATCTAGAACTTACCGGCTGCACTGCGACAGGGGTAACAATCAAGAGCGCCGAGTCGAGTTTGGATAGCGTAAGGATGTCATCAACGATGCGTTTCTGTCCCAAGCAAGTTAGCAATCGAAGTACAACGTGTCAAATACGCTTACCTGATGCTGGGCGCAGAGAGAGATGGTTTCTGCAGCATCAATGCTACTGTCCAGCAAATCTGCAATTTTTTGAGACGAGTTCGCCTCCCCATCGCTTGATCGGTATTCAGAGAGTGTTGTGCTAATTTCATCGGCGCACTGCAGGATGGCGGATAGTGGGTTCCGCATCTCGTGTCTATTGAGGTTAGTTAAGAGTTCCAACGCAGCAATTGGAACTTACGAAGTCATGTCAATAAAGTTTTCCTGCTGGCGTTTTAATTCGAAGGCTTCTTCCAGTCGTCGCTTTTGAAAGTCTTCGGCCCATTTTTGCTGTGAAATATTCGTGATACTCCCGAAGACACTCTTAAGTTTTCCGTTCTCGTCCCTCTCAGGGTAAGCACTCATGAGGACCCAAGTATTTCCTCGAGTGCCACTACGATCTTGCCACAAAGTCTTAAAACGAAATTCATGGGTCACAGGGACCCTTTCTTCTACAAGCTTCTTCCAGACAGTGCGCACCTCTTCACGATCTTCGTCGATGATGCTTTCCATCCATGTGCCGGCACTATTGTCTGCTCTGGGGTGTTTGGAGATCTCCCACCAAGCATCGTTACTATATGATATTTCCCCAGAGGAATTCGCAATGAACATCCCGACGGGTGCGAACTCTGTCATGCGTGTAAACTTGGTTTCGCTCTCTACAGCCTCTTGAGTGCGCAAATCGAGCTGTTTCGATAGCTCTTGACGATCCAGGGCAGCCAGACGAGCCGCACGCTGACCCCGACGGATTTGATCCTCGAATAACATCGCACCTTCAATTGAAGTAGTAAGCTGATGACTGAGGAGCTCGACAAATGAGCTATAATCATCATCGTAAGGTCGTCTAGGGTTGACCCCCATGACCTGGAAAATATCTGTTTTAGCATTACCCTACCAGGAGACGACAAGAGTAGTAAAATGGGACTTGTAAAGGTGACGTTCTGACATCAACCTAAAGTAGAAGGAATTTCTCCGAGAAAGTACATACCAGGAAACCAAGTATAGACTCTCCAGTTGTAGAATGAATTGGACGGATGACCGCGGCACGACAAGGAGCAGGCCAGCCTCGCCACTCAAGGCCATCGATAAGATCGTTCGACAAAGTTCCATCTTCAGTCGTTAAAAGCACAGATCCGTCGGTCTTCATCGCCTCTCGAAGGCGAGGTGCAAGCCCCTCATCGCTCGTTTTCAGATCCAGCGGGCTCTCAGTCAATCTGTGACCTTGAGGAACCCCCAGACTGCCTTCGAGTGTACATCGAGGGGCCACTCCCAGCGAACCAGAGCGTATGGAACTCGGTTCATTTCCAGAGGTTTCACTTATGGAATAGAGGAGCACGAAGGGAAGATCGTATACTGAAACTTGGTCAGCACTATAGGCCGCAGGTGAAAAACAGACAATATAATATATACTAGTAAATCTTGACTAATAAACCAGCAGCTTTGGCCCCTATTATTGGCGAGGACCAGCATGAAAGGATATGGCTATCCAATATAACCCGAACGCTTGCTCGGGAATGCAAGCAACCTTCGTATCGGGGCTACGACAAGAGAAATAGGAAATAATAGATATGCAAGCAAAAATTTCCAATGAAAGACGACATACCATTATATTCGAGTCCCTTGATTACCTGATCCCAAACGCCTTTCACTTCACGCGCAGTTGCAGTCCTCACTGAAACTTCCCTCAGAGTTAACATCCTTCGTTCGGCGATTATGCGGTCCGTCCTTTCGAATGCAGGATTGTAAAGCCCAACGACTTTATTCATTGAGTTAGCGCTACTATTTCTTATTTCATAATGGGAAAAGTTTCAAACATGTTCCTTGGCCTAAGGACCCGCCAAACATGTTCATGAAGTACGAAGACAAAGCAATTTACTCAGGGAGTACGAACCTGATCCATCTGCACCCACAAGAGGAGCTATTGCCCAAGTGAAATAAGTCTCTTCTAGTAATCCGTTCCTTTTGAGGAATAGACAATCATCGTCCTTCATGGTTGCCTGACCGAACTGTATGGCGTTGGAAAACACATCCTTGAAAGTATCCCACATTTCGGCCCATGCGAACTTGTAGTTTTGGCCCTATCAACTATCAGCTGTGTCCTTCCCATGCGCAGCTAAGGTAGGCTCCTCAATTTCACGCCATGCTCACCATCATTTTTGGATGCCTTTGTCCTGCCAGTTGTTTATAGGATTCATTATAAATAGAAATATATTCATTGCCCCAATACAGCGCTGCCGGATGCGGACTTCCCATTATGAGATTACACATTGCTCTCAAGTCGGAGGTCCAGGTATCGATTGGACCAAGAGGCGTTGCAGCCCAGTCTATGCTTCGGGCAAATTGGATGTGTTCAGGAAGCGCAGAGGACACACGAAGTCGAGTCCAGTCAAAAGACGAGTCTGCCAATTCCTGGGCATTGATCATTTCATTCGCACTGACGTCACTCTTAGATTCCCGTATAGACTGTCTAGGAGAACTCGCCATGTTCAATTCCTCTGGTGAACTTGAATCAAGCTGCTGTGCAGAGGCATCCAAAGGAGACTTCAGCCGCGCGTCTCCGGAAGAGCTTGAAGGCTCTAGGGGCTCAGAAGGCTCTCTTATCAAAGGGGATTGTGCTGTATTACTTGAAGAATGCCCATAAACACGCTGAGTTGACGGAGTAGACAGTGCTCCGTTCGAGGATGCTGATCTAGCGGTGGTTATAACGCTGTTACTCGTACGGCTTATAAGACGAAACCGCTTCCGGAGCGTTGAACAAGTCCAGGTGATACCTCCAAAAGGAAAGGACGGGAGACAGACATCCAAGGATTCGTTATTCTTTACAAAGCTTAAGGCCCACGCTTTGAATTCAGTAAAATTATTTGTGGCGTCAATGCCAGGGGAGTCCAGACCAGCTTTCATTGTGATCATATCAAATATTGACTGTAGATAATGTCAGTGCCATAGCCCCTATAGAAACTCGAACGGGGTTTGCTCAGATATCTAAGAGCTAATATCTCCAGTGCTGGGTAGCACGCGACGCCGAGAGACATCTAACTTCTCTGACAGCTTTAGAGACCGCACTCGAGATGGCACTTCCGATCCAAAAGCTAGAAATTCGCCAAGCAGCTGATATACGAGTTGACTTGCCAAAATCCTTCGAATAAATGTGAAAGCTTAGGAATCATCCTCGGGTCCGATTTGCCCAGCACTGAGCGTCTTAACCCAAAACAAACTCAGAAATCACTCACTTCATGGGCACGCAGAGATGCATTTGCGAAGATAATCTGCAGGGGGCCACCCGGGTGGAAATTGACTGCATTGGCCACGTCTATAACAAACGTGGGGCGCTCATCTGTTTCCAAAAACTCAAGTAAACCAACATTTCCCAATAATTGTAGGCTTGATTGTTCATTCCCTACGTCTGGGTCTAATGGCGTGTTATGGTTCTCCCGAGATGTCCAGCTCCCGGATGAACCTGTTGAACGTGGAGGGCTGCCTTTGCTTAAACTGCCCCTGGCAAGATTCAGTGTAGTGGTCCCTTCAGACTGATCCTGCACATTGTTTATCATTGTAACCACAGCGTCTGAGGTCGAGAGCTCGGGCAGCGATATGGACCTATGTCCCGGGGTGCCAGAGAATGGCAGCGGCGAACCAGGTTCTGGGGATAAGCCTGTTGGGGAAGTCTCAGATCCCAATGTGTGTGGAGGTATTAACTGCGGTCGCCTTCTCTTCGAAGCAGGCTCCGTCAGGTTTTCGGAGGGAGGGTGCTTCAAGGCATGCGGCGAGTTTGGGGCAACAGAACCCGCAGAGTGGACGAGTCTGTCTGTCTTTCGAAAAGAGGAGAGATCGCTGCTGGCTACTGGCTGTGCATCGAACAGTTGTATACTGGTATTGGTAGGGAATATGGTATTTTCTCCTGGAGCTATTGGCTCTGGTATGTCTGACTTCCCAATAGAGCAGACACAATCGCTGTCGATGATGCCCACTGGGGAGATCAGGGAGGTGTTGGCGGTACCTCCAGTATTTCCATCCACCGCTCCCGATTCCCTTAATGTACCAGAGACTATGTCTTGCTTCGCCCGGAAGGCTACCTCCCTAACGGCCTGGATGGGAGACGCAGTTTGGGCTTTGGAGCCAGAGGTTTCGCTATCCGACGACTGGCCACTGAATTGCCGTTGTGACGTGAAGACCCTTGGCGGCTCTGGATTCATGAAGGCCAGATGTCGTTCGCAACATTCATCGACTGCCCGCGGCGAGCCCCTCGCATCGGGGGGGAACGACTCGAAGGAGCCTCTGCGGAATCCGACGCGTGTGGGAAGGCCCAACGAGCGTGGACGAAGAAGTTGTTTGACAATCTGGACAGCTTCAGGGGGGGTTGATGGGGATGGGATGGGGATGATGATAAAGGCGATGTCGATGTCGATGTCGATGACGATGACGAGGAGCTGTCTCCGCGATACCACAGTGTACGTATAGGTACTTGTGGTGGATATACGTATTATACGGAGAGCACAGTACAGAAGGATGACAGGCGGGGAGGGGACGATGGGGCCCAATGCAGTTTACGCCCAGTCCCGGCAACCGGAGCAGCACTCCATAGAAGCGAGCAATGGCAAAGCTGATTGGGTGAAGCAGGCCAACTACGCCGTGCGGCCGATGTTCCGGCTGAGCACCATACCCGATGCAGACTACGGGGTGCATATTTACAGCCCAGAGTCCAGGGGTAACCCCGCTGGGTCCACGTCGGCTCGGCAAGGTCGACTTACCCGAGCCGATGTGTACCGGGGGCAGGACTGAGCTCGTGATATATCTATGTCCTCCGTAAGCTAGCCGGGTGGGCAGCAGTACAGTAGGTGCTACCGAGTATAGTAAGGAAGACCGTCAATAGGTCAAAGCCGTGACGTTGCTCTCACTCAAGCTTCCTGGGCTTGTCCTCCAGGCCCAAGCCTCTCCTCTTTCGGTGAGCTGAGGACGCCATGTCCTGGGCTTTCATCGGCAGCTGCATACATCAGACTGCAAGGGCACGTTCACATCATGGTCAATCGCATTTTGCAGACAACAAGGAGAGTTTTATTAGGTATTAAGGTGACAGATATGTGCCCTAATGGCAGATTGCGAAAAGACAGTCTGGGTATAGGGGTATCAACGCGGAGCAGAAATGCACCCGCAACGCAGAGCAAACAAAGTAACATGACTCTAACAGCAATGGAAAAACGAGAGTGGTATCAATCAATCAATCTTGCAGGGGTATTTTCAAAGAGATCCGTTTCCCGAAGATCATGAGATCGTTCCATCAATGCACAACGGCGCAGTTCGGGCTTGATGGTTTGCATTTAGGCCGTGGCAGAGACCTGAGGAGTAGAGGGGAGTGCGGCGGGGATTGGCTCAGTGACAACTGGCTCCTCGGTAGCAGCCGGAGTAGCCTCAGGGGCAGCAGTCTCTGGTGCGGCTGCTTCCGTCGCAGCGGCCTCAGCCACTGGCTCAGTAGCGGGTTCGGCGGTCTTCTCAGCAGGCTTCTCAGCCTTTGGGGAAGACTTGCCCTTGACAGTTGCACGGAGCTTGGCGAATGGAGACAATGGCTTCTCCTTCTCTCCCTCCTCGTCACTTGTGGCAGCCTTCTCCTTCTTGGACAACCATGGAAGCGAGCTCTTGCGCTTCTCGGCCTTGCTGGTAGCGGTGGTCTCGGTCGCGGCGGCCTCGCCGTTAGTGGCTGGCGCAGCCTCAGCTGGGGCAGCTTCTGGGTTTGCAACGCTCTCAGCCAAAGGCTCAGTCGACTCAACAGCCGGAATCACGGGAGCACTCTCGGCAACAGGCTCGGCATCCTTAGCTGGGACAGCGGGAGCCTCACTCTCTGGTTTCTTCTCCTTGGTGTGCGAGAACTGAGACTTGAGGGTTCCGAAGATGCTGTTGCGCTTGCTAGCAGCGGGCTTGGGGGTAGCCTCAACAGGGGCAGCTTCCTCAACGGCCTAGAGCATAATTAGTCGATGATCAGAAATCGAGGCAATTAGTGATGTGCTTACTGGAGCAGTTGCGACAGGTTCCTCAGTGGCAGGTTCGGCGACTGGCTCAGCAGTTGGCTCGGCAGCAGCTTCTTGCGCATTGTTAGCTTCAAATATGTAGTCTGGAGTAGGGTCATTTATTACCAGTTGATTCCTCAGCGACAGGGGCAGAGGCAGGAGTCTCCTCCTTAGCCTCGACCTTCTCCTCCTTCTTGCCAAATCCTGGGATGGCTCCGAAGATGGAGGTCCGCTTGCGGGAAGCGCTTCGGCTCTTTCGTGCCTTCTTTTCCTCCTTCTTCTCCTCGCTGACTTCGGTCGTCTCCTCAGGCTTGTCCTCCTTGGGCTCTTCGGTCTTCTCTTCCTTCTTGACCTCAACAGACTTCTTTGGAGTGGTGGCAGCGGCGGCGACGACAGGCTTGCCAAGGGTGCTCAGGGTCGTCTTGTAGGTTTCGCTCTCGGTAACGGATGGTGCCAATTCCTTCGCCTCGGCCTCCTTGGTCTTCAAAACCGCAACCCAGTTATCACGTTCGGCGGCGCTAGAAGCCTCGAAGGTGTGCTTGTGGCCGGCAAGAGTGAAGTAGAAAACGACGGGGCCTTCTGCGGTGATGTCGGAGATATCAGACTAGAATGAAGGTGTTAGAATAAGCGCGTCATTCAAGTCGAGTAAGATAAATACCAGGTTGATGATGCCAGCTGGGTTAGCCTTCTCGCTGGCCTTCTTGGTGAAGAACAACAGGCCCTTGCCAGTGTGGGAGGCCCAGGCGGCATTCTTGTTGGCAACCTCGGGCTTCTCGCCACGGAGATAGCTCGCCAGTTGCTTAGACTCAACGGCTTCGGAGCCGAAGTAGAAGAACTTCTTCTGGAAAAGGAAACCCCTAAATTGCATTGCCGTTAGCATTTCTCTTTCTATTGGATGCGCCGCTGTTCAGAGATCCCGGTACGCGCGTCCTTGACGCGCCGGGCTTGGCGCAACACGTGAGCCGGTTCCAGAATCACTATCCCTTCTTTACATTGGAGAGATGAAAGGCGAAATGCAGCGCCGGTAAATACGTACTTTAGCAGGCCAGGTGCCTTGTAACCAAGGACACCCTCCTCAACGGGCTTGGCTTCCTCTGTCGCAGGAGTTTCCTCAGTGGCGGCAGCAGGCTCAGCAGCGGGAGTTTCTGTTGAAGCCTCTGCTGCAGCTGGAGTCTCCTCGGCCTTTGTTTCAGCGACAGGCTCAGCAACAGGCTCTGCGACAGGAGTTTCTGCTGCAGCCGGAGTGGCGACAGGTTCCTCAACCTTGGGTGCGTCGGACATTTTGATGGATTTGAAGAGTTCCTTTGGGCTGAAAGATGAAAAGGGGTATCTGATGATGGAAAACTGAAAAGGATTCCTGATTTGAGGAAAAAGGGGAAAAAGGGTGATGAAAAAAGGATGGGAGAGAGAGAAAAGGATCGAAAGTTTCAGCGCGAGGTGGTTTTTATTATTGGGGGTGCAAGGGGGCGGTGGCGCTAGACGAGATTAGTCTGCACGGCTCTCCTGGGTAATAAATAAAATATCAAACGATCAGCGCGCGCGACGCTGGGAAGAGTAACATAACAAATACGATTTACCGTTCACTCAGATGGGCATTTCGTAATTACTGTATTACGTCTATCGCTCCCGATCCTACTGCATAACACAGGAAACTTGTGAGTTGTCTACCTGAGTGTTCTGCGCCCCCCTGGGTTTGACTTGGAAAACAGCCAGATATCTGCATCGTTGCCAGAAGCCTCGAGTGGTCATGCGAGCAGCTTGGCAGCGCCGGCGCACCATTAGACAGGAGACGGAGAGCCATGGTACAATTGATGCCCGCAACTCGCGCTCTGTATTGCATAATCTTCGTTGCTGGGTGCTTGTCAACAAGTAGGTCCCATGCAACCCACACCCCCCGGTGCACCGGCCAACCAGTCTAACCGTCGCTCTACGGAGTACAGTAGCTCTCGTCAATCTCGTCTGGGGGAACTTGGGAGGTGGAGAGACGAATACGAAGCAATAGGGACTGACTGCAGTTCTGACCGTGCAGTACCGACTGTCCTATCCTCAACTTCTGGACTGGTTTATAGGCGCTTGAGCCTTGAAGCCTCCAATCCGCCAGCTTCACAGACGATGGGCGCTTGTTATTACGACTGTGCGGTGTAATAATGGACTATCGTTATTACGAGTATAGCATCCTCCTCTGTGGAAGCTTTAGGGATTGCGGCGTCTCAAGTCTCCCTGCATCAACCAATGACCCTCCCATACACAGTCAGACACCCTCGTTACGACGTAGTCCAGTTACGATTTACCAAGGGCCTCGTACTAAGTGTACTAAGGATTACTACTGCCAGTACTAGTGCAAGTCCCGGACGACCACGCTATATTAGCAATGGGGCTCGCTCGTTGCTAGGCTAAGCTATACAACCCTGAATCAACGTCCACTCAGTGCACACACTCTCATCTCTCATAGGGGGCTCGTCGGCAGCATGATAGGAGCGGAGAGTCTGTGCACTGGAGGGCAGAGAGGCTAGGGTCAACCACCGCCTGTCATTCATTTCCTTCTGCGACAGATCCACCCACCGCGAGCGCTTTTACTGCTTTTATACACTGCTACCGTATATCCAAATCTTGCAATCTTCTGCAGTAGTAAGCAGTACAGTAAGGAAGTCCTCCACCTGCTGTAGGGGACCACCCCAGGACGCAGGACGCAGGACCCAGACTCCGAGGCTGCCAGGCTCCTTGCTGTACCAAGTTCCCCGGCCTCGCGGAGTGCGACTGGGAAAAGACCGTACTACTGTACGGAGTGCCGCAGTAGTAAAGACGGAAGAAACCAAACGGTACGCGCCCTGTGCGCCTCACCGTTTACTACTGTGCGCGGGACTACGACGTAGGTTTTAAGTCTTGCCAAGTTGCGCTCTTCTTCTACAGGCAGTTGTTCAGTACTACTGCCGGCGCAACCCTCAAAGATGGGGGATGCCATGATGATCGTGGGCATGTGCACCCAGATGATCGTCAGGCTATGCACCCCCGTGATAAGGCCAACAGCCTAGGCTAATTATTCATTTTATTGGTTGGACATATGTACTCCGTACGTTGCGTACAAGTATCAACAAAATCAAGTACCGGACCTTAACAAGTTGGCACATTACTAGGAGAGGACGTTTTGTTCCTTGGACAGAGGCGCTCAAGTACCACCAGACTGGTCCTCGCAGCCGAATCCTTTTTCCCGAGGTTACGCTGCACTGTTAGTATCAGTCGCATTTTATTGGATTCGTATAGAAGAACCATGGCCTCAACAGTACCCGGGAAGATCATTTGTCGAATGTATCTTCGGAAGAAACATTCTTGCAACTTGCGAGTGTCTAATGTATTCTCAAATCACGTGATGCACATCTTGAGCTCCCCCACCCGACGAGTTCGTCCGGCATGAGGGCTTCAAAATCTAATTTTGAGGTTAGACTTTTCCAGTTTCTATAAATAATTTGGTTGTCAGGCATTAGCATTTCTTCATTACTACTTATAGGTAAGGTATATGACTTGATTATATTGCTATAATGATCACGTGTGCCTGATGTTCTCATCAACAAGCTTAAGTTGCATGTATGCCTCGACAGCATAGCAAGCATCTGTAGAAGGGAGACATTGACAGGATATTTTATTGCCCCTCAATTACTACATCAAATTAAACACAATTAGTCTACGGCTACCTTGTTCCAGTGGTTGATGTCTGGTATGCCTATGTCGTGATTTACTTCTAATTCCATACGCTCCTTAAGACACCTACGCACCTGCGCGTGCGGCTTATATCTCTTACTATTCACTAGACATTCTTACCACTCCGCGCCCCCCAACACGCAAAAGCAGCAATGGATTTTGTCGTTACAAAAAGCATCCCCTCTCTTCCCATATCTACCTACCCAGGTACTCTTCATCCATCCTTCATACAACCGTCTCACAGATACCGTCCTACATCTTCTTGCATGATCAATCTGCAATAACACTAGTAAGTAGTATAATACTTCAACTCTCTGTCAAACCTTCCTCTAGTCTCTCCTGTCATCTACCCAGACTTTCACACTCATTACCTAGGCAGTGCTCCTTCCAACATTGATACTTGACTACTTCTGGCTCTGAGTTTGAACTCATCCTTGTCTGTCTTCTACTATCACACATTCATGCATGTACTTCACCTTTATCAGGTCATTCCTTCCCTTCATAACTTACTCCTTGGCACATCTTCTCTCTTGCTCGTCTCACAAGCAGAGCTGTATTCAATAACCTTGAATCCTGATATTGCTTGTCTTGTCACTCTTTGAGATACACCTTCTCACTGCTCTACACTACTTGCATGATTCAATCTAGATTCTTAATAACAGAGACGCAGGACACCAATACCAAGTTTTTCTCAGCATCGCTCCTGCATCAAGCATACCAAGGTAATATTTCCTAAAGTCTTGCCCTTTCACAGACCCTGCCCTTCTCCATTTCCACAACTTTCCCAGAGTCTTGCTCCACAATCCTCAACCCTCAATTCCATTTCTCATATTCCTTATCTTACTTGTATTCTTAGAGTCCTCAAGATGGTTTGGGGCAAAACCGCCAAGACATACAAAAAGAATCAGCAACAATGGACAAAACCCCGAGCAAATGTCGCAAATGAGAAGTCCTACAAAAAGAACCAGCAAATATCCCGAGCGGATATTGCAAATGAAACATGGGGGACGGAACCATGGGTGACTACACCTAGCATGGGAGAGACTCCAACAACCAATGAAGGCCAGCGACCTTACACCTGGGCAGATGATCCGGGCTCGAAAGTACCCGAGAAAACCCAAGAGCAAATTCGCAAAGAGGAAATGCTGGAAAATCTGGAAGACTGGCCGTGGAAGGGAGCTCCGAAGAAGCTAATTACTGTGGTATTAATTTCCTTTATGTATTCTAATATTGGATTTCGTTTGCTAATAAGTATCTAGGCTCCTTACTCCTTCAATTCTCGTCCCGGTTCACGATTACTCCTCCCCGAAGCAGAGCAGAAGTCTCCCCTGTTGAGACTTTTGGAGCATGATCTCATACGTGAGAAAATCATGTTTCTCGTGCTGCAAAACCATTTTGATGCCGCCAACTTTTCTTCCACTTGCCGCTTGTCTTTTAATCTCGTGTCTTATCAAGTTGTAAGTCCTTGACCATCTTCTCCTCTAGAGAGGTTATTGATATTTTGACTTCAGGGTATCTGGGATTTCACGACTTCTTATTTCAATAATTGCGAACTTCCCAGAAAGGGGCCCGGCTCTACGGAAGAGAGACATCGGATGGGCTACGTGCAGTCCGTTACCCTCGTAAGTCCAGTAAGGGGCCATGAACCAGAAATCACTTGTGAGGACGGGAAGAATGATTATCTCTATTCCAAACAAATTGCGAGCCTCAGAACCATGTGTGAGTAATTTCTGACATCTGATGCAAAATACTAACATGATACGGACAGGCCTCGCTATGTACAATTTCGCGGACTACTTTAAAAACCTACAACTTCACAGAATCCCTTTTCTCACACCGGATTTGCTTGCTCTGCTGATCCCAAATATGCGGAACCTAGAGGTGTTGGGGGTTTATAAATGCCCCTTGATTCACATTGGACATACCATGAGGCTTTTGGATATCATCAAGACGGACAAACCTCTCGAGAAAGAGAACCAGGTCTACCTGGATTTCTTCCCCAACTATCATGTTGGCCCAAAGTACTATCCTGGATATGCATACCACACTGGGTCCTATGGTGTTGTGTGGGACAATTGGAATGCGGATACTCGCCTGGCTATCTGGGCCTTGGTCTCACGTATCCTCCCAAAGGCACTGGACCAAGGTATTGACCTGACGGGACCCAATACAGCGTTTCGAAAATGGTTGGAGAAGTCTCCTTGCTGGCGTATCGACGAGACGCTGAAGGATCTCATGGATCCGACAATCCGCCCCGTGAAGCTGGCAGTCTCGGTTGACTTCCCTCACTACCACGGCAGAGAGGATTATTTCACGAGCAAGATCCCAAATCGCCCAGAAAGCTGGGAGTGGTAAGTTACAATACTCTCTCCTTTTGATACTATGTTATTAACGGGATGTTCTAGGGCCGTTCAGCATTACGTATGCAGTTCATGCAATGTCAATCTTCTGGGAATATTCTATTCTTTTACGCAGATCAGGGCAGCTAGAAATGCCGGAGTGCTCTACCAAGAACATCCACCCATCAAGTGTCTAGGATGCACCTTGAGCGACGACCTCGACGCTGAGACAGATCACTACAAGAACATCAAGCGCGATATCATCCGCCGCTGGCTCGAGGACGAAGAAGGCCCTAACATCACAGATCTCGCACGAGCTCTTGAAGACTTCGAGGAGAAGAATGTCGCTAGTGATATCGAGGCCCTGGACGAACGTCGATTCAAGCATATGCATCGCCTCGCCCCCGAGCTCTGCTATGACCGCGAGTACGACGAGCGACAGAACGAGCTCACTCGTGCGGAGCTGGGCCGGCTCGGCCTCAAGAATATAGCCCCGCAAGTAGGCCAATATGAGCAATGGCTAGAGGAGCAGAAGAAGGACGACGAAGATAAGCAATGGACCTGGTTCCGCTCAGATCGCGTCTTTGGACATGGCCATGCCCACTGGTAGTAGACCTAGATTCTTCTCTCCACTACATCTCTTCTCCGTTTGGCTCTTTGCTTTCTCGACCACGAGGATGAATGAACGCACGACTCTTCATACTTGCAGAATTCTTTTCTCTTGCCTTTTTCTATTTTGCTTGTCATCTCCACGTATTTGCTTCTCTTCACGATCTACATATCCTCCTATAGGTACTCAGCGCATCCTCGATATTCAACATATCGCAACCCGCGCGCCTCTCCCATCGGTCCCATTCAACATATCGATCAACCGGACCCCCAAAACATCGACTCTGTTTTTTTCTCTACCGCAATCGCCTCTCTCACAATCAGCATATTTCTGGTCCGCGGCAAGTTTTTCGATATTCAACATTATCGATAGACTGACTGAGCACCCGAAAAGCGTTCCACCTTCTTTTTTATTTCCTTCTGGGTCATGTCTCTTGACTTTTGGAGTCTGCATCGGGTCGGTATTTCTTTTGGTTGTTTGTTTGGTTGTTTCTTTCTCGGGGGGTTTTAGGTAGTGCATCCATCGCAGACCCTGCATTATCACGACTGGCGGAAGAAAAGGGGCGCGGTGCAGGTTTTGGGGATCAATGGGTGTTGGGCGTTGGGGATGCTTGATGGTATGGGGAATGATTGGTTGATTACTGGATGGAGGGATAGATAGATACATAAATGAGAAATGGAGTTTTGACTTTCCTTCGTAGTATGAATTGACGGTGCATGAATTGTGATATTGGGATGCGTGGAATCGAGATAAGTCTAATATTAATTTGAGAGTATTTGTTTCGTTTAGAGGATTTACCGAGTGTGATCTTGTATGATGAGACAGCCAGAGAGTGTCAATAGATAGACAAGAGAAAAAAGATGCTGAAACCCTCCAAGAAGAACTATAAAGTCCGTACCGTATCACATATCACATAATCACATAACCCCACGACCATCCCGGCTCACAGCAGATATACAAAAATTACGCCGCTTCACCCAACGCCACAAGACCATCCCTCTCTCAAGCCCACTGTTCATTCTGCGATCTGAGAGGGAGCTGTCTGTCCAAGGTATTGAAAGCCAGGGTTCGAGGCGTGTAGGGCACGGCGGACACCTCGGGGATACTCTTCATCTCGCCGTGCCTGCCTGCGGAAGGCTTGGACGCGGAGGCGGCGCCCAGTTGCAGATCGTCGGATTCGAGTTTCTGGGTGGCGCGCTCCTCGGGCGTGGGGATCATGGACCAGATGCCGAAGAGGAGGTTGAGGAGGAAGACGAATCTGTGGATTGGAGGTTAGAGGTGTTGGTTTACAGATAGGGGAGGGGAAGGGGGAGGGGGCGTACGCCATGACTACGGTAATGGCAAATGTACCCTTGGCCATCAGACAGTAGTGCTTGTTTCCGGAGGGTATTGCATAGTCACAGCTCTTGTTGATATACCAGGCTACACTGGAAGGGTGCTCCGGATCCGAGTGGTCAGGCCCAGCTTGTCCGGCAAAGCTGACGATCCAGAGGACCGTAAGGACGAGATTGACGGGGACTGAGAGGATGGGATACCAGATGTGCATGACGAACATGACGGCCTTAACCAGCAGAATGAACGTGCAGAGCACTGAGATGGCAACATTATAAGACGTCAACCTGCGGCACTTTGTTCAGCTTCTCTCTCATTTCCATGCTCGCACGCGGCACAGGATTGATCTACGCACGTTTGTGACCAGACGAATGGGGTCTTGGGAATCGGGCGGTAATTGGCATAGGCGTATAGGATCTGCTTCGGGCTCGAGTTGAAGCCATTGTCTGAACCGACTTGCCAGAGGGCGGTGCGGAAGAGATCTGGATCGGCGATACCGAAGAGCGTCAACGCGGCCACGGTTCCTGCCAGCTCGAAGACGAAGAGGGAGACGAGCACCTTGGGATGTCTCCATTTCCGGGCGAGGAAGCGTATGTAGGGGATTCGGAACATGCTGGCGGCTGATGGCAGTGTCTCGGGAGCGAGTTCCAAGGTGGAAGAGAAGCGGTGGTGACAAGAGAGGCTGTGGTTATAATAAAGACCTCCAGGGCAATGATGACGGGGGAAAAGGGCCTCTGATCTGAGGGCGGCCAGCCATGATTATGAGGAGGAGGGCCATCTGGGTTCCTCTCAAGTTGCCCAACAGCTGCTGCGCGGGCGTTCGTTCATGGAGCGCCAATGAAGTGTGTGATTGAAGGTTTCCCAGCGCTTGCATGCGATGATACGCAAGGCCAGAGCCCAATCAGCGAGGCTGAGGGACCGCGGGACAAAAGGCGCTAGACCGCGTTGGGCCGTGGGCGGACGGCAGTTCGCTAACTTCGGTTGGCCCCGCGGGCGGTCAAGGGTGAGCCGAGAGTGGATTAGCGCCAATGTAAGAGCGATCATCGAGGAGCACTCTATAGGTAGACACTCTAAATCTCTAAAAGACACTCTCCCACACTTCGCAGAATCGCCCTCCTCCCTGCTGCTACACGACGATGCTGATCTCGACCAGTGGGATGGTTTCGAAGCCGCACATATCTTTTCACTAGCTTATGAGGAACTTTGAAAGGAGTACAATTACGGCCGTTGAATCACAACCCCCTTGCATGGAGAAGAAAACAATGGAGGAAAAATCAACTCCGTACAAAATGGGCTATTGCTTCATCGCGATATACACCAGCTCTTTGCCGTGTGTATGTTTAGTCGTCTGGCTACTCAGTTTGATTTGACTGAGTAGACGGTGACAGCGACAGTGACAGCGACAGCAACACCCTAAATTCTACTTACCTACCAACCTACCTATTAGCTGTGTTAAAACAGCGGCGCGCAGGGTATGTTAAACTCGCGGTCCTGTTATACCCGTGCTCGACGTGTTTCCAAATATGTTTCTCGAGCCCCGCTGCGGGGTGCGCATTTTGACGTCGTGGTGAAATGAAGCTCATGAAGAGGCTCAAAAGCGCGAAACCTTATTTCATAGTCACTCAACTGGAACCAAGTTCCTGGGATTTTGGGTTCTTGAAAACATATGGCATTGATGAAGGATTTGCAGCGAGTCGGCGCTCACTCATGAAAGACTTTCGGCGATTCAAGAGTGACGGACTGGACATTGGGACCGGATGATAGGATATATTATGCTGTCTTATAGAGCGCAAATGGTATGGAATCACACAATCCTCGTCTGGACACAGCCATAGATGTTTAGATGAAAAAAACCATATGATGTACTTATCGATTAGAAATACGTAATAAGCCGTACCTAGTTTAGATCGCTGAACAGAATCTTTCGAGGTTTGATTCTGGCAACAGATGCCAGAGAAATATAATAGAACGACAGGTATAATTATTGTATAGAATTCATAAAAGCACGGCCATCGAGACTGATGCATACTTGCTCTCACTGATTGATTCACAGATATCCTCACAAGGACTGACCCTCTTCCCAATACCCGCCGCCGCTTGAAAAGATCTGGTATAGAGCTGTAGTTTAGTTCCGGCTATGAATGATTCAAAGGCATCACAGAAGCAAGGAAATTAGCTCAAGGGAATGCAAAGCCATTTGTCTCCGATGTCTGACATTATCCGAAGGACATTATCCGAGTGACAAGAGTTCAAGCTGCCAAGCTATGGTTCTTCCCCTACAATCTCGGTAACTCTCAAGGCTTCAACGCTCCGCAGTCGCAACCGGTTATCTTCTTCGGGCGGACGGACAGACGGATCTCAGGAACATGGATTCAAGTGGGGTCCTTCCAAGCCGCAGAGAAGCAGAAGATCGCAGGGACTTGGTTCGTTCATTGGTCGAAAAGTCCCATTTCCGCTGCTTTTTCTGATTTCTGATGGGGCATCCTGAGGATCGACCCCGCAATGCGGGGTCTCCGGTTTTAGCAAAAGAGAAAGAGAGAAGAAAGGGATATTTAAGAACTTCATGAACCTCCTCCTCTCAGCGTGCCTCTCCTAATCTCAACCTCCTCCATCTCCAAACCTCAAAACCCATAATACCCTCCAATATGCGCGCCCAAGATCTTCCCGATTTCAAGGACTTGCCGCCCGTCCCAGGCATGCCTCCTGGAACCGCGTGGGGAATATGGGACAAGAACGGGGAGCGGGACAACTGCGGCTCTCTGAACCTCCTTACTCCTGAGAACACCAAAGAAGCGCAGAAAGAAATCCGCACCGGACAAGGTGTCGCACTCAAGTAAGCACCCCCCTACGAGCTCGAGAACCCAAAACTAACGCTGAAGACAAAAGCTGGTCTCTCCAGCGCGTGGCCGAACCCGGGTTCGCGCGTGAACAGCCCAAACATACATTCAAAGACCTTACACCTCTCGGCCTCGCTGCCTTCGACGAGGTCATCCACATCAACACACAATCCGGGTCTCAATGGGACGGATTCCGTACGTGCCCCTTCTCTCTCTCCCCATCATTCATCCATTTCTCCCGGCCCCCCGCGCACAACACAAGCTAACAATGTATCTAGGCCACTGGGCCCAGCAGGAGACGGGCCTGTACTACAACAACCTCAAGCACGATGAGATCCCGGACCCGGCGCACGTCGAGAAGAACGGCATCCACAACTGGACGAAGCGCGGGGGGATCGTGGGGCGCGGCGTGCTGATCGACTACGTAGCGTACGCCGAGCGCCACAACATCCAGTACTCGGCCGTGACGCGCCACGAGATCACCATCCACGATATCGAGACCGCCGCCAAGGAGCAGGGCGTCGAGTTCAAGCCCGCTGATATCTTGATCATCCGCAGCGGCTGGGTCAAGTGGCATGATGAGGCTGATGAGGAGGCGAGGATCAAGGGCGCTAGGGATGGCCATGAACATGTCGGCGTCCAGGGCAGTAAGGAGTCGGTGGAGTGGCTTTGGAATCACCATTTCGCCGCCGTGGCAGGTGATGCGATTGCCTTTGAGGCTTGGCCGCCAAAGGCCCCGTATCGTGAGTTCGCCCGCCCCCTTGTGTTTTCTTTTTGTTCGCTTTTCGCTGTTCGTAGAGCTGAGCTGATTTGATGCCCGGTGTAGGCCTCCATGATCACCTTTTAGCTATGTGGGGAACTCCTATCGGTGAGCTGTGGAATCTCGAAGAGTTGGCGGAAGTTTGCAAGAGAGAGAACCGATATAGTTTCTTCCTCACGAGCGCACCCTTGAATATCCACGGCGGCGTTGCAAGCCCGCCAAATGCGTTGGCCATCTTCTAGTGTTTCAATTATCTGTGTGGATCTACCTAGTCTTACAGTTAGTCAGTATGTTTACATTATAATACAAGATATCCTTAAACGTCTCCTCCAGCTTTGCCTTCGGCGACAGTTGCATCCTTCTCCTCCTCCTTAACGCCTTGTTTACCCGGATTTACCACATTGCCCAGATTGACCACATTCCTCAAGCTTCCAAACGCCAACACGTCGCTGATCCGGGTGGCCCCGCTGAACAACATACACAGCCTGTCAATGCCGCATCCCCAACCGCCGGTCGGTGGAAGGGCGCATTCCAAGGCCTCCAGATAACTCTCGTCGACTCCGGCTCGATTCTCGTCATCCTTCCACTGTGCCTGTTGCAGGAACTTCTCTCTTTGTTCGAAGGGAGAGTTCTCTTCCTCGTACATGTTGGCTAGCTCCTTGTGCTGGACAAAGAGCTCTACCCTGGCGGAAACCACCTGCTTCGTTTTCGTGTCGACGAATGATTTTGCGAGGGGCGCCATACAAGCAGGGTGATGCATGATGAACGTTGGCTCGTTGCATTGAGGCTCAATGTAGACAGATGAGAGCTTGTCGAGGAGTCGGGGGAGGGTCTGTGAAGTCGGCAGTGGTATATTGTGCTTGGTGAAGAGGGCCAGAAGCTGCTCAGTAGCATCGTCTGCAGTAAGGGGCGGGAGTGGTTCCCCCAGCGCTGCTTCGACGGCGGGGATAAACTGGATGCGTTTGAAAGGAGCAGCAAAGAGGTTCTCATCCAATTCAGGAAGCGCTCCCAGAGATTCCTGGCGTAGTGATTTAACACGCTCTGCCAAGCCTGAGAACAGTCGTTCGGTCATCGAGATGAGATCTTCTAGATCAGCAAATGACTTGTAGAACTCGCAGGTGGTGAACTCGGGATTATGAGTAGAGTCGAGACCCTCATTCCGGAAAGCAGGTCCTATCTCGAAGACGCGGTCCAAGCCCCCTAGAATTAGCCGCTTAAGCCATATCTCGGGGGCAATCCTGAGAGCCAATTCCTTGTCGAGGAATTCTGTGGCAACTGTGGTAAAAGGCCTTGCAATAGCACCACTCGCCTTGTCGGTAATTATAGGTGTCTGCACCTCAAGGAAGTTATCCTGGAGTAGAAAATCACGCATATATTGTATTATATGAGAGCGAACACGTATTGTATCTGCTACGTGTTTATTGACCAAAAGGTCAACATGACGATTTCGAATACGGGTCTCTGGGTCTCCGAGCACTGTAGGTAGAAGAGGGAGGGACGGCGACAATATTGTTGGCAGTTCCATTGCATTGACGGACAATTCACCCGTCTTTGTCACGTAGGGATGGCCAAATACAGCTGCATGTTATCAGTACATGCTCACCAATGCCAGATACTGAGGGGCTTACAGATAATATCTCCACGGCGAACCAGATGGGCGAATTTACGGAAGTTTGTGCTCAGCACGCCAGAAAAGGTTTCAAGCTTAGACAGATTGCAAAGCGCTTGAATTGTACAGGAGTCATGGACAATATCCAGGAAGATTAGGCCTTTGCTTACGATACGAACGGAGAGCACACGTCCTGAAGGATGGTCAATAACGATATGATAGCTAAGATTGGATTGCCTCGAAATATACCTCGTATCGTCACGCCCTCGGCCGGCCGCTCTTGCCCAGGTGTCAGCTTCCCATATCGTTTCGCGAACTCTCCGCAGGTTAATGCGGTGCTACTCCGTTGTATCCTGGGGTATACCAAAGCATTGGCAGCCTTCAGTTCTTCCACCCGCTGCTCCACCGGCCCTCGGTTTCCAAAATCTACTGCACTCCCTGACGAGCCTTTTCCAGAGGCAGTTGTCACTCCATCACGGCGAAGCAGGTTATCAGTGCTCTTCTTCTTTCTCCTTTGAGGGGACGTTGCTGGTGATGCTAAACATTTTGAAGAGTTGTAGAAGCGGATGTAGGCAAATTTTCCTCGGACTGGTAGGTCCGTGGAAAGATATGGCCGCAGGAACTGCAGACCGGTGTTTTTGTTCATCCTATCTCAATAATGGGTCAGCTAATTGACAGTACAGATGTCCGAGAAGAGAAAGATTTGAGGGGAAAGTGTCAGATTTGAGATGTGTGAGATCAACCACCCAGGGGTGTCAGTCGCAACGGTTCTAATGTTATGTCGAAATCATCATGATGGAAGGTATTGAGGAATTATATAGAAATCAAATAACTTACTATTCGACGTGTGGCCTCACGCTCACGCAAGCTTGAGGCTGTTGAAGAGAGAGAAAGAATTCAGATTTGAGGAATATTAATACTTCTTTGCAGGGGTCTCGCTAGCGTCGCACCGTCGGGAAGGTTACCCGTAGAGCTCCCAGATTCTTGAGCTTCAGAACAGAAAGACATCACAGCGTCAATAAACTTGCATCACAACCCATATTCGCGCAACGAGCACAACAAACCTACGTTTTTCTTTGACACCGAAATAACTCGCAAACCGCAATCATGTCAATGTTCGGACTCGGTCGGCCGCAGCCTTCATCGGCCGAGAAGATAGCTGCCGCAGAGCAGGAGATGGACCTCATAACAGACATGTTCAACAAGTAAGAGACCATCTCGTCTCTCTTCCCATTTTATCTCTCCCGAACCCCTTCCCTCCTGTTTCTCCATCTATTGCTCTATTCCATGAAGCGGAGACATCCCGGCCTAACGTACATCTCAAGACTCCAACAAGCCTGCATGAAGAAATGCGTACCCAGGGAATACCGCGAGGGCGAGATCAACAAGGGCGAGGGTGTCTGCATTGACCGATGCGCTGCTAAGTTCTTTGATGTGCAGCTGAAGGTCTCGGAATTGCTGCAAGCTGAGGCGGCCGCTAAAGGGGCAGGTGGTGGTGGTATGGGCTTTGGAGGCATGTGAGGTTCTTGACTACAAGACATGCATCGGAGGGGATCTAGAGGATTGCATTGCTTTGGATGGGCCATATCTGGATGGGCTTGGCAAACGCCAGAAGGAGCTTTTTGTTCATGGTTAATGCATGTTGGGATGATAAGATCAAAGTCCAGACACAATCCGGCGGATCACTGTATTATACATGGGAATAATAAAGGAATATGGGGCGTTCAATATGTATTGAATCTATCCACTCCATGGTGCTATGCTCCTATGCTACTGTGTAAATGCTGTATGGGTATTTCCTAAACGCCCGCTAATGTGTTTCAATTCCGCATTTCCATAAGTCATTCGCTATTGTCGACGAGGGCGGGTGATGTTTGGCGGAGTGCCGATGCCAGTGATTGAGCGAACTGCCCAATGTGCCCAGCTTTCAGTGTTTAAATATGTCTCGACTTCTTTCGCCCGTGCTTCTAGATCATCGACCTGCTTTTCAAATTGAGAGACTCCATCCTCAACATCCTTTACTTTAGAGACCAGAGCGTTGATCTCGTAATCCAGCTTCGCTCCAAGGACCTCTATATCTTTGATCGCTTCAGTCACATGTGATCGCTCATCTCCCAGTATATCTTGACAGCTCTGCTTCACTGCTTGATAGGACTCACTCAATTGATAATAGAGTGTGTGAAAGCTGTCCTGATCCCGAGCCCCTTGATCATCCAGTGCTTCTACACTGTTGACCTTCCGCTCCACCCAAGGGCTAATATGATCTTGAAGGTAGGTAACTTTCTCAAACAGATGCTTGAAATCTTCCGCGATGTATTTCTGCTTCTGTAAAGCAGCCCAGGTATCGGCCTCATCATCGCCATCATCATCATGGGCGCAGACAGGCTCCCATCCCAGAACAGCTTCTTCTGCGTCACTGAAGGACATTTGCCGAGGCCACCAGGCTTCATTACGAAGCCTCTTCGATGACGGTGATGCAGCAGATATGCTGTTTCGCCGACGAAGAAGAATCTGGAAATTGTGCGGAGTACGCTCTGCCTCCAATAATGGACCTTCAAGATCACCATCCCCGTATATTGAGCCCCCAACCGATGGTTCACTGGCGACTAGAGTGCGCCGTATGTCCTTCACTTGTGCAGCCCAACGAGCTTCCGCCTCAGAGTCTTTCGATGTTTCACGCGACACAGGCTCAGTAGGTGGGTTGACTCTTGAATCACTTGGTAGTGATTCGGACTCTCCACCGCGAGCTGTTGGCGCAACCCCAGATACAGGATCCTTCACTTTCGGAGACCCAGCTTGATGTTCTGCTGGGGTATTTTTCCAGGTGAAGGCCTTTCCGGTTGTCTGAGGGCTGACTGATGCTCCTGAAGACGGAGCCAAGGTTGCGGAGCTGTTTGGAGTGAGGTACCCACCCAGGCCTCGGCCCTCGACTTCAGCCCCATAATCCTTTGAATGTTTGCTGGCATGTCCTCGGCGGCCAACTGCATCCTTTATCCTACCAAGGCCAGATTTTGCATCATTCATCTTTCCTGTGACGCTCTTGAACACCGTCTTGCGTAATTGCGGGTCCCGCTCGTAAGGACTATCAACCACACTTGTAGCGGATCCAGGAGGGGGTTGCTCAGAATAGACATCATTAGGGGTCTCTCTCTCCTTCTTTCGAAGCTCGGGATCCTCTTCCGCAGGAGGCAAGTCACCTCTGTGGTGAGACCACATATACCCTCCCTGATCATCCTTCGTGAAGCTGTAGTTCGCTGAATCCCCATCTGACCTTCCCTCTCCAGCGCCGGACCTCCTTGGCTTGCCATACCATAGCCATTTTGCCCTTTCGCCATGTATGAGACTAACAAAACGGTCGATATCCAGCGTCTCGATGTCCCCAATGCCGGCTTTATCACGCCCTACCATGCCCATGACCATTTCTCCACCCTTACCACTAAGCTCAGCGACTGTAGACTTGACCGCTTTTGGCACGGCCCATCCCTCGCCAGCAGCTGCTTTTGCCGTGACTTTATGTAATTGATTGAGAGTGTATCGGTCCAGCCTTCTCGTGCGCTCCAGTTTCTGGGATTTTTGGAAATAGGCAATACCACGCTTTAGACTGAACACATCGAATGCATCTTTAGCTACGGGAGCCCCGTAGTAGTTGAGACGGTTACGAGCACCCATGAGCAGACCCAGTAACGCCGCAACCGTTGTAGGGCCAAGTATTCCATCTGTAGGTTCGATGTTGTAATATTCAGACCCAATTTCTGTCCACCAATCATTGATGGCCTTCTCTGTCACATCGCAGAGCATTCCATCGGCATATTCTTGTTCCAGTTTGCCAAATATCATCAAGGCTACCTGACAAAGCTTGACTAGCTCAATCACCGCCCCATAGAGCGGAATTCGGTCGCTAGTCTTGTAGAGCTGGAAGAATTTGGCTTGCGTAGCTCCTGCAGGTGGTGTCAAGCTCATCCCAGATCTTCCAGAGCATCCCAGACGTTTCAAGTTCTCATTGATGATGAAGTCCTCCCTGTGCTTTTTGACGTCTCCATTGGGTACCGGAATGACAGTCAACGCAGATGGAAAACTACTTAGGTTTGTGACCATAAGCATTCCAAGTGGTGTTTCCTTTGGTCTGGCATGGAATTGAGAGATAGCCTTGAAGTATACACGCAGCCTCGGTGACCACTCTTCTTCGTTCGTAGGTACACCCAACACGCCCACCAGTACCGAATGGTTCGGATCCCCTGTATATGTAGTAATGACGAAGGTTGGATGCACTCGTGAGCATGCCCATTGTTCGACGAGGTACAGTTCGTAACCTTTGAGTCGCCCATGTCGTTCGATTACGACAGTGGCAGAGTCCTCTTCAAGGTACCTAACCCAGGTCAGAGGTATTTAATATGGGAGTCTGGTGAAGATGTACCTAAAAGCCACTGGGTCTGCGAAGACAAAATGCCGACGTTGAGGGGGTTGAGGGATCGACTTGATTTTAGTTGGGAGTTGGTGAGTTGCAGGAGAGGCCATAGCCGGCTCGGCGGTGGTTGTTTTGGGCGCGCTCTTGGTCCTGCCCAGAGCATTCTGATGAGATGCTGTCTGCGAGAGAGCGGCCTCTTTAGCCTCTCTGGCCTCTCTGGCCTCTTGTTCGGTATGCAACTCCTCCATATGAGGATAGACGAACCGGCTAGACATGATTGCTAACAGCGCGGGACGGTCGTCCTGCCCTCGTCGATGGGGCGAAGCTGCTGTGACGTCGTCCTGGCCAACCTACAGTTGTGGTTGTGGTCGCAGAGCATGATGGTCTGCCAGTCGCGACTTGTGCCATGCAGGAGAAGAGGCGACAATTGCTCGAGGAGGGCGGGAAATGGGTATAGTACGAATACAGATATAAGGTATTTATATACGTTCTTAGACCACATGAAATACCGTATGTCGAACTGTGCCAATCAATCGCATGGGCTCCAGGTACTTGCGGCAAGGTACTTGGCAGCTCGCCTGGGCCCCGACAAGGGCTTTTATTGGCTTTTGTGTTTGCCTCCCCGGCAGCACGTAGAGAGACCAGCGTCCCCATGGCCGTTTAGTGGCCCAGACCCGCACTACCATATACAGCTCACCTCACGTGGAGCCTCTCTATATCATCTCAACCACTTCCATTGCTAGATACACAGCACGCTCTTTCACGATTCACTCTTCACTCTCGGCACAGGGCTTCTGATGAATCTTGTGCATGTGTCTCCAGGCAAGGCGATGAGGTAGCGGGCAATACACAACGCCTGGAAAGAACCCACAGTCGGAGCGGGGCTGTTCACCAGCTATGGATGTCCTTCAAGTGGAACTGGCCAAGCTGCGGAGGGATGCCAACCTCACGCAGAGTATCCAGGATGTCGACAGGATTATTGAGCAGCTTGAGGCTGCTAGGGAGTCGATAGTAGCAGGTACGGAACCTCCCTCCTTTGACTCCGGCGGCGCGGATGACAGCAGGAGTTCGGAGCAAGCTTTTGCTATTTCCTCCCATGCTTTCCACCCTTCTGGGGCTTTTACTCACATGCCACTGTCTCCTAGATCCAAACTCGGCCTCAATCATCCTTGCTAAGCTCCAGAACCCCCTCAAGAGTGGTTTCGATAAAGTCAACGATGATCTCAAGAAGATTCACAAAGGCCATAGCAACTATGGCAAAGCACTGGATAAGGTATGCGGCTGGCCAAGATGAGTGACGGCTGGAGTATACTGACTGGAGCGTGGCCAGAATTTCCCCGTCAAAGCCTTACCAAACGAATACGATGCTCTCGCATCCCACCCCTCTCTCATCAACAGAGCTATTGCCATGCATCTGATCCGCGAAGGGCAGTTCTCAGTTGCCTCGACATTCCTAAACGAAGCCCAGGGCCACCCACCACATCCTGCCCCTACTCCCGGGACCCCGCATCCCTCCGAATCTGACGAAGGAGATTTCTCGCCTCAGAAATCACAGGAGCTGCAGGCCAAATTTGAGAACATGTACCAGATATTGCAAGAGTTGAAGGGCCGGAACCTTCACCCGGCCATCGAATGGGCACGGATCAACCGCGATGAATTAGAGAAACGGGGCAGTGATTTGGAATTTGAACTCAGCAAGCTGCAATTCGTCTGGTTGTTCCAAGGACCCCAGGTCAATGGCCTCCCAGACGACATGAACAACGGTCTACCAGGGGCACTTAAATATGCCCGGGAACATTTTGGAAGTTTCCAAAACCGGTTCCTACGGGACATCCAACAACTAGCGACAGCCATGGCATACAGACCCAACCTCCCAGACTCTCCCTATTACCGAATATTCAACATCCAAAGCGCATGGGACGACGTCTCCGCCTCATTCACGCGCGAGTTCTGCTCGCTCCTCGGTCTCTCCGCCGAATCCCCACTCTACATCGCCGCGACAGCCGGCGCCATCGCCCTCCCCACCCTCCTCAAGCTAGCCTCGATCGTGAAGGAGAAGCGCACGGAATGGACCACGCAGGACGAGCTCCCAGTCGAGATCGCATTACCGCGCAGCATGATCTACCACCCGATCTTCGTCTGCCCCGTCAGCAAGGAGCAGACCACCGAGGCCAACCCCCCGATGATGATGCCGTGCGGCCACGTCGTCGCCAAGGAGAGCTTGAACCGCCTCAGCAAGGGCGGCAGGTTCAAATGTCCGTACTGTCCGAATGAGAGTCAGCCGAAGGACGCGCGCCGGATCGTGCTGTAGGTAGGAGATGACCGGGAGGGGGTTAGATTGTATTTAATTTTTTTTTCTCCTTTCCGGAGAACCCCCCGAACAAGACATGGTGAAATGCGGGAATATATGTATGTAAGGCTGGAGTTCTAGGCTGGGGGGCACCGGGATAGGGGATTGGGGTAGGACGGGCTGCGGCGAATTAGGAATACATACGATACGTACCTTACCTTATTTTTATTAGATCCTCTCTTGATTATTATGCATTTGTTTAATTCTCATTCAACTGTTTGTGTTGGTTCTTTATTACCTACCGTACTGAAGATAGAGATGGGATATCACACTCACTACATCACATCACATCACACTATATTACCTTTCCTTACGTACTTCCTTCCTTTCGTCGCACCTCTCACTCCCCATCCCTAAACACCCTTCCTTACCAAAAGATCCCCCCCCCCCCCCAAAAAAACAAAAGACCAAACTAGAATAATAAATGGGTAATATCAATTCAATTCCATTCATAACTCATTCAGCAGTTTCAAGAATACCTAAAGTACCTAGGTACCTCATAATAAAATTCAATCCACACACGATCAAGATTTATCCTTCCATCGTCATGTTGCGTTTTGGAGTTCGCTCGGGGTGATCTGGCTGTCTGTTTTTTTGGGGGGGGGGGGGGGGGATGGGCGTCGTTATTGTATCATGTATACCTTAGATAGGTAAGGTAGGCTATACTTTAGAGCTGCGTTGTTGTTGTTGTTGTTTTTCCCTGTGATGATGATTTTTTCTTTTTATTTTCTTGATTTGATGGGGGGGCTTTAGATGGGGGCTGAAGGGTCGTTGGGCGGGTTGGAGGAGGTGGATGGTGGTGGGGGCGAGGGGGCGTCGGTGATGGGTGTGTCTTCTGCTGCTGCTGCTTCTTCTTCTTCAGAGGCGGTTTTGATGCGCTTCTCGTCGGCGCCTAAATCCTCGCCTGCTTCGCGTTTGGGCGTGGTGGGGGTTTCTGCTTCCGGTTCTGAGGCGGCTGGCTCTTCTGGGGTGTCTTCTTTGTTGTTGTCGGCTTTCCTTCCAACGGCAGCCTCGACGTCGATGCCCTGCATTGCGACACCTGGCCCGCCTCTTTGACTCGCGCTGCCGTTGCCCTGTGGTCCCATGTCTTCCATGCCGATCTCTTCGGGACCTCTAGCATGAGGGGCTTCGTCTTCCTCTCCCAGGCCGTCTGCATCTCCTCTGCTTCCCTCGAGTTGTGAAATGGGCACGACTCCCGCCTGTTGCTCCTGTCTTAGTAATTCTCCCTGTGTGACTCCCCCTTCTGCCCGTAGGCCTGCAGTGCCGCTGCCCTCGCCCGGAGGGGATGTAGAAGATGGACCCCCCCGAGTAGACGAGACGCCATTCACGGAAACGGACACTGTCTCGACGCCACCGGGTCCGTTGGGTCCCTCGACCATTTCCGTGCTCTCCGTCTTCACTTCCCCTTCTAGAGGCGAGTGCGTATCTCCGTTACTCTTATTTAGCCATGGTATAGGCGTGAGTAGCGCACCCCCTAAACTATCATCGAACACAAGACCGCCTTGTTGAGGAGCGGAAGATGTTCGGTTGCCCCAGGATACAGATAATGGATCGATGCCGGTTCCATTTGAAAGCACGACCGCGCTCGAGGGGTCTGGGATCGCGGGGGGCAAAGGAAAAATGTGCGCTCCGGACGTGACGTGCACGACACGATCCACAGCATGGAGGTAGGCCGGGAGGGTTCGATAGTGCTGTTTGGGGGAGAGGATAAGTTCGGCGAGTCGCTGGATCGTGTGCGGTGGGTGTTTGGAGAAGAGGGTGTTGAGAGTGCTGATTATGGAAGCGAGGAGGGATTCGGCTTGCGGGGGAAGCCTGCCAGGAGGGCTATCGTCTGGTGGAGGCGCGTTCTCCTTGTCTGTGGACTGGGTAGATGTAATGCTGTTCTGGCTGGAGCCTTCCGCAGCTTGAGACTGGGGCGGCGAGGAGGGTAATGGTTGGGACGAGGCGGGGCGGGGGCGAGGAGTTGAGGGGATAGGGAAATCATTATGTACAATCTAGATGCGATCAGCTATGTCCTGGGATCGTTGGGCGCAGACGACAATTACATTCTCCAGCCTGGGTATCAATCGCGAGAGTAAAGCTGGCCATTGGTCACTGCTCCAAGATTAGCTGGGCGCCTGGGCTCGTGGGAATTTGATCGACCTACCAATCCATCGAATCGCCATTGGCGAGGGCTTGCAAGACCTCATCATCGGTGTCGATATCCATGGCGGTGGGTTGCGACAAGAATCAAAAAGTTCTGGATGGAGGCGCGCAGGCGCGTTTGCGACGTTCGCCTTGTCCCGAGACGAGACGAGACGGGAGACGCGCGCGCGGAGACTGGAAGTCGCGGCTGCTGCACCTGGGACGTGAATGACGGGAAGCAGCGGAAGATTGAAAAGAACCCTTCTCTACTTTGAGGACTCAAATGAAGTCTGCACAGGATTTGCGAACTGTTGAAGATCGAAATTCCGAATTGCTGGGCGAAACCCCACGCCAGGGTCCCGGACTATTGCGCGGAGAATTAGGATTGTACGGAGCTTCCGTATCGGCTACCGTACCGACAGTAGCGATGTGGCCTGTCCCTTGCCGTACATGCATAGTAAGCTTATCATGTGACCCGAGCTGTGCAAACATCCTCGCTCGCTTAGAAGTTTGCATCCCCTTAGCGCGTGTCCGCAGTCGTCTCTCGAGTATAAATACTCGCGTTCTCCCGCACCCTCTTTCGAAAATCATACTTACCTTCTTGGCAGCGACCTGGCTCAAGAATCAGGGCGCTGGCGATACGAGTCCTCCATTGCACATCGGGGCGACGAGAATCGTTTACTTGGCTTCGGTCACGTAATCGGGGGAATTTTTGATTGCTTGCGACCACTGGTCCACCCTTGTTTTTCATTGAGCTCTCATGCCTCGTGCTGGGACTTGAAGAAGAGGAAGAAAGGGAAGAGGAAGAAAAGGAGGAGAGGGGAGCAGACAAAACATGGCCTTGCGATAATAATACACAGGCAACATGCCCGTCCACTCCTGATACTGCACATCATACGTGCCGCGCCTTTTGCGTGACTCGCTGCCATGAACCTCGGATGGCTGGGATGGGTTCTCATGTGCTGCTACTGTAGGTAAGGTACTCAACCTCTGCACCTCTGCTACAGTACTTACTCCCCGCCATGATTCGTTCTCAACTTGTCTGTCGCAGGGCATGTCCCACCCCCTTGCGGAGGTCAAACACCCATATGCACGCCTGGATCTTCGAAACATCCAGGACATCCCCTCCTTCCTCTCGAGTCACGCACCCTCGACTACTCCTCGAGCTCTACGATGGATATCTTATCTTGATTCTTCAGCCTTCAGCCGTGGCGACTTGGCAGGCGTCGGTGTAGTTCGTGCACTGCCCGCCTCGAGGTCGGCTGTGAATGAAGCTGCGACGTCGTGATAGGACGTACGGCTTGGCACGACGGCTTACGGCTTGCGGAGAATCAACAATTGGCAAGGCGTTTTCGAAGGCTGTTTCTTGGCACGGGATCCTCTGGTCGAATTACAATGGTTGGAATCCACGGGGGGTTGCCAGACGGGAATGATCATTGATCATTGATCGTAGTATTGTCAGTAATCGTATTATCTATCATCACTATTGAACGCCCTCTTTGTCCCTCGCTGTTGAAAAGGCGGAGAACCTCGCCGCCAAGCGTATCGTGCCGTGTCCAGGAACCACTAAACCACTATAGATAATAGAGAGACTACTAAGAGACCACCACAGTCTTAATCAACCCCTTGAACTCTGACCCGGCCAGGTGCTACGGACGGACGACATACCAAACTACAGGAATAGTACCACGGTCTTATTATTTCCCGCTCCAACACTCCCGTAGCCTGCTTCCCTTAAGGCTTTAATACTCGCGACGACCTCAAACCTCCCCAATCACTCCCAGACCCCCTATCTTCACATTCGTTCAACTTCAACCCCTTCCATGACTCTCCTGTCTCTCTAGTCCAAGTCCTGTCTACGGCAAAGACGCCCTACGGCAAAGACGCCCTACGGCCCCTACCTCTCCCTACCCGCCTCCAACCCTAAGACCCCCAGCCCGCGACCCAGGTTGTTTCATCCTACGACCAAACACTCGCTACACTGTTACAGCACATCCATCCAGCCTGTGACTACTTAGTATTGAATATCAACTAATTCACTATTCGAGAGCGCCGACCTGCTCAAGACCGCGCCTCCAAGTCTCTCTACCCCCAATCATACCTGTCTTGCTCGCTTCTTCGCATCACATCGCATCGCATCACATCACATAACATCGTATCGCGGCGTGCGTCGCAACCTCACGAATCCTCCTCTCACACCTCAGCCTTGACCTCGCTCCTGCTCAGGAGCACAATCACCGCCATCGTGGCGTACCGACCCGAATCACGGAGTTCTCTTCTGAATGCTGGAGATCCAGCATATCAGTCGTATGAGGGAGGATACTATCATCGGGAAGGTCTCACGCCACCAGTCGTAGGCCCGGTGCCTCGACGAAGAAGGATGTACATACCCAGAACTACCTGGACATGGGCCTTCATGGCGACGACGATGGTGCAAGCCGCCATTACACTCGCAATGGAATCGTAAGCTAGCCACACTGCCGGAGATAGCACTCTCTGCAGAGTTAACTTTGCATTTATAGGTATATCTTTGCCAAGTTCCAAGAGAGTCTACGGCCAGACATTCCGACCATACCAGACATGAAAGCCATCCCGACATACCTTACACTCTTTATCTTCGGGTTTCTCTACCAACTGGTACTCGTCTACGACTCCTTGCGACTTAAAAATACCATCCAAGTCATCGGGCTTTGCATCTATAATCTTGGCATGCTTATCTATGCTGCCATTCAATACGATCAGATCAACAAGGCAATCCATACCTTGGAGGGTCTGGACTACGTGGACAAGAAAGCAGATGTCTGGGATGACGTGCATCCATACCTGCTCGCCGTTCCATGTATTATCGCTTTCTTCTCCGTTGTCATGTCCTTCGTTGCCTGGAAGCTCTATGATGAATTTGCCTGGACCATCTATAAGCACATCAGCGCAGACCTACGGATGAAGCATCGCTTCCTCACATTTCAGGTAAGGCTTCATAATCGTGTGGTCGGGATACATGCTAATGGCACTTTAGATCTACATTGCTCTGCTGAAATTTGATTTTTTCTTCTTCCTGGGCTTTACAGTCCAGTTCCTTGTGATCGTCACCGGCCTGGAAAACGTGGAAAAATTGATCACCATCATCGCCGTCCCCGTCACGGTCCTCATTCTCATCATGGCAGCATTCTGGACCCGACGCGAGAACCACTTCGGGATGGTGTTAACAATCGTCTGTTTCTTCGGTGGATTGGCATATTTCATCTTCAAGCTTGCCCGGATGTACCAAGCCAGTCATGAACAGAACTACTTACCTGTTCGGAAGACTCTTACCAGCTTCGCGGTAATCACGATCACTTTAATTGTCCTTACGATCATCAACGCCTCAGTATGCATGGCCAACTTCAACAAGGGACTGAAGCCACATATTCAAAAGCGCAAAATCGCCGATGTTGAGGAGAAGGTCACCAAGATGACTGAGCTGCCGGATCTCAAGAATGGGCCAGTAACGACTCGGATGGAAATAGACTAAGCGTTTGTGAATAATGGATATTAGGAGTGCTTGGGTGAAAGGCCAAGGCTGGAAAATTGCAGGCCATGTATACTGAAACGACTACGACCTTTTCTTTGCTGGTTCTACGGATCTGATGACTCAGGATCATATGCTTCGTGGCTATCGAGGCATTTCATACCCGGATGGCGTTACGAGATGTTGGATGGAGTTCAGGTTAATTACAATGCATAGGAGGAGCGCATGGATACCAGTGTGAGCGATTTCTATGTGAGGGCCCATGTTGCCGGCTTCATCGTACCTTCAAAGCGAATAAGAGAGCTTTTTCAAGACTAAAAATTGCCATCAAATATCGTGAAGCTGTAGGCACTTGATTGTGAAGCAGCAGCCTCGATCAAACGATACCGATACGTGTGAGGCCCCCTTGGGTAGCTAAGGTAAGGAGGCTGCCGCAGGGATCCGAGGCAAGTTCCAACCCCACACTCGTTTGCCCCGGATTCTACTCCGCGGCTTCAACTATTATTTACTACCCGAGGCCCCCCGCGATACGTCAAAACGTCCCTCCCAATAGCCACAGCAAACAAGAAGTTGCACCGCTCTTTTCCAACAACATGTAGCAAGCTGCTGCATGACAACAATAGCTCTCGTTACTCTACCTATTTGCAAACAATTTGGAGGACAGTTAAGCTCTGTTTATTGGCAGGCCAGACCACGTCCTGCTTCAAAGTCCCAGCTAGAGCAAGGAACTCAAGTCAAGTAACGCTTTCAACTGCGACAAAATGCCTTCTTCTTTTCCCGAATCCTACGCAGCGCTCCCCTTCCAGCATATCCGCCTCTCTCACATCCCAGAGAGTTCCCCCACACCCACACCCGTCATCCTGATCACCCTGCACCGACCCGGCAAGAACAATGCCTTCACAGGGATCATGGCCACGGATCTCGAGACGGCATTCGACCTGCTCTCGCACGACCCGCGCGTGAAAGCCATCGTCGTGACCGGCGACGGCAAGATGTTCTGCGCCGGCGCAGACCTTGACGGCGGTGCTGGGTTCGCGACGCGCGATACGCCTCGCACACACCGCGACACTGGGGGGCGTGTGACCCTCGCGATCCACCGGTGCACCAAGCCGGTCATTGCGGCGATCAATGGGAGCGCGGTGGGCGTGGGTATCACCATGACGCTGCCGATGAACATTAGGATCGTGAGCGAGAAGGCCAAGATCGGGTTTGTGTTTGCGAGGCGAGGCATCGTCATGGAGGCTGCGTCGAGCTATTTCTTACCGCGATTGATTGGCTTGAGTAGAGCGATGCATCTCGTCACCACGGGCGCCGTGTACCCCTCCACAGATCCCTTACTGCGAGATTTATTCTCGGAGGTCCTCCCGCCTGAAAAGGTGTTGCCCAGAGCGTTGGAGCTGGCGGACGACATCGCGAAGAATACCAGTACCGTCAGCACTGCGCTGATGAAGGACATGATGTGGAGGAATCCGGGCTCGGCCGAGAAGACGCATCTTCTGGATTCGAAGATCCTGTTGGATTTGTTCAATGGGAAGGATCAGCAGGAGGGCGTGGATTCGTTCCTGCAGAAGAGACAGGCTGCTTTCAAGGGCAACATGGCGGATAATGCCCCAGCTGTTTGGCCTTGGTGGGATCCTATTGACACGGCCCCACCTGTCACAGTGGAGGACTTGAAAGCGAAACTCTGACAATTGTATGTGAATGACATATAGCTAGGTTTGATAATGCAGCAAATGTGGGCTACCGGGACGTGGTAATTCGACAGCGTGTTACCAACAGGAACTGCATTCTAATTCTAACCTATATATATACTCGTGATGTCCTACAGAATCAAACGTGCCTTAGCCAGCCTTAGAGCATGCATCTCCTCAATTCGAGGTGCCACCTGTAACCATCCCACTTTCCAAGTCCCACCGCTAATTTACCTATTTAAGATCCCAAGAATTAACATTTACGATAAGAGAGTCGACTTCTCAAACCTCCCTCCATCAATAAGAAGAAGAGGATAGTAGAACCCATCCACGAGCTCGATAACTCAAAGAACTTGCCATCACCCCCCCTTCTCCCATCGTCATCATGCCTCAGAAAGAATCTGTCTTCACCGACAAGGCCCCGGCGCCTTTGCCTTTCTTCTCCCAGGCAATTAAGTGTAATGGCATGGTGTACTGCTCAGGCTCTATCGGGACGGATCCCAAGACTGGGAAGTTAGTTGAAGGCAGCGTTGCGGATCGATGTGTAAGTTCACCCACCTCCCCTCGCTCTTCGAGTCCCCAAATTTCCCTTCGCCCCCCCCATCTTCAAAGAAAAAAGAGAAAATCCCCCAGAATGGCAAAACCAAAAAAAAAAAAGAAAGGAAAAAAAAAAAACCGAAGAATCAATCAGCTGACTTACCCATCCCCCTCAAGGCCCAATCCCTCGCCAACCTAAGCGCCGTCCTCGAAGCCTCGGGGAGCAGCATCGACAACGTCGTCAAGGTCAACATCTTCCTGACCGACATCGCCGACTTCGCGACCATCAACACCGTCTACGACAAGGTCTTCCACAAGGAGCCCAAGCCGTGCCGCACCTGCGTCGCGGTGCACCAGCTCCCGCTCGGCACCGACGTCGAGATCGAGTGCACGGCGCATCTGTAAGGTGAAGACGCGATCCTCACGCCCCGGGGCTTTTCTTGCTAATGTGTGCCCCTTTTTGGGGGGGATTGTAGGAATGAAGGGGAGCGTGCTAAGTTATAGCCGCGAAAGGCGTTGTTGGTGTGGGCACTGAGTGAGTGAGTGAGTGTGTGAGTGAACAGCATGAAGTGATGGCATGGGTTTTGTGAGATCCTGCTATGGTCACTTTTCCGGTGCTTGAATTTTTTTTATCTAAGAGTGGGGAAAAAAAAGAGAAGATTAGGAATCGATACTTCTCCCCCGTGTGAGTGAGTGTTTTCGGATGGTTGATTGATATTGAAGTACGGTATGTACCCTATGACCGCAACCAGCAGCCCGGATCACGCGAGTCTAGCTTTGTTCGAAAGCATTCATCATGTGGACTGGTTGAAAGCATCTCATTATATTCAGCAAGGTATAGTTTAGAGGGGGGGCATCCCCTTGTGATTTCTTTATTGTCATTCCTCGCAAAAGGGAGGAATGTTTATCCCGCCTCCTTTCTTTATTGATTTCTCACAATGCGTCCATATTCGCACAAGAGAGAAGACCAAGCTACTCGAGATGGGACCCTTTCGGTATAGATTTAATACAGTATGTACTTTAGGCACTATGCCTAGGTACAGCTGTCGGCTCGACATATAATGAACAATCCCATTCCCTGACCACAGACGAGAGGAGTCCAGATAAAAGTGCATCTATCTAGAGCACCGACGAGCACTGGAATATACCAAAGCCGCAACGATGGCCAATGACAATACTAACATCCCTCATTCGCAGAGCAGCTCGCCGGGGACTGCATCTACAGCCGCTGGAGGGAAGATTTGGAGCCCAACCGGAAAACACGAAAAATCTCCAGGTACCACTCCTTCGAATCAAGGAACCGCTGAAAAGGGGAAGGCAGGGGGAGCCCAACAGCTGGGTAAACCGCCGCCATGGCCCGGAACTGCAGAACTTGGGCAACTCTCGCATGCACAGACGGGAAATCAAGATGTCGTGAAGTTTAACCCTTTGCAACAGAAACAACGGAGAGCGCGAGCAGCGCTGAAGAAATTGCGTGAACCCCCTAAAGAGATTAGGCCGGACTGGACGCCGGATCATCCTCGTATACTGTCGGACAATATCAAACACATTATCGATGCGACCCGTGATCCGGCGGAACTGAGATATAACCACGGAAAAAAAGATGATGATGACAATAGGCGTTCAGAGGAAGAAGAGCCCCCACCCCCGACTCAAACTAGACAGGCACAGCAGGCAATTCCTGGACAGACAGGAACTTCAAGCCAGCCAGCATCTCAAGGCCACAAACGGCAGCGCGAAGAAGAGGGCAGGGCTTCAGATGAACCCGACATCAGGAGCATCACGGCCGAAAACCAGCGGCCATTGAAAAGAGTGAAGTTGAGAACCGGCATCACGCAGCACGTGCCGGAAGAGCTCACAACCCTGCGACCCCAACCTCTGCGGTTGAGTTTCCCTCCTCATCCTGCCGACGATCGCAGCGATGCATGGTTCGTCGAGGAGTTCCGCAAGCTGTTTCGGCGGATAGACAGGTTTGCCCAGGACTACTTTGCTCGGCATGACCTCGATGAAGGGGAGTTCCACCAGCCGTGGGCCGCGGACATGTCTCCCGAGTTCCTGCGGTACGTCGAGCAGGTGGCGGAAGCCGACCCCGCGGTTGGGGGTTGGGATAACTTGCTCCGGGATACGGTGCAGAGGAAATGGCTCATCGTGGCAGTCATCATGCGAATCCTGGAAGTAAAGGTCTTTGGCGCTGACCTCTGGGGTGCGGATGCAGAAGAGAAAGAAGTCTTGCTTGGCTTGGAGAAAGCCCTTTTGACTCGAGAAGGTAGGATCCAGCATCCTTTGACTCGCAAGAGACGCAATGGAGTTGCTAACCCGCCCTCTCCAGGATTCTCCCGTAACGCCGTCCGCTCTCACATGGTCCGTACCATTGTCGGAAAGGGACCAGTAACCAAATACTTCCACCCCGAAGTAGCACAGCTCACGGCCCAAGTGGCACTCCTTTTCAACCCTCTCTCCGACTTCCTCTACAGGAGGCCTCCAACAGACGGCCGCGCCAACCCCCAGATGGCAGACCAATACCAGGCTCTCCACAACATAATCTCCACCGCCGCCTACCTCTCAATCTGCATCCGCCTCTCCCCCACCATCTTCTACTTCACCGCCCTCACCCCCAACACCCCCTACGACCCAGCCGACCAACACAGTCTCGAGTCGCTCCTCTACACCCACAGCAAAGCCGCCGTCCTGCACTCCCGCACCGTCGCCCTCTCCATCTTCCAAAACCGAACATCCCACCTAACCACCACCCTCGCCCGTCTCCAGACCGCCGGCCACCGTCCCACAAGCCGCATCTACAGACGCGCCCAAGCGGCGCTCGACTCGCATCTGCGCACCCAGGCACAGCCCCTATCACGCACCCACCGCGCACTCGTGAAGATCGCCATCTGGCCCGCGATCCGCCGCTTCAAGCCTGGCTCCTCCCAGGACGAAAGACTCAACATCCCCCTAGGATCCCGCGACGGTTTCCGAATCTTCGACGTCGGGAAAGCAGCCGCAGTCTTCTATTACGGGATGGAAAACAGGAGGGAGGCGCTGAAGGGGAGGACAAGCTTGGAGGCGCTGGCAAGGATGAAAAGGAGGAGGTATGGCGAGAGAGAACCTGGCGTAGGTAGGGGAGTGGTGTTGTTCGCGGCCGCGGCTGCGGCGGCTGCGGTTGCGGGTATCCCGGCGGCTTTGGCTTATGGAGAGGGATTTAGACGCGTGGCGGAAGAGTATTTGGGTGGTGTTTTTGCGATCCCATCTTTGCCAGCAAACTCCTTTTTGGGATCGGTTGCTCAGCTTATAGGCGGTCAGCTTCGTTGATCCTATTTTTTTCTGAGTGTTATTCTGCTGGAGCTCGGCGTTGTTCGATATATTTGTTCGATCGTTTTGACGTACCTTAAGCTAGAAGCTCTCTTCCTGTACTCGGCCAATTTTGGGCATGATTGTTGGATGATGCAGCCTGAGATGATTAATTTGCATTTCCTTTTCGTAGCTAGAAATTGTAAACATTATGTATAGTTTCCCTCGCTCGCTACCTTGCCTCGATACCCTACGCCGATAATAACTGAAGCCTGGTATCATGATGCCTCTTCTCTCTTGAACACCGAGATCCACCGGGGAAGATCGAACTATCCAACAAAGGAAAAAGAGGCCGAACCCTCTCGACGCCGTGCAATATGTTTTGTTTTCCGTTGCTCCCAGGACTCGGGCCCCTAAGAAACAGGAGGCGGAACCGTTTTCTTCTTCTCTTTCTTGGCCCATCGAAGACCGCAAGCGTTACAGAGTGTCTTAGGCCCACTTGGCCCCTTGCGCCACTCGGGCGAATCCAAAGTCCCTTGTATTCACGTTAGCTTTACGCAGAGAGTTGAGCGAGGGAGGGAACATACCGCAATCAGTACAGACGTATTCATCGGGGAGTTTGATTTTCTTCTTCTTCTCGCCACCACTCGATTCTTTGTCCGCGGGGATTGCAATACCGGCGTCTCCTCGGACTAGGGCTGGGCTCTGGCCGCCGGTACTGATGCCGAGACTTCTCTCTCCATCTTGATACCGTAGGCCGGTCAGCATCTCGATGCTTTCAATGTGTGTGGCGCCTTCGTAACGAGCCATCTTATCAGTGATAGAATCTGGCTTGCTGCCTGCATTAGCATCCTCCAGGTTCTGTCGAGTCAGGGCCCCATTCGATGGCTTTGCAGGAGGGGGCATCGCTAAGGGGTTTGTCATAAGGCCCGTTATTGTTCTTGAAGTTGAAGCTCCCCCAACTGTATCGATCTCCTCGGATGGGATATCTGAACGGCCCTCTTGCTTCTTTTGCCAGAGCCTCTGGGCCTCCTCCGCTTCTTCTGCTTCTTCCCTCTTCAACTCATTGATACGCTTCGTCAGTCGCTCATTCTCGATCTTGTGCTCCAAAAACGAATCCAGCAATGCGGCATTCTTAGTCGGATAGGGGCGAGCCATCATGAAGAACCCCCGACAGAAACCTGCTGAGTTGCTTGGCCTAAACGCAGCAGCTTCAGACGTAAGGTGGGGATGCCCGTGAGACTCGAAGATCGTGTATGTGCCATCCTTCTTCCGGAAACGATAGAAAAACTGCAGAGGATTCCCACTCGCTATGGACTCGTTGAACTCCCGCATAAATATTCCACTATCATCTGGATGTATGAAATCGATGATAAACTTCCCTAAGAGTTCGTCTTGTGGATATCCAGTCAGATGTTCGCCACTCGGTGAAAGGTAGACTATTCGCCCGTCCGGAGTAAGAACATGCAAGAAGTCTTGCAGCTCTTCGATGATGCGCTGCGACCAATTCTTCCTCTTCATAAATTCCGTAAGCGTACTGCTACTAGAAAGTGTTGACTGTGCACCGAAATCGCTAGGTAATGGTCCCGCTCCAGCAGTGTTCACAGGTCGGTCCACAGCCCCAGACCCGATTGCCCGTCCACCATCGGTTTTCTCGGCCTCGTTATGTGACATGGTGGTATCCAGAGGCATATATGACTTCCCAGTGCCGTCATCGAGACTGTTGGCATTGAGGGTCACAGGCATGCCATCGAAATCTGTGAGCATTCCGTCTTGCAACATTCCGGTCATGGAAGCGTCAAGGGTGTTGGAACCTGGCTTTATTGCTATCAGAACATGGTTGTTCTATGCCAGGAGAGGAAGCATACCTGCAAGGCAGACAGGCCACCGATGCCGTACATTGAGGATCGATCCATATTGTCCATATTCTTATCTCGTGGGGAAGATCCCCGGGACGCTCTAGCAAGCTCTCCCTGCAAGCAAACCACATTCGAAGACCAAGGCCACAATGCCTTTATTTTGGAGTTTCATCTACAATATGCTCATTGTAGGACCTGGCATCTGCTAAACTCGGTCCGTAGCTTGACATCTGTGGCACGCTTCGCGCGTTGCGGGGATCAAGCTCGAGGCGATTGAAGTTCCACTTTATACATTCATATCTGCACGTGATCACGCTACCTAGTCGTACCGCGTTCACGCGTACCTTACTTCAACATCTTTCGCAGTACACACCACCGTCACTATCGACGCCCTCATTCTCACCACGTCGCAAAGGAATGAGCTAGTGCAGATTTGATCAGTCAGTTAAGATGTAAGTATATTCCGCCTTCTTAAGAAGCTTCATATTTAACTTACTGGTCTTTCTAGGAGTATGTTTCACCACGCCTTTCTTGTCCGTCTCCTAACATTGCCCCCGCAGGTTCGATAGAGCAACTCTCTATCTTGGGGTAAGCACAAGCTTCTAGTACTTGGAATCCGGGAATAACTAACAATCGTCATAGGATCCGCTCCTTCGATAACCAATACAGAGAGGCCATAAAATTCAGCACTCCCTTGACCCTTATCGTCGGATGCAATGGTTCAGGCAAAACCGTACGCTTCCACCTCCCACGTTCATATGCGAAACATTCTGAGATTTTTAGACTATTATCGAATGTCTTAAATATGCCACTACGGGACAGCTCCCCCCGGGCAGCTACAAAGGCGGGGCGTTTGTACATGATCCAAAGGTAAATAATCCAGCAACACAGATCCAGACTCAAGAGGTATAATCTGACCCTTAAATAGCTCTGCGGAGAAAAGGAGGTGATGGCACAAGTGAAACTTGGATTTAAAACCGGTTCTGGAGCAAAGTTCGCCGTCTCGAGAAGCCTACAACTCACAGTCAAGAAAAACGCCAGATCCATGAAATCCCTCGACGGTTCTCTCTTAATGGTCAAGGATGGCGAACGAACTGTGATATCCCAACGAGTTGGAGAGCTCGATACAATCGTACCACAATATCTTGGAGTGTCCTCAGCGGTCCTAGAAAATGTTATATTTTGTCATCAGGAAGACTCATTGTGGCCCATGAGTGAACCAGCCGCACTTAAGAAGAAGTTTGATGAGATTTTTGAGGCTTTAAAATACACAAAAGCAATTGATAACCTCAAGAAATTGAGAAAGGCCCAAGCCACCGAGTTGGCAGTACTCAAGGTGCACGAGGAGCAAGACAAAGCCAACAAAGACAAAGGTCAGAAAGTGGAGAAACACTCCCGAATGCTTCTAAGCCAAATTGATGAGCTTCGGCAGCAAGCCGAGGCTATCGACGAAGAGATGAAAATTGCTCTGGAAGCGGGAAAAGAGAAGCACATGCTAGCAAATGATGCGCTGAACATTGTTAACGAATTGAAGACCAAGAAGGACCAGGAATCTTTCCTCCAGAAACAGGTTGATTCATTGAGGAACACACTGGAAGAGCTTCAGGAGTCGGATGAATGGCTTCGCTCAACTTTGGAGCAATACGAACAGCGCATGGCTCAATACAGGGACCAGGGGCAGGAGTATCAACTAAGCTATCAAGAGCTCCAGCAGACCCTTTCAGATTCACGTCGAGCAATGGCTGAGAAGCTTGCGGAACAGGGTCAACATCAAGCTCAGAAGAAGAACTACGAAAGACAGCTCCAGGATCGGGCGCAGCTAGTCAGAGAAGCAGCAAGGCGGCACGGGATGCGGGGTTACGATGGTGATCTTGATGAGGATCAGATCGGGGAGTTCGTTTCCAGAGTGCGAAAATTATCTCAGGATAAGGATCGCGAGTTGGAACGCATTAAAAGAGCCACTGATGAAGAGCTTAAGAAGACTCAAGCCGTCCTCACGGAGCTGGACAACAGTCGAAGTGCTCGAACACAAGATAGGTTGAATGCAAGACAAACGATCGCCGACAATGAGAGGAAGTCAACCCCTATACAACGTGATCTGGATTCCATCAGCGTGGATGAAGGTGCCAAGGCAGCTTTGGAGGCGTCCCTCAGGGATGTCCAAGATCGATTTCAAAGAGCCACCGAGGAGTATGAGGCTGCAGAATGGGACAGGAACCTAAATATTGAGAACAGCAAGCTCCGGGACTTTGAAAGTGAGTCAGAGAGACTGACGGCGGAACTTGTACAGAGCAACAAACTTGCCACGGATCGGGCGCATTTTGAACACCTTAAGAAATTAGTCAAGGGAGCTCAACAAGGGTTGGATACCATGATATCCACTCATGGTGATCAACTTAGCTCCGTTATTGGTGCCGGGTGGGAAGTCGACAGCTTAGAACGTGAGTTCCAAGCTGTTTTGGACCAGAGATCCCGTTCTGTTGCAGATGCCCAAAAGCAGCAGGAAGGTACAAGCCATGAGCTTGGTGAAGTTCAATTCAAGCTCAAGACTATCCGCGAGATGCTGAAAAAGAAGAAGGAAGACATGAAGGATTGCCAAACTACTGTCCTAAACTCTCTTACTACAGAAGAAGGCGCACCCCTCACCAGTGTTGACGACTATCTAGAGGAATTGGATCTTCTCGAACAGGAGCGAAATAGCGTCCAGAAGGATATCGATGGCTTCGCATATGTTACTGACTACTACACTCGATGCCTCAATGATGTAAACTCCCAAAACAAGTGCAGACTTTGCGATAGGAAGTTTGCAGACAAGAAAGAGCGGTCTTTAGCGCTTGAGAAGATAAACAAACAACTTGCCAAGGATGCTAGGGCAGCTCTTGAAGACGATTTGAAGAGGCTTGACGCGGATCTCAAGAAGGCTGTGGCCGCCCGACCTCAATATGAAACCTTCAAGACCCTATCTGCAACTGAGATTCCAGCACTCGAGAAGGAGCTCCAGGAAGCCAAACAAAGGGATGATGAGCTTAATCGTGTCCTCGAGCAACATGATAGCCTGTTCAATCAAGCGATGTCGGCTAAGAAAGAGGTTGAATCTCTTTCGACCACAGTGAGAACTATTACGGGATACCGCAGCGAGATTTCCAAGCATGAAGCCGATATTGCCAGACTTTCCTCCCAGCAGAAGTTGTCAGGCAGTTCTCTGTCGATCGAAGAGATAGACGAACAGCAGACAGCTTGTTCCGCGCAGATTCGATCGTTGAAAGCGAAGATCCAGAAGATGTCTTCCGACAAGGAGCATGCAAAAAGCACGATGAACAACTTGCAAGTTGAGATGAGCAGCATATCAAGCAAACTCGCCTCAGCTGAGCACGCGTTGGAGAGGAAGAGAGATCTTCTTTCTCGGCTCGAGGGGCTCCGCGAGAACACTAGCCAGCTGCGCGAAGATATAAAACGGGCGGACGCTGATCTTGAGGCGTTGATTCCCCGGTTCGAAAAAGCAAAAGCTCAACATGATGACGCCAAACAACGTGGCCGGGAAAAAGAAAAAGAGGTCCAGGTAGATAAGGATAGGCTCGCCGACACTGTGAACAAGTTCAACCTAGCCGAAGCGGGCATTAATAGGTATCTCGATGAGGGCGGACCCCAGAATCTTGCCGCCTGTGAACGGGCTATTAAAGCCCTTGAACAAGATCAAGTGCGTATCGAGGGCGAACTTTCACAGATCACGCAAAAGAATAATGATCTGAAAAAGCGAATCGATGATGGCGAGCGGACAAAGAGAAGCATCGAGGACAATCTAAGATTCCGGGACTGTCTCAAAGATTTAGAAAAAGTACAGAAGGAGATTGCGGAATTGAACGAACGCAATGCAACCGATGATTATGAACGTCTAAGTCGTGATGCGGTTAATGCCGATAAGCGTTACCAGAAGCTCCTTGCTGAAAGAGGTCCAATTCTCGGATCAATCAAGTCCAAAGATGAGGAGCTTACCAAAAACCTACAAGAATGGGAGACCGACTATCAACACGCAGCTCAGAAATATCGAGAGGCTCATATCAAGGTCGAGACGACCAAGGCAGCTATTGAAGATCTTGGAAAATATCAACTGGCCTTGGACAACGCCATCATGCAGTTTCACAGCGTGAAGATGGAGGAAATCAATAGAATTGCTGGAGAGCTATGGCAAAGCACTTATCAAGGCACTGATGTTGATACAATCATGATTCGATCTGAGAAGGAGAACGAGAGCTCAAGCGCTACCACGCGTAACTACAACTACCGCGTAGTCATGGTCAAGCAGGATGCTGAGATGGACATGCGTGGACGCTGCAGTGCTGGGCAAAAGGTCTTGGCCAGCATTATCATTCGTCTAGCTCTTGCCGAATGCTTCGGCGTACAATGTGGAGTATGTTGCCCTTCCCCTAATTGTCCCACCAAATTATTAACATCATCTGAAGCTCATTGCTCTCGACGAGCCTACGACAAATCTAGACCGAGACACTATCAAATCTTTGGCCCAGTCTCTCCACACGATAATCAAGACGCGCAGAGCGCAGGCCAATTTCCAGCTCATCGTTATTACTCACGATGAAGAATTCCTGAAAGAGATGAAGTGTCAAGATTTCTGCGATAACTACTATCGGGTCAGTAGGAACGAGAAGCAGAAGAGCGTCATTGAGACACAGTCCATTGGAGATATCCTGTCATAATTTGCTTGCTTTCTATTGTATGATTAGCGTTGTCCGGCTGGGGCGGCGCATAGGGGTCTATGGGTTTGGTTTTGATCTTGGCAATGACTATATCATATGCCTAGGATGGCGCAAATGGTTCATGGTGATACGACTTTCTGATCTATAAGTAGCGTGCATAGCTATGGCGTTAGCTAGAATGTGCTGTACTGTGGTAAACAGTCAACATCACTGGGCAATAGAGTCCTGTAAAATTCATCAAGTTCACCTCTATTGATCTACAAGTTCTTCGACCACAGCAAATCAAACAGCCATACCCAAAGAGAATCTACTCATATCCAGATCATCAACTTGGATCCGGCATGGGGTAATTCTAATGGCAGATACTTTATTATCAGCTTAGTACTGCTTCCCCGCATTCGCTGCAGGCTCCAGGAGCTGAAGCTTAGCAGAAGACATGGAGGCTGAGTTCTGCCGAAACCAGAGGCATATAGATGCCTGCGAGCCTTCAACATGCAAATCACCACAACCAAAAGTGCCAAGGCTATGAAATCTTAAAGATATCTAACATCTCGAAGTATTCCGACTTCGAGTCCCGCCGCTTGGATTGCGTCCCCTTCTGCTTTATAAATGTATGTGTATTCTAGGAAGAACAACATATGTGATATCAGCAAGCCTGTCTTATCACTGTAGCAAATCCCTCAAAGTCGATTAGGAGAATAAAATTGTAAAGTTCGGCTCAAGGACCCATGTCTCCTTCTTTTCTTCCAAGTATAATAGAAAGAAGACAATCCCGCGCTCGAATCCCCGAAGCGGTGTGTCAGATGACCCTCATAAGCGTTGCAGATTACCTCGAGTCCCACCACCTAGCTAGCTCTTCTCTCCTTAGACGTCCAATACACAAGCCTTCTATGTACTAAGTATATACGACGGTGGTGGCAGTGACTCTCACAGTGATTCCCACTCTGACACCATGTCTAACGCCATATTCTAATACTGGTATGTTCTCCCTTGTAAGTTGATCTTGAGATTGTCTTGCTGTGCCTGTCTGCCTTCTCACCTATCCCGTGTTCTAAAGTAGTATGGCGAAGACTACAGCCGGGGTATCTTTAAAACGCAGAGGCTGTTATCTGAATTGTTCGTGTTAGCATAGATTCAACGAGATTTTGGGAATCCTCCGCTTTCGTAGCGGCGGCATCAATAAAGATGTGGAGAGCTGTGGAGATGGGCTGTGTGTGTGTGAGAAACAGTCTGCAAACTAGTGAGAGTGCAGACAGTTAGGAAGATGAGTAATAAGTTGAACTTTTGCTGCTAGGAAGCGTTTGGCAATACTGGAGATGATGTATTGCTAATTCTGATATATTTGATAAGCCTAGAGGTCCTGTAGTCAGCCTGGATCTAGAGAGTAAAGCTGTAGAATGGGAAGGGAGAGAGGACGTATTGTGGAGTCGACCGAGTGGAAGTATAGGTAGTTCAATTGAGATCCCTGTGCTGATTCAGAGACAATAAGACTGGCTTAAGTATCCAGTACGTCTGATGGTCTTTTTATCCTACCCAATTCCAGATCTCTGCCGTTGCCTTCCTCCATTTGGTATCTGGTAAATCCCTGTCACCATTAGGATGATTATCTTTTGCTTGCCAATACTTCTGAGTAGTCTCAGAACCATACTCTAGGAGCCTTCAGATTAATACAGAGGTATAGTGGCTTATTGAAAGAAAACTCGCTTTTCTGCTGAACATAGTAATTCTCGCTTTCCCAGGTATTTCCATGTTTCCCCTACCGATGGCAACACTTTGTAGAGTTCGATCAATAGTGGAGAATTCAATCTTCAATCTGTTCCTGCTGCTTGTGAGAATGGATAGATGACAATGAAATCGAAAGGGAGGAGGGTGTTCGGATAGCTGTGAGGATGATAGTGGGGATCCTGATTTCGAGTATCGACAAGAGGAGGTACGATTTCTGCAAGAGCTTAGAACTTGTGCAAGTTTGTTCTACAACATAAGCTTCAATCCTGCTTCTAGAAGCCCATACTGTGTGTCTAGACACAAGATATAAGCGATCTCGCAATAGCATAGGACGTAAAGTATGTCCGGTATTGAGAGAGAGGATCAATATGCAAAGGAACTTACTTGAAAAGGACGTTTGTAATCTCGTGTGCTATACTCTCCTCTTTATTTGAGATTCGGCGTAAACAAATTGTCATTGCCGTCTGAACCGTGCCACCCTCTCTTTTCGAGGTTGGATGAATGCTTGTTTTGTACGCGTCAATCTTGCACGCGTTGAACTCTCCTACAGACGGAGGAAACATTCCGACTGCCCAGAAACTCGACGCGGCCCCTTTCCACATATCTGCTAATCGACCATCAGCATACCAGAATAACCATAAGAACATATAATCTCATGCCCTGAAGGATGTGTCGCAGTAACTGAGTAGATACCCAGCCTCTGCCTCCCTCAGAAGGCAGAATAAGCAAGTAGATAGGATAGCATGCATCGCACTCTTAGCAATGAGTAAACATGATACAGTGAATCTTATGTTTTCCGCATAGCCTCTGGTCAAATAATCTGAAGAACCAAACGGAAATAAGTCTCTGTTTACATAAATTTGGTTGTTGAGGGGGGAAGCTCACTATTTCGATACTCGATTCCCCAAACCCCCAACACCTTCAAACATAAAGACTCGACGTCCCAAGGAGCAGATCCACAGCAAATAGGACACCCACAGTTCCTCGTCAGAGAAGACAAAATTGAAAGACAAGATCATCCCCAGATCTCTAAGACGATATCTCCTCATCGAGAACAATCTCCTGCCAACCAATCTTCAAGCCATATTGGATTCAGGGCCGCATCACGACGAACATTGTCTTTCTTTCTCAAAATCGAGTGGCCCATTCTCGAACCCCTCTTCATCGACATCATCATCGTCAAGGTTTTGACCAAGATCAGCAGTCGCAACAAGAACCGCCAATACCACATACAATCTTGAAGCCGACCAAGAATCCAGACTGCCCTCTCATATTTCCCAGCCAATACTCTCCACAACAATATCTACCCTAATCTGTCTTCCCACAGCAATGAACCCACTCCAACAATACCTTCAATTCTTCTGCAGATAGAGACTCCGAGAAGATGGAGAGGAGCCAGCGTGGGTATCAGCACCCAAACGCAAGGAATGAAGGAACCCATCGTAATGAGGTCGATGACGAGTATTCGGCGGCAGATAACGCATCAGAGATGCCAAACCATCGAACTGCGTTCCAACCGAGCTGGCAAAGCCCATACACCGGGGGATCTACATGGCGAAATAACATAGAGCAGTTTGAAGCTCCCCAACTAGGGTCGACACGACCACCAGAGAGCCGAGGACAGTGGGACAATACCCAGCTACCAAAGTCTACACAATCACGCGACCAAGAGCAGTGGGACGATACCCGTCTACCAGAACCTGCTGCCGGCGTCCCTTGGTGGATCACTCACAGATCGGGCCATGAACTCCCACAGCCTGATAACTTTCCACGGGATGAAAGCGGTTCTGGCCAGTATGCGCAACCTGCGCGTCTCCGCCATGCTCGGCGTGGGACTTTTCAGCAAGATCAAAGCGATCTCAACCAGTATTCGGCGGAACCCTTGGGCCTTCGCCGCGATCAACAAAGCACCTTTCAACCGGACGAAAGTTCATTGAGACAGTTTTCCGAGCCTACGCACCTTCGCCATACTCGGCATAGAACATTTGGAAAAACAGAGGAGGTTAACTTGAACAACCAATATTCGCAGCCTTCTGGTCTCCATCGCGCTCAGTATAGTACCTCTCAAGACGAAAGTTCCATGGGCGAGTATTCACAACCTACGCGAGCTCACCATGGTCAAGATAGAACATTTGGAGAGGCAGATGATGGTAGCTTCAAGCAATATTCGCAACATTTGGGTCTTCGTCGTGCTCAACACCAGACTTCGCAAGAAGCAGAAGAAGACGAAGATGACGAAGATAGACAGTATCCGCAACTAACGGGTCTTCGCCGTACTCAAGATAGTACTCGTCAAGCAGAAAGAAATATTACCCAGGATTGGAAACCTCCGCATCTTCGTCATATTCCCGCCAGATACAGACACCGCAACCAAGCTGTATACTTTCCACCAAATCAAAACAAGAAGAATGAGAGCCCACAGGAGTCTGGCCCACTACAAGAACTTCCAGCCCGCGATATGTCTCATCATCAAGACGCATACGAGCAGAGCTTCGAAGCCCCTGCTAGTTTCCAACCTCCCAATGTTCAACGTAATCAGCGGTCTCATTCTGCCCGCGGCTACTATAGCCCAGGTCCATTGGATGGCCGGCCACTTCCACAAGTACCTGTGGAAACTGGATATGGAGCGGAAGAGGAAACTTTTCCACGGGATCTCGCAAGAGAGGCACACGAAGAGATCCAGCTCGAAGAACAGAAGCGTGACAAGAACCATGCAACAAGAGATGGGCTCTTAAGAGAATATAGAGCGAGAGGTATCCGGAAACTAAAATCTTTCACTGATAATAGATCACGAGGTGCAGCAGTGGAAGACCAGTCTCACTCTCCAACACCAGAGTGGGATCTGCCAAGACAGCCTCCACCCGTTCCTGCCCCCGTTCAATATAGACAGCCAAGTGAGGATGACGAAATTGGCGAAGCTATGTGCATAAACAGCTCTGGGCTTTCCCGCATGGGAGAAATAACTGAGAGGGCTGAAGCAACATCCAATGCGGCGCAAGAATACCTGAAGCAGAAAGAGTTAGAGAGCTTTTTCAAGTCTCTGATACAGTCCAAGACGAAAACCCCCTTTTTAAATTGTCTGATAGAGCTCAATCTAAAGATTGACCAGCTTGCTGTTCAGCTGTGGAGAGGTGGACTGGAGGGGAGAAAGTTGTTCTCCGGAATTAGCGGTAACAGAATCAGAGTTGCCTACGAGCATGTCAGTGGCTAGTACAATGCCTATACGAAAGGCTGCTAACTGTGACGCTAGATGATAAGAATGCTCACAGACTTGACCTGGAGCCTAGGGAAAATTCCCCGGCTCCAGGGCGAAAAATTCAGAGTCAGACACATCAAGGGAAGAGTGCTGGCCTGTCTTTATGCGACCAGATCTCACGTTGAGGTAAGGTTTAGGAACCATATATCTTTGGCGCCGCTAATGTGCCTTAGATGCTGGTCAGAGGCTTGGAGCCTTATGTTGATAATTTGGTGGTAGGAGGGGAAAGATTCGGGAAGGGAGAGATCCTTGTCACACGCTTCAAGCGCTGCATAGAAGACTGGGAAAGCATCGACCAAAAGACAGGGGATGTCATCAAGGAGCTAAAATCCCCGAACTTTGCAGCGCCCAGGTCTACCTAGGTGACCATTGCTTCCGATCGGTTTTTGCTCCGAAGCTTGTCCTTCATAAAGGAGCATCAGCATCATGCCTCGGGAATGAGTAAGTTCGACGAACTTACTTCAGTTGAGGCAACTTTCTTTCATGATTGCGGTATGGGGATATGCGTGCAAGGGTTTGTATGAGTATGGGTACTCTCCAGTATTGGTGTTAATTGAATCTGGCCTTCCTATAGCCAGGCCGCACATTTATTTCCTTGCCTCAATCGTCTGACAAGAAATCCAACCCCAAGAGGTCCAGTGATCGTGCATAGTGCTACGGCCCAGATGATGACAAGGAATATTTCTTCACCCAAAGATCCAACATCGGACCCATTTTGCAGTCGCAGGGTGAGAGTTCCTGAGCTCTGTGATAAGGATGCTATCAAGAACCCAATCTCCCCTCTGGCAACCATTGCAGAACCGACAAGGACGGCTATCAAGTGTGGCGGTCTTGTGGGTGCTTCTCTATCCAGAACTCGCAGCTGTGGATCCGGTGCTGGCTGCAACTGAAAGTTCGGCGGCAGATCCTTGGCCTTGTGGCGGCTGCCGGGCTTCCTATTACGCAGCATGCTCATGAAGTAATCGAAGTAGATGACAGAGCTGACGAAGCCTTTCGCCATAATCATAAGTAAGGAGTATATGATGCCCTTCCAAACGATTGAGCCGGCAAACATTTTCGTGATAGGGATGGAAAAGCCAATCGAAGCCTGGAATGCAGTGTTAGCCACATTATCCTTGCATAGCCCATCAAGCTTACAGCCCGATCATAGATTGGAGGAAGTTGTGATATGAAAAAGAGAATTATAATCCTTTGCTTTGGTCCGCATTATTTCGACGGAAGAACATGAGAATGCCTGGCCAAAACCGATCATGTGTCCCCAAATCATCGAAGCAGATCAACAGGCCCAGGAGCTACGCAATCAAGTCGCAGAGCTTTGCGCCTTTAATGACTGATATATAAACCAGATCTGTTTGCTACTGGAAGTGAGAAACCCATGAAGACTTTCCAACTTCGCGATGAAGTCGGACCTGAGGCACCTTCTTGACCTGAAGAGCATTACCCAGAAGATCTGAGTAGATCTTGAATGTGTAGGAAAGTGGAAGACTTGAGAAAGTCGGGGAAGCGCTGACTAGGATCGCAGAATGTCAACTAATTTAGGGAGGAGACTCACAAAGAAGAAGGGTACAAGTATAAAGTTCATCGCTGGTTTATAGTACTTCTCATACATCTTTAATGACATCTCGTTTGACGTGGATTCCGCTGAATCTTCAGAGGTTGTAATATTCTGGAGGGAGTTGACTACCCCGCCAGCGATGAAAGCAGCAAACAAAACGGAGGCGTCGATGAAGGAAGCTATTGTAACAAAGATGACCAAGACTGCTGTGGATAGTATAAAGTTGAGATGGGGAATTTGGTGGACAAGGTTGGTTGTTGTTTTTCGAAGTGTTCCTATCAGGTTGGGTTGGGTTGCGGAAACGTCAACACCCCGGCCAAAAGAAGCTACTAGCCAGGCCCAGATAGGTTTCAGCACAAAGGCCACGAAGGTCAGGGTGACTAGAAGCAACCCAAAACTTGCTACAATTGGTCGAGCAATGGGCCATCCTGCTGTCCCACCACCTCCAAGTGTCGTCACAATGTTAACCATGACCAGACCGACAACATCATCCATCAGAGCAGCCCCGACAAGAACAACACCCACACGAGTCTGCTGCAAATTTGCGGATGAGAGGATGGCAAATGTCGTGCCCAGAGATGTTGAGCACAAGGAGGCACCAGCAGAAAATGCCGCCAAGGGGCTTGGGTATGCCGTGCCAACACTGCTGGAGAAGGGTAGGCTTAGCAGGATAAAAGACAAAGCGATTGGCATACATAGGCCAACAGTTGCAACGGATATCGACATATAAGCAGTTTTACGCATCAGAGCAAGGTCTGTGCTAAGACCGCCTTCAAAGACTAGACTGATCAGACCTAGATATCCAAAGGCCTGGATGGCTACTTGGGTGCCTTGGGATAACCATGCTGTTCCGCCAACGGGAAGCCCCCAGATAACTCCTATTAGGATTTCTCCAATGATTCCACAGTACAAGAGACGGTCAAAAATATATCGGGTTCCATTGAGTAGCAGCAGGAAGGAGGCTAGGGGTAGGATCTGTGTGATTCCGGGTTCTTCGTATGGGAGGTAAGGCATGGTAAGTTGCTGCTAGGGGTTTACAGACCTCCTAGAAGATATACAGCGTTTGGATTTGAGCAGGAGACCATAGCCCAGCACACATGGAGAATCAAATGAATCGTTTGTGAGTCTTTCGACCGGAAACAGAACATGCGAGAGAAGGCATGAGGTTAAGATAATTTATGCCTAGGTATATAACAAGGCGGATATATTAGACGAGATGGCTCCGTAAGGGGTAACGATCATTCCATTTTACATGGCCAAAACAGTTTCCCAGTCGCGTAAATATCCGATGTTCTTGAACAACACGGTACTGTAGATGTAGCAATAGCCTCACTTCAGCCTTAAGGTACGCAAGAATGATCGAGAGTAATTGTGCACTACGCATCTCGAGTTCTCAAGCTTCCACTGCCAGAATGTCACCCCTGGTCACCGTATCTACCGAAGACGCTAAGATTGCGAGTACCAGAATTTTATGAAAATTCGTGATAAGAGAACAAGAATAATCATCCTTGGGCTTCTCTCGCCCACCCCCAAGCAGAATCTCCTCAGCCTCTGAGGACCCGGTCAGCCATGAATGCTCACGCCCTCCTCACCTCCCAGGGATGGCGAGGTACTGGGCACTCCCTCCACCCCACCAGCGATGAGACCGGCCTTTCTCGCCCGCTTCTCGTCTCCAGAAAAGTTAACAACCTCGGCGTTGGAAAGAAACAACACAAAACGAGCGATATGTGGTGGATGAATGCCTTTGATAAATCATTGAAGGGATTGGATACAAGCGAGGAGGGAAAGGTCGTCCAGAAGATCACAAACGGAGGCTTGGATATGGTTGTCAAGGGTGGTTCGAAGTATGTTGGGAGTGGCGGGGGACTATATGCCAGTTTTGTGAGGGGGGAGCCTTTGAATGGGACGATTACGGAGGAAACGTCGGAGAAACCGACTGTGGCGGATCAAGAGCCACCTGCGAAGAAGAGAAGGAAGCATGGGGATAGGGCGGAATCGAAAGAGGAACGAAGAGCGAGAAAGGCTGCAAAGCGGGCCCTGAGGGCAAAGGAGGCCGCTGCCAAAGAGGAACCACAGACCGAAGAGGCGCAGGATGCGAGTGTAAAGAAACTCGAAACGAAGGAGCAACGAAAGGAACGAAAACGGCGGGAAAAAGATTCATCCCGGGAGGCAGAACGAGAGGCAGGGGAGAGTTCGTCAGAGAGTAAAAAGAAAAAGAAGCGGCGGAAGGAGTAAGGAAAATTCGAGTCTTCACCATTGTGATTGGCGTTCTGGCAGCACGGCGCCTGGAGTTTACTTGCAGCTTTTTGACAAATGAAGTAATTCGAACCATGAGGGTCATTTCAACTCATGGCTCCTTGGGTATCTTTCCAGGCCTATTTGACAGTAGCCACGGTCTCCTCTCCCAAAACTCATCCTTGATGACATCCAGGTGCTGTACCGTGATCCGTGCTTTGGCTCTCCTTTTTTTATCATTTTCTTCTTGAGTTTTCGAGAGTTTTATCTGCTCCGTAGTCTTTGCCCCATCGTCTTCGATAGCCTCACCAGCTGTTCCAGGCTCCACTAGCTCGTACTAAGTTCCTTCAGCAAAGCAAGACGGTCAGAGGGGATCGAAGGAGACTTACATCCCTGAAGATAACGCTCCCTTTCTTATAAATTTCCGGCTCGTTGTTATAATTGATCTTGAACCTAGAGAACAATATCTCATTCTTGTCCGCTGACAGCGAACCCTGGTCTGGTGTAAGGCCCGGGCAGGGGATAATTTCAAATCTGGGAAGGAAAACTTACTGCGAGCTCCTTTTCAGCACTCTTTGCATCCATACCACCAATCTGTATCAGTGCCCAGAAGGTCGTATTATAGAGATTATTAATGTGGCCTTGAAGCCATCAGCCTCAAACTTTCAGACATCGGCGGAGAGAAGACTCACAGTCGACCTGCCTCCAACTCATGTAGTCTCTCAAATTCTGCACACTAGGATACTGAACTGCTCTCCCATCAAAACTCGGGAGCGGGGGTGATAGCGGTACACCGGGAAAGAACTGAGACCAGAGATGAACATAGTACGCCGTGAAGGTCGAAACTATGGTCGTCACAAGCTTGCTATTCAGGTATCAATATCACACCCCTCACTTTGAGGGAAAGGTCATACCTTGACCGCCTGTCGAACAGAGTGCATGATTTGTGAAAAACGAAGCTTAGATTCAAAGCAAGATTAGAAACAGAGCAGAAACAAGGTCCTCTCCAATGCAAACTCACCTGTACTCGTCGCTGATGCCATAGGCAATTACTATGTCTGGCAACTCGGTCATAACAGCCTTAGCAGCCGCATTCATGAGATCGATTGCTCGACGGTCGTTTGGCTTTTCGAAGCCATACTTATTGGAGAACCTTTTCAAACTTGTGAGCACTCCCGCGGTGCTCATGATAATTGCACTTACTTGTGAAAGCCCCTCCCATCGATTCGCACCACGATCCAGGTGTTTGGTAGGAGCACATCGGGCTGCTCGAAGGACTTAACATACTCGTACCTGCATAGTTTTAGCAATAGATATAAACTGGAGAGACGGAAGAATTTACTTTGAGTTGGCCATATCTGAAAGGCCATATCTGAATTGCCATATCTGATCTCCGTGTTTAGGTTGTTGCGACTACGGAAGCGGTGAGTCATGCGGGGATAGGGCAGAAAACAGAGAAGTGACTCTCCATGAGACTCGAAAATCTTTCTTTATATCAAACGTTCCCAGCTCCCAATTGGATTTTCCGCTTCAAACATCAACTCATCATCATGTCGGGAACTACTCTGCATCTGCGCTCCGAGTGTGAGTTCCCATTGATGTGCTGCTATACCGGTTGCTAATGCGCTTCTCCAAGTGGGCAAGGCCCTTGAACACCGCTCTGCCCTCACACCAACCACCGCCAAAGCTCTTATAGACGCTGGATATAAAGTCAATGTTGAGCGCAGTTCCGAGCGAATCTTTGATGACAGCGAATTCGAGAAGGTCGGGGCCACGTTGGTCGAAGAAAACACATGGCGCCAGGCCCCTACTGATCACATTATCATTGGCCTGAAGGAGCTTCCTGTTGACGACTGTAAGGCTTGAAACCTCCCATATAATTGCAATTACATTAACTGACGTTTCTGCAGTTCCTCTGGAGCACACCCATGTTCAATTTGCACACTGCTACAAGGGCCAGGCCGGATGGGAAAATGTCCTTTCTCGATTCCCTCGCGGCGGGGGAACTCTCCTCGACCTTGAGTTCCTCACTGATGACAGAGGCCGACGAGTTGCTGCCTTTGGATACCATGCTGGCTTCGCTGGCGCAGCTTTGGCTCTTGAGAACTGGGCCTGGCAACTCACACATCCCGCATCCGAGCCATTCCCCAGCGTTTCGAGTTACCCCAATGAAGAAGCGCTGCTAGTCGACGTCAGGAAGGCAGTTGAAGATGGAAAAGCAAAGGCTGGCAAGGCACCAAGAGTTCTTGTGATTGGCGCATTGGGCCGATGTGGAAGTGGAGCCGTTGACCTCTGCTTAAAGGCTGGAGTACCAACCGAGAATGTGTTGAAGTGGGATATGGCAGAGACTGCCAAAGGTGGACCTTTCCCCGAGATTGTGGAGAGCGACATCTTCATCAACTGCATATACTTGACGTCCAAGATCCCTAACTTCGTCGATATGAAGAGCTTGGATACCCCTAATCGCAAGCTCTCTGTCATCTGTGACGTTAGCGCAGATACCACCAACCCAAACAACCCTATCCCAGTTTATACTGTCGCCACTACATTCAAGGAGCCGACTGTTCCTGTGGAGGTTAAGGGAGAGCCACGTCTCAGCGTGATCAGCATTGATCACCTGCCAAGCTTGCTTCCTAGAGAGTCAAGCGAGGCTTTCAGCAAGGACTTACTTCCAAGCCTGCTGCATCTGAACGAGTGGAGAACAACTCCGGTTTGGGCCAAGGCAGAGAAGCTGTTCCAGGAGAAGGTAGCTACACTACCAAAGAGTGTTTTATAGAGGAATTATATACTCCGTATAGGCGCACTTAGACATCGGTATGATGAATTAAGAAAAAGGTTTCATGGCTATACATATTTGACTCTCAAACCAGAGTACTGCATTGATAGGAGATCTCTATATTGCCTAAGGTAGATAATTAGGAGTGCGCGACGATCGAAAATAGAATGGAGCAGAAAGGAGTATCCATCGCCTAGTAAGACACTTAAGAACATTCGATATTAGAGCATAAAGTATGAAGTAGGTTACGTGATCTGCTTTAGATATTTGCCAAGGATGCTGTTGTAGGTTATTCTTCGAAGCACACGAAGATTCGATGCTTTATATGTACTGAAAATCCGGAACCAGGCAGATTATGCAGACAGACTTGTTACGGTACTTGATATATAATAAGTCCACTTGCTTGGAACGACTCTAATATTATAGCCCAAGCATACTGTACATTCTAACCTACATCTCCAACTTCTGGTCGCGCTGTAGGAGTATTTCCAAAGCTTTCCAGCCCCCTATCCACAACCATTCGGTCCGTTAAACCATTGTGTGCTTCCACAATAGACTGTGGGTCAGCTTGCAGGTCAGCTTGAGCACCGTTTGAGTCCGCTTGCAATGCGGCATAACGTGCTCCAGCCTGCTTGAGAAGTTCTTGTACCTCTGTTTCCCTTGCCAATATGTCTCTCTTCTCCTGCTCAAGATCAGCCATCTTTTTATGTCTGCGCGCCAGTTCCTGCTCCATCTCGTTCATAGTTGACTGCAGCCGTTCCAGACATTCAGAGAGGACTGGCAAAGGCGTGATCTTCGAAGGAGCCTGAACAGCAGTGTTTTCTGCGCCATCGTGCTTGTGGAGACCGTCCATACCCGCACGCGTCTGCGCTGCTTCATAAGCTGCCCGTCGCTCAGCTTCTGAATCATCGGAGTCGTTTTCCGAACTTCCTTCTGCTTGCTGGATCAGATCAGCCATCTCTTTTCGTTGACGGCGCTTTGCCTCCCTCTCCTGCTTCTTCCCCAATGATATCCGGCCGTCTTCTACGAACTCATCAAATCCTTCCCCAAGATCCTCATCCTCTCTAACTAATCGAGATTCTGCCTTCTTCTTCCGCGGTAGGAACGATAGCTGCCTTCGATCATCACCGTCGTCATCGTTGAGAGATATGAAATCTTTTTCTCGTGCCAGACGTGCCCGCCGCTCCTTCTTCTCCCTGATCTCGGCCTCGCTGGGTATGTACGCAGCGCTCGAACTCGATCCAAATTTCTCATCGGTGTCCACCACCATTGCCCCTTCCAACTCTGAAGCATCCAGCCCTTCACCATCCGCAAGATTGGCTTGAATATCATCTAAATCTTTTGGTCTACTCGGCGTAGAGCTTTTTAATTCGTTCAAGTAGTCTTTGCTGTATGTTGGCCGCTCCTCGTCATTATCACCAGATCGAGTGGGTAAGCCTTGATGCTGGAGGCTTTTCCGGAAAGCATTTGACTCAACAACTCGACGTCCCAATGTAACTTTCTTAGGGGTGAATGCCTCATCATCCTCCAGTGCCTCCGCTGCATCCCCTGAAATGATCTCGCCTGTCCCAAATGATAGTCTGGAGGCAGTTGACTTTTTCTTCTTTATCGTAGAATTCGACCTTCCTACTGTAGGTTTGATTGTAGTTTGGGCGCCATTATTACTATCCGCTGTATCGTCTGTGCCAGCATCATTCGTGTCTTGCGATACTTCATCGAACAGTGTGCTCTGTCGCAGACTGGATTTCCTAAATGGTTTTCTTCCAGAATTCGAAGCCGAACTTCCTAATGTCGCTATATTCACCACGTCAGCTGGCTTTTCACAATCAGCTGGGTTTGTAGCTGTAGCAGTGGAGGACTTACGAGTATTCACAGAGTCCCCGGAACCTCCTGCATCATTTGCGACCTCTTCATCCTCGTCATTGACCTGAATCTTCCGAGCTTTTCTCTTTGACCCGAAGGCGGAATTCATTTTGCAGAATGCGAGTTGGCTTGCTTTGAATCAAGATCAGACACCCATCGACCCTCCAAATAAACTCTCGTACTCGAGGGGTTCTAAGGCAGAGGAAAATCACAGTCGAAACATTGGAGGTGGTCGCGATTCATTATCACCACGTGACCTTCAATTTTAGCGTGTTGCGACAATATCCTTTGGGAGCCTCTTCTAGGGCAACGACAACACCAAACGGAACCCCAAATATACAGTCAAGATGCCTCAAGCTCAGCCAGAGCTCAAGAAGGTTCGTTTTACTCCACTCAAGCCTGATATGCGCCCCGAAATTCGCGAAATCCGCCGGCACGCGACAGCGCAAGCGTCTGGAGGAAAATGGCGTATGTGTGTTTATGAAGGACACATGGACTAATTCGTGCTATAGTACCTCGATAAAAGGCTCTTTGTGCAGCTGAACGGAAGCCGGAAGGTTATTGGTGTTCTGCGAGGTTACGATGTGAGTTCATGTCCTATCAGTGTTAATAGAAACCCAGCTAATCCATCTAGGTCTTCTTGAACATTGTGCTGGATGACGCAGTTGAGGAGAAGGACGGCGGTGAGAAGGTCAGATTAGGGATGGTGGTCAGTTGCCAAATATCCTCAAGTTGTGGTTTGGTGCAGACGCTGATATTGAAATAGGTCATTCGAGGCAATTCCGTTGTTATGCTCGAGGCGTTGGAAAGAATAGGAGGCGGCAGAGATGAGAGATGAGACACAAATGCTCTACGTCGAAGCAGTTAAGGTACCTGGAAAGACTATGCAGGGAAAAGTTACATGGCGTTTGCGAGGCTTTATAAAATACCACTTTAACGTATGGAAGGGCAATGGATGATCTGCCAGAAGGACTATAATTACTTCAACTGCTCCCAATACTTTTCCTCGAACCCTTCCATCATTGATCCTCCAAAATCCTTCACCCATTTCTTAATACCACCCTCGAGCACCAAGACCTTCAGATCAGTTTTCCGTCCGAACTTTGCAATGTCATCTATGTAATCCTGCATCCAGCTAGCACAGCGTGGTCCACGTCCTGAAGAGGAGCCTAATTTGATTCAACTTAGTTCTTTAGTACTCTGTACTAAGAAACTTACCACAGTAGAAGATAACTTGCTTGATAGAAGCTCTATCACATAAGTCCAGCAAAGTCTTCCGAGTTTGATAGAAGCTTTGAGCTGGAAGATTTAGAGAAGATTTGATCGTTCCACCCTTTGAAAGTCAGAATCCATTCATAGATTAATAGTGTGGAGGGTTCGTAGTATATATGAGTCAAGTGGACATGGAATGCGATTTCTTACTTCCCAATCAGTCCGCCGCACATCCACAAGGACAAACTGGCTTGGGCCAGACTCGATATCCATATCATCAAACAGCTTCATGAGCTCGTCCCCAGTGATCTTGGGGCAGGTGGCCCTTGGAGCTGGGAAGGCAGACCACCACTCTGTCTGAGGAGCTTGGCTCTGACTCTGGGCCATATTGCTTGTGGGCTAAAATTATGTGAGAATAGTGACTAGACAACTGAAAACATTCACATCATTGAGTGACTGACACTGTGTGGGAATCAAGATTTAGTTGAATTGCTGGGACTTTGGTGAGTTGCTGAAGAAATCTTTTTTTACTGAGGTTTTCGATGCTGTAGCTTTCGGATGCGAGAAATCTAGGACCTAAGGTACGTATGCTTGGTGATCTCACATACGGAGTATCGCAGAATAACGGGCAAAAATAGTTCCAAAAATATACAATTGTGTTGATAACTTATAGATTAATTGAGCTAGCTATATCATGAAATTGAGAGTCTACCTGACCAGAGGTAATGTCAACATTCTATTTCACCTGATTCTCAAAGCCCTTAGAGTATCTTGGTCAACCGATCACCAAATTTGATTATTTGATCCATCCTTCTATTAGCCTGTACAAAACCAACGAACACAAGCTACTGAAAAACTATGCATGACTCTTTTTTGACCCTTTTTTCGCCTTCTTATGCGCCTTTTCTCCCAGTTCCGCCTCATAAATCTCAGCAGCAGTTTCACCAGGCTTTCTCTTTTTGTTACTCTTCACGCTCACTACCAGATTCTTCTGTCCACTCTTCGTGGCATTGAGCACTTGCTTCTCCGCATCAGCCCATCCAGGGGCGCCTTCCTCGATTTCATATCTTGTCATTCGGTCAGTTATTGGTAATAAGAGCTGATCGCGGTAACTTACTGATCCAGGGGCAGAGCATCAATCAACTCTCTTTGCTTCTCTCTCAATGCCTTCAAAGCCTCGTCACCACCTTCCTCAAGCTCATCCTCTAATGTAGTCTCCAGAGGCGCAAACCGCGTGTCAATAATTTCGTCATCGAAAGCGCCGTTGGCATCTGCTCTGCTCACTCCGATAGCCTCCTTCTTGGGCATATCCGCTGCTATTGCCTCAGAAACCAAAGAGCTGAGATGCGAGCTCATCTTCCGCATGATCTTGATGAACATTGCCAGCAATTGAGAGGATGGAAGTGACAGCTCTTGCTCAATTGAAGACAAGTCCTTGCGCTGCAATCCAACTGCTAACAAGATGGACGCTTGGACACCCGAGAGTTTGACGTCAGATTTCAGACGTCCTGTGAAGTACATCATTGCCAATTGTGGAATAAGATCCAGCACAGCGTGATAATCGAGCATATTGTTAGCATATGATTCTAGGCGCTTGAGATCGAACGAGGAGAACTCCCTATCCAGATCTGATTTAGTCAAAGGTTGCGGCGGGTTAGTAGTGTCGAGTCTTGAGCCTATGTTTGCAGATTCATCAACACCGAGAGCAAGAACTGATGGAAATTCTCGGAACTGGTATGACAGGAGCTTTAGGAATCGGTGCTGGAAATCTCGTGAGAATGCTCCAAGCCATGATTGATCGGGGCTATTCTCTAATGCGTGGATCATAACGCAAGTGTGCTCTCCGGTCAAGTCATTAGGGGTTTGTCGCAGATACACAGGGGAAAATGAAGCGCGCTTCCAGAACCTGTGAAGGGCCTGTGTAAGGCCAAAGCTTACGCCAACATAATCAAGGCTGACCGGTCGACATTCGGCTAGTTTGGAGAATAAGGGAGGCATCTTCCGAATATCCCTTACTTTGATATCGTCGTCAAGCAATGATGAATTGGCGAGCTCTGCGTCCGTAACTCGTGTTATCGTTTCCTCAACGTAACCGTTCGCATCTTCAGAAAGATTCGTGAATTTTCCCTCGTAAAAGTCTTTGAGGAGTTCAAGGGCTTTTGATCCATACCCCATCTTGATATAATCAGGATTTGTCGCTATCCTGACGATACGAGCACCAGATAACCCAGCGAAATCCTCGTCCTGGAATTGCTGACTGACAATCCAAGGTATGAGGTCACCAGCTGCCCTCTTTCCCCTACTTAGGCTATTAAGAACGCTCTCTTTGCTGATTTTACCTTCAAGTGCTACCTGTATAACGCACAGGGGCTCGGGTAAATGTTTGCTATCTTCTGGTGTGGGTGGAACGAGGACGAAAAGCTGATGGGCTGGAGCGTCACTCATAAGTTGGAGGTCGTCAGGCGAATTCTTGTAGTGACTAGCAACATAGAGTGCAACCATCTGTTGCAAGAACTTTTCTGAAACCTCGTGAAAGGAAAACAGGGTATCGCGGTTAACTTGTAAGAGCTGGCACTGGGATGGATCGGGACATCCTTGAAGGGTGTTCGCCCTCGATCTAGAAAGCCTTGGAGTCAGCATAGCCTTGATAAGGAAATAGAAGGTCGGCTCAACTGGAGCTATTGCTGCAAGATCCTACATACCTTGGTAGAGTAGCATCAAGACAGAGAACTGTATTAAGCCACTTTTCCACTGCATCCCCCTTCGCGTAACGGATTGGCTCCGAAAGAGTAATTTCTCGGAGTGTCCGACCCCCTGTGAAAGGACCGTCGGCAATTTTTGAAGCTTTTCCGGTTGAACGATCAGCGACTTCCGCATCGGGCTTTTCGCTGGCCTTGCTTATGCCCCTCGACTGTTCTCGAAGTTGCTGGACCAATTTTAGTGATAATGATCTGCCCGTGCCTTCATAACCATTGATTGTTGAGGCCATGAAAACAAGATATGGTCCCATTAGCTTTCGGACAAGAGGTAACGGTATTGCTGCTGCCTCGTCGATAACGAGTAGCTCAGCTTGCCCAAGAACATGAGCGTCTTGTGGCCTGATATATTGGATGGTTTGGCGATGTTGGCGGTGAATATTCACGCGGACAACAGCTTTATTGAAATCGGGGTTGGTTGATTGAATAATTGAATAGTCGACGTGGTCCATGTAGTTCAGGGCATCAAAACCTTTGAATATAAATTCAAAGAGGGTCTTCAGATTCTCGGGACTTGGAGATGTGATGAAGATGTTACTGTACCCATGAGCAACGGCCGCAGCAACAGCTACTCCCAAAGCAGCTGATTTTCCTCTTCCTCGAGCTGCCGTAAGAGCAACGGTGCTCCTCAATGTTTTCTCCGCAATGGCATCCACAAAGGTCTCAAGTGCCTTCGCTTGGTCCACTGTTTTTGCCAACGTGACCAAAGATCCCGTCGGTTGTACATCTTGCAATGCCTCCTTTATGGCATCCAATTCTTTCTGTGCCTCACTTTTGGGCTGATCGAGATCCGGAGGTGGTAACGCCCTCACGTTCTTGCCACCAGAAATTGGCAACACGTTCATTTCGTCGTCAATGACGAGACACGATTCGCATTTACCCAGTGACAGTATGAAGCGTTCGTTGAACCTGGCGGTAACATCGTCGTGTGCTTCAGTTCGGTATCGCGAGTGGACATCCATAGATAAGGTGTAGAGCTGTTTCAAACTCGTCATCCCTTTTAGGAGCAGTACCACAAGACCTCCTCCTTCAACCGTCTCAATAGTCCTGGCGAGTAAGTTGGGTGTAATTGCTTCAAAGTCCTGCAATATGCACATCCCATAGGTATTTCCCAGAATCTTATCCGTCTCTTTGTAGTAGACATAGCGGATGTTGTTGAGGGAAACAAAAAGCTCGAATGGATCCTCAGTATTCGCCTCTCGTATGCCACGCTTGATTTCCTTCTTGATCTTTTGCTCTCGCTTTTTCCGGTGACTTGCGCAGCATATTAGCTTGCTTTCGCCCTCATGGGTCAAAACACTTCTCACCTAGTAAATCCCAGAAGCTTGTGCTTGTATGCCCATAGGATTGACCTGTTCTGATTTTTTATATCCATACTGGACATTATATAGTGGAGATGGACAATGACATCTTTTGAATGATCTCCAACGACCACGATAAAGCTTCGTTTCTTTTCCTGGACCCCATTGCGCAGAAGCGCCTGAATGCGCGAATCTCTAGTGTCAAGTCAATAATTGTTTCTGCAGATCTGACAATAACTTACAAGGCCTTTGTCGCCATGCTTGCTCTCCTATAGTCTTGTCAAGTTCCTCTCGAGGGCGACATGCACACGGATAGGTTCGGTCGGTGCTGCTGGCTCTAATGCCTGCGAGATTTTGGACGATAATGAACTTTTTTTCTGCCAGGTCGCTAACCACAAATTTAGCGCGCCTTTCCCCGCAAGGCTGATATTCAGCCTTCTTATAGCTCCTAAAGCAACTGCTATCAAACGGTATTGTGTTGTGCTAGAAACAATTGGAATGGCTCTATTATGGCAAATATGGAGAATATATGTCACTATTTTTTTGGCCGCAGACTTCACAGGAGATCCAGAATGACAAGAACATGCTGTTCATTAAAATATCTACTCTATAAGGGTAATTAATTGTCAAAACCAGACTACGCTACTGCAGAGACTCGACGACAAGAGCAGAAGCTCCACCGCCACCATTGCAAATACCAGCAACTCCAATCTTGCCTTTCTGCTCTTTCAGGACATTGATCAAAGTTGTAACGATCCTGGCCCCTGAACAGCCAAGGGGATGTCCAATAGCCACAGAGCCGCCATGAATGTTGACCTTTGCTTCATCCAAGCCAAGAATCTTCATGTTAGCCAACGCAACAACCGAGAAGGCCTCGTTAATCTCATAAGCATCAACGCTTGCAGCGTCGATCTTAGCGTGCTTGATAGCCTTGGGAATAGCCAAAGCAGGCGCAGTGGTGAACTTGCTCGGCTTTTGTGCTGCATCTCCCCATCCCAGGATTTTTGCCAGGGGTTTCAAGCCTAGCTCTTTCAATTTGGCTTCCGAAACCAGGACCAAAGCCGATGCTCCATCATTGATGGGGGCGGCATTTGGGGCAGTGATAGTGCCACCGTTTGGCTGAAAAGCTGGGCGCATGGCCTTGAGCTTTTCGATATTCAGGTTCTTGACTTCGTCGTCCCTCTCAACCTTAATCGCTGGCTTACCTCGACCTCCGCTAACCTCAACGGGGACGATCTCAGCCTTGAATAATCCCGACTCGGTAGCCTTCTGCGCTTTCTGGTACGATTTGATGGCGTATTCGTCTTGCTGTTCCCTAGAAATCGTGTGATCCTGGGCACATTCCTCTCCCGCTAGTCCCATATGCTCCTTTTTGCCATACGCATCGGTCAAGCCATCCTTCAAAACACCGTCGACAAGGGTTTGGTCCCCGTACTTCGCACCAGTTCTCAGATTCGGGAGATAGTGAGGAACGTTGGACATTGATTCAGTACCACCCGCAACAACAATATCGGCATTTCCAGTTATGATTGTTTGGGCGCCGAGGATGATAGCCTTAAGCCCGGAAGCACAGACTTTGTTAACGGTCGTGCAGATGGTGGCTTCGGTCAAGCCTCCAGCAAGTGCACATTGGCGCGCAGGATTTTGGCCTAGACTGATGCTCGTCAGCTTTGATCCCCTTCGAGGCTGGTAATAGCGCTTACTTTGCAGACAAGACATTTCCAAAAAAGACCTCCTCAACATCTTCGGCTTTGATTTCTGGCACTCGCTCGACGGCGGCTCGAGACATCGTCAGCAAGGTCAGGCAATCTCAAGAGGAATAAACCAGTGACTCACCCTTGATGGCGATGCCACCCAATTGGGTTGCACTCAAACTGGAAAGGGAGCTGTTGAATTCAGCATTTGCTTTTGCGTGGGCGGAAAGGGGAGTCTGCTCACCCCAAGAAAGACCCTATTGGGGTCCTAACCGCGGAGACAATGTACACGGGTGGGAGTGATGAAGACATTTTGGGCTGTATATGCGACGATGTTCGAAGCGCAGAAGAGCAATTTGAAATCTGATGTGCGAGAGGAAAGGTGCTCGAAAGATCACCTGGAGGGGGAGGGCTCTGAAGAATCCGCCGTCAAAGACACCACAACAAAACCCTTGTTATATTAAACTCAAGCGGGACAATGTTCACCGCCCCAAAATGCGACACTACCGTACTTACTACCTCCCTATCTTACGTATACGGATTCTAGATCAGGAACCCAAACGACGCTTCTATTATCCAAAGGAAGACGAGTTCTAGTTTTCCATGGCCTTGCGCTCTTCTTTATTACAGACTACGTGAAGAACTGCGTCGAGCTTTACTTACCCCTGATTTTGGACTTCTTCCCAACACCTTTCCTTAGCACCCCAGCACCCCTCACAAGGCTGTCGCACGTGACATTCTAGGCTAAACCTAGTCTGGAACCGCGAACTTTTTTGGCTAGAAGCTCTCGTCGCGAGTATCTGGAGTTGACGCGGAGGAGAAGGCCATTTGTTGCTCCCACCCAAATACCCATCTTCCGCTGAGTTGCCCGCCATGGATGATCTTTATGACGAGTAAGATTCTTACTCCACATTTGTTCTGTCTCAACAAACTAATTAACTTCTGTAGATTTGGTAACTTCATTGGCGAAGCCGAAGAATCAGAGGACGAAAGCCAACATGGCGTCGACGCCGGCGCATACGTGTACGATGACGAGCCGGAAGAAGCGCCAGAGGCTACAGGGCAAGAATTGATGGAGATTGACGGTTGGTGGGCCAAAAAGTGAGAGTCTCATGGAACTAACTTTTGCTTCAGATGAGGGTCCCTCCAATGCCGTTGTTCTGCACGAGGACAAGCAGTACTATCCAACCGCCCAACAAGTATACGGAGAAGATGTGGAAACCATGGTGCAGGAAGAAGATGCCCAGCCTCTCACACAGCCCATCATTGCGCCCGTGGAGCAGAAGAAGTTCACCATACAAGAAGCAGATCTCCCACCGGTCTTTTTTGATCGGAGCTTTATGACGGATCTTATGAACTACCCGGAACAAATACGGAACATTGCCTTTGCGGGCCATCTACATCATGGCAAGACTGCCTTTATGGATATGCTAGTTCTCGAGACTCACGACATTACCGACCGATTGGAGAAGAGGACTGGCAAGAAGAGAGACGAGCAATTAAGATATACCGACGTACACCTACTGGAGCGCGAACGCGGTATATCCATAAAATCGGCACCAATGAGCTTAGTATTGCAGAGTACGCGGGGAAAGTCTCATCTCCTCAATATTCTGGATACGCCAGGTCACGTCAATTTCGTGGATGAAGTTGCTTCATCACTGCGGTTGGTTGATGGAGTCGTCCTGGTCGTTGATGTCGTGGAGGGAGTTCAGGTCAATACAGAGCAAATCATCAGACACGCGGTTTTAGAAGGGCTGCCCATGGTTCTTGTCATCAACAAGATGGACAGATTGATCTTAGAGCTCAAGTTACCACCAACAGACGCTTATTTCAAGCTCAAGCATGTTGTCGAAGAAGTTAATACTGTGATCGAGAACACCCTACCTGGCCAAGGTGAGAAGAGACGGCTCAGTCCGGAGAAGGGCAACGTTCTCTTTGCGTGCACTAGTATGGGCTGGTGCTTTACCCTGCAATCATTTGCAAAGATGTACTCTGACAGCTACCCGGGGAGCAAGACTGGGAAGGGAGTGGATGCACAAGAACTGGCCCGACGGTTATGGGGCGACATTTTTTTCAACCCACAAAAACGATCATTCACACGCAAACCTGTTGAAGAGCGGGCTAAGCGTTCCTTCGTCAGCTTCGTTCTCGAGCCGATATATAAACTCTATTCTCATACCATTAGTGAAAGTCCGGAGGACTTGAAGGATACACTCGCCACACTTGGGATATTTCTCAAGCCATCTCAATACAAGACAGATGCCAAGGTACTCTTGAAACTTGTCTGCGAGCAGTTCTTTGGTCCTTCTCATGGATTTGTCGATATGATTGTTGACCATATCCCTTCCCCTGCTGAGGCGGCGCAGGCGAAGCTCCAGCGCTATTACACCGGACCCCTAGATACAAATGTTGCTAAAGCGATGGAAAAGTGCGATCAAGATGGTCCCTTGGTTATCCAAATTTCAAAGCTGTTCAATACGAGCGATGCTGCCGGGTTCTATTCTTTCGGAAGAGTTATGAGTGGCACAGCACGACCAGGTTCTCAAGTGAGAGTGCTGGGCGAGGGATATTCGATAGATGACGAAGAGGATATGAGCATGGCAACTATATCGGATGTGTGGATCGCCGAAACACGCTACAACATTCCTACAGATGGCGTTCCTGCAGGCAACTGGGTGTTGCTAGGAGGCGTTGACAATTCAATTGTCAAGTCAGCTACCCTGGTTCCGCCAGTTCTGCCAGACCACGAAGAAGCTTACATCTTCAAACCTATTACCCATTTCACCGAGTCGGTCTTCAAAGTGGCTGTAGAACCCATCAACCCTTCGGAACTTCCAAAGATGCTTGACGGTCTCAGAAAGATCAACAAAAGCTATCCGCTCATAACCACCAAGGTCGAAGAATCGGGAGAGCATGTTATTCTTGGAACCGGGGAACTATACATGGATTGCGTGCTGCATGATTTACGCCGGCTATACGCAGAGATGGAGATCAAAGTCTCCGACCCAGTCACACGTTTCTGTGAGACAGTGGTTGAAACATCTGCAATCAAGTGCTATGCCCAAACCCCGAATAAGAAGAACAAGATCACGATGGTCGCAGAGCCTCTCGACCAGGGTATCGCGGAAGATATTGAGAGCGGCAAAGTTAGCATCAAGAGCCCTACCCGCGTCATTGGTAAGTTCTTTGAGGAGAACTATGGCTGGGATCTGTTGGCTTCCAGAAGCATTTGGGCGTTTGGGCCCGACGATATGGGACCAAACATCCTTCAAGACGACACTATACCATCCGAAGTGAGTCCTCTTATGGATAAAGTATGAAGTATTGAATCGGGCCTCTTATACTGACTGACCAACAGGTTGACAAAAAGCTACTCCTTGGTGTTAGGGATACCATTCGCCAAGGGTTCAGTTGGGCGACCCGAGAAGGGCCATTGTGTGAAGAACGTAAGTCCTCCCAAAAGCGCAACTCTTCCTTTCCCAGGCCACCTTTTAGTTGTTGTAGCTGCTAAAGCGGTGTGCTTTCGTTCACCTATCCCTATTGGCCAGAATCACAGGCGGGCCGAATGTTTTCTAACAATCCTTGTAGCAATCCGGAACAGCAAGTTTAAGATCACGGATGTTACTTTGGCTACCGAAGCGATCTTCCGGGGAGGCGGCCAGATCATCCCCACTTCCCGACGCGCCTGCTACTCATCGTTCCTTATGGCTTCCCCACGGCTAATGGAGCCCGTCTACTCATGCTCGATGACGGGACCTGCAGATTCAGTCACTTCACTGTATACGGTACTGGCCCGTCGACGTGGGCACGTCTTATCAGATGGACCCATAGCCGGGACTCCCCTCTATCGAGTCAGCGGCCTCATTCCTGTCATTGACTCGTTCGGATTCGAGACGGATCTGCGTATCCACACGCAAGGCCAAGCGACTGTCAGTCTAGTCTTTGACCGCTGGAGCATTGTACCTGGGGACCCTCTAGATAAGGATGTGGTCCTGCGGCCGCTCGAACCCGCAAGTGCTCAAGCTACAGCACGAGATTTTGTCCTGAAGACGAGGAGGAGAAAGGGGTTGAGTGAGGATGTCAGCGTTGCTAAGTTCCTTGAGCCAGAGCTCTTCTCCAGCCTCAAGGAGAGTGGATTACTGGATGGTTAGATAGATAATTTTTTTCTGGTGCGCACAACAAAAAAAGAAAGAATATCTGGGAGTTTGGCTGGCAGGATCTTGACAGATCGAGATCTTTTTTTTGTGGCGTTCTGAGCCCGGGAATTGTAGGATAGCCCCCCCGGGAGGAGGGGCAGAGATAGATACCGACATATTGAGAGCCTATTTGCAATTCCAGAAGCACACATAATTCGCTACAGTACAGACAACAAGAGAGTAGAACCTCGCTACATGGCAGTTTCCTTTTTTTTGGTTTACTCAGCACCAAGCAAGAAATCATTCCTAGGTACCTAGGGCCCACGATTGCCAAGAGGCACGGCACGTTGTAGGTAGATCGTCGCCCATCACGCGATCCAGGAAATAATGCCTCTCACACCGCCGACCGCGCCCGCCTCTGGCAGCCCGGGGAAGGCCCGATGTTGATAAGGACGGATGAAAAAAGCCAGTTAACTTGTAAGGTAAGGTAAGGTAACTGTACATGGCACTATTGAAAAATAAAAATAGGGCATGCATCCTAGAACTCCCCATGCAGACTGATATGATATGATATGATATGATCATACGTTATGGATATCTATGGATATATAGATAGGTAGGTAGGTAGGTAGGTATGTACTGTATGCATAGCACACCGTTATATTCCTTTTTTTTCCTCTTTCTCTTTTTGCTTTTCATCTTTTATTTTTTTTTTTTTGTTTTTTTCTCTCTGTCTTTGCTTTCCTTAAAAGAGGCGAGAGAGGAGAAGGGGGGAGAGAAGAGAACCCGGGGGCGGGAGGAGGCGGGAGGCGGGGGGTGATGGGGTTCCCGTCTTCAATAGGTGGGTAGGTAGGTAGGTAATAATAGCAGAATAATGGGAAAAGCTCGAGGTTCTCTTGTACCACAGGTTTTTGAAGATTAAGTCTGGGACAGATTGATCTGTAAAGAAACTCAAACGAGAAAAAGAAAAGAGAAGGGGGGGGGGATATTGCAAATCCGATAAAAGCAAGCACATCAATTGACCCCTCCATAGGGTAATGCATAATTGTTCAGGGTTGATAAGCGGATGGTACAGTAGGTACGGTAAGGTATGGTATGGTAGGTGAGGGGAGAGAAAACCAGTTGTTAACTTGTTGGTGGCGGATTGGATTGCATTGGGAAGCATGGGGCAAAAGAAAGGAAGGGGGGGAGGGGGGGGTTGATTATTAATTGATTGATATTCGAACATTAACTCCCTCCATCCTTCCCTCCCTCCATAATCGAATAATGCAGCTACATATTTAGGTAAGGTAGTAGGTTATTTGTGATTTGTGTACGCAAGGCGGGCGACAGGTATTTGTGTACACTGTACAGTTACTGGATACTCCACTACTACTTACTACCCCGTAAGGTAATGCAGTAATAGAAATAAGATTTTCCCGACTCGCATCCGCGTTCCCTTGTTCTCTCCACCCGTACAGCGCTAAGGAATGGTTTGCATGGTGATGTAAGATAGGGAGGGAGGGAGGGAGGGCGAGAGCTGGGAGCTGGGGCTTGGAAGCTGGGGGCTGGTTGGGATCTTGCGAGGCGAGGAAGGGAGAATGCGGGTGGATACGATAATGAGAAGAGTTGTAACTTGTACCTTGTGAGTGTGTATGTATGTATGATTGTTGTAAGTATGTACATATATAGCACAGTGATAATAAGAGGAAATTGATAAACCACGTCTCTGCAAAGGGTGCAGACAAGAAGCACACGTGGGGAGGAGGGGCGTTTTGGGATTTCCGCAGACAAGACGCAAGGATCAGGGGAGAGACAAAACAAACAGCATCACCATCACCATCACCATCACACCGCGCAGCAGTTTAGCGATGAGCACAGGCTGCCGGTTCGTGGAATGCGATTATGCGGTGCGGGTGCGATGCGATGCGATGCGATGCGGATGCTGGGGAAGAAGAAAGAGGGTTGTTGCTTGCTGGTGCTGCTGCTTGGTTGCGTTACGAAGTGCGGCGTACATCCTTGCGCGATGTGTGTGCTTCATGCAGTGGCTGGGATCGAAAACCCCCCTTCCCCTTCCCCTCCCCCTCCCTTTCAAACAATCAGTGGTTGAAATGTGAGCGGGGGCATGCAGTTTGCATTTTGCAACTCTGCCGGACTCGTGCATGAGAATCATGAGATGATCATGATATAGGTACATGACAGGACAGGACTCGGCTTCAGGGGGGTGAAAAAAAAAAAACCTGGTCTCACGTGACTTGGAAGAGAGGACGATTGGGCATGGATATGCAAGAATCGTAGCAGCTGCGTGGGATCAACTATGCAATCGTATTATTCATATATGCGTAACAGGCGATCCGCCGTATCATATCAGTCCTGACAGGGCTCCATCATCTTTCTCAAGATGCCCATCAGGTTTGCGTTCTCCAGAGCTGCGGCGACCCGTTCCTTGTCCGCCAGCTGCTTGTTGACCTCCTCGGATTGACTGTGCGTATCCTTCTTTATCTTGACCTCTACTCGATAACTTGGCGGTAAGGCTTGTTCCAACCGAACCCTGACGCCGAGGCCAATGACCGTCGCGAGCGAGCAGTGCGTAACCGTCGGGGTGAGTTCCACCAGCACACGGGACAAGGCTGCTGGGTTGGCCAGATCAGGCGGGGATATCAGATGGACGTCTTGGAGCTTGACTACCCCAAGTGATTCTAGAGAGAGCGGATGCTCCGGGTCTGAGATCGGGGCGATCAGGTCTATATGAGACGTCAGCTGTCAGAACCGCGCTTGGTTTATGAGAACTGCATTGACCGGCTCGAGACATAGGGGAGACAAAATAGGGATATGAAGGGCAAGGACAAGTAGCTCAATCAAAAAATGGGAATCAAAGCGAGGGCATAAATTCAGAACTCGATTTTCATAATGCTACGATAGCTAGATGTGTAGCAAAGCTGCAAGACTAACGAACAACCCCAACAAGAGAAGAGGACTAAAAGGGATCTGAACCTACCGTATATTTCTTGTTCGTCGATAGGCTCTAAAGTCGAATCATCATCGGAATCCGTGTCCGAGTACTCTGATAGGTAGAAAGGGTCCAGCGCGTAACTCGGCTTTGCCATCAATATCTCTCTTATGCCCTCCTCCTTGGCTGATGCATCTCTTCCCTTGCGTCTCTGTCTCTGACTCTGGAGCTCAGACGCGCTCAAGATGGTAGGGTTCGCATTGTCGAGCTCTTTGGCTGAGCCCATGATGAGGTGAGGGGTTGGCGATTGGTCTGGTGGCGGCAGGTCGACCGGGAGAGGCGAAACTCAGTCCGGTTTCTTCTCGTGTTGGCTTCCTATATTTGGGAGGAGAGGATGGTGATGTCTTTGACAAGATGTGGTTGTGCGCGGAGGAGTGCTGATGCTGATGCTGTTGTTGTTGTCGTTGGCGTCTTGAATTCGAACTTCTTGGCCTCCTTCGAAAACCTCGAAAGTATCTTATCGATAAGATTTGCATCGCGATCGCTCTCCGATACCGGAGCCTGGCATTTAAGGCATTAAGGTATACAATCAAAACACTCGTAGGAACTCAAATCAAAGTGCATTTAATACGAAGTAGCCATGCTCTGATCTTGTGGACCTCAAACTCGAGACGCGTGTTTTCTTGGTATGGATCTCTATTACGGAGAATTATGGAGTCGGTGATCTTTTCCTCGAAGTTTTGGCCTGCGGCCTGCAATTACTTCATTACTTCATATCCCTCTTCGCGACGAGCCACTTCCCCAGGACGATCTTCCCGATCTAGTGATCTTCATTATTACGGAGTACTTAGCCTGCGAGAGACCCCTCACATGGTCCGGCAAGTTGGCTTCAGGAGGTGTCTCTCAACTGATCGGCTTGCGAGTTCCAAGTCTCGATTCGATCTTTCGTGTCGCTGTTCCTAGTCGTGAGAATCTGAGCGAATAAACCAGCCAATACCTCCGTGAACCGTCGTTCATCCTCATCGTCCCGGCTGTTGTGTATTGATACTGGAAAGTTCGCCTCTGTCAGCCAATGCGATCTTGTATTTTGAGGCTGCGCCACTGTATGAAGGTGAGCCAGATGTCTCAAACTTTGCTTCGTTTGGGCGTAGGCTGGTGAGTGGACACCCTGCTCGCCACGCTTCGTGCGAATCATTGCTTCGGCATGCTCTGTAGTGTGTCCCGCAACATATTTGCAGGGTCTCTTAACGCAACAACTGCGAGGCTATCTTTCCTCTGCAGTAGAGAGTCTGCGCCAAAATGCCACGACAGCGAGTCAGCAACGGCACCGTCGGCAAGAGCCTGCATTACTCTGTGTTTCTGCTGCTCAGCCGGGTTTGTGAGGAGGAAGCTCGCACGCGCCAGGGCGGAACATGCCTTCCTCTCAGTCTCATTGTAGTATTCGATAGCGAGACGCGCATCGATACATCTCTAGTCTCGTAAGTACGGAGTATTAGTACCTTCAACCTTGTGCACCCTTACCGTAACTCCGTGAGACGGAGTTAGTACAGGGAAGCGCTACCAAGTAGTGCTAACTCTTGGGGAAACACGCAATAATCTCCACGACAACCGTTTTGCTCCGTATTCCTGCGCCGGCCTTGCAGTAAGGTGAGCCTGGTGAGGATGGTGTTATACTAATGAACAGTAGTGACTGACTGCTAGAGCGCCAGCCTCAGAAGCCGGAATGGCGACAACAAGTCCGCAGCGAGCCGCAGATTGACCCGTACCTGGGCGCGATACGTGACCGTTGATCCATGCATGGAACAAGGTCCGAGACTTTTCTGGAAAGCATAGACACGCCTATTGTACCTGATTTCAAGGTTCAAGGGCTTCAAGGGCCCCATTTTGAGTTCAAGGCAATCGTTCATGGGACGCGAAGAACGATGGCGGCAGCGTTCATCAAGGTCCCTAGATGCTGTAGTAGCAGATCGAGGGTCGCACTCTCGAGTCGTCAATAGTTGACATTTGCTGTGCGACCAAGCTCTCACTCATATTTTCCTGCCATGCATGTATGTACTTAGGGACCGTGCCGTCGCTGATACTGCGGAGGGAGCGGCGACGCGCAAGGCTTTCCAACCTCTCTGCCTTCCCGTGTTCCTGGATTGCCTCGCGATGCTGCCAGTGTACTCTGTAATACAGGGAGGGTACGGAGATACGGCGGGGTAAGAGGATTGTTTGCGCGGATGGGAAGGGCGATGCAAGCAGCCGCAGAGCTTGAATCGTATATTCTTGTCCTCGTCGTAGGCTTGCGCGCCTTGCCAGGCTGGACTCTGGAGGGCCGCTGGACCGGTTGGTTGGCAGTTGGCTGGCTCTTGTATAGAGTCTGTACCTTAACTTAGATAGGGACTCTGGATGCCGCTCTGGAATCTGGATGCGCCAGGCCCGCTGGGGGACGAGCTCTGGCGCTAGTCCCCCCACAGCCTAGCGGCAGGAATCTCCCAGGCCCACCACCACCCACGGGCGGTTTCATCTGGCGGCCTAGCTTCTCAGGCCCCTCGACGGCCCATCCTAGCATCTGTTAGCTGCGGGCCTAGCTGACAGCGGCACCCCTCCCAGTCTCCCAGTCTCCCACGGAAGCACGACGTCGCATCAACATACAAAGCTCAACAACACACCACCTCCTCCCGAAAAGGCGCCTCCCGACCGGTATCCCCGTTGCCGACCGCCTTGCTCCTTGTCCTCGCCCTCGCCCTCGCCCTCGCCCGCAGCTCGAGCATCTCTTCTCCAGTCTCCAATCCCGCATGGCTGCGCTCATACACGCCGCCGCCGCTCCATCCACTGCTTGCGATCCATCTGCCGGCCTCTTCTGAGAGCGCGCCCGTCGGACAGAACCTCCCTCCCGAAGCACCGTCTCCCGATCCCTCCCTCTCTTCAGACGGGTCTCCGCATCGACATTGCCTTCGGTCGCCGGTCCAGCTTGCCATATCCGGGCACATCCTTTATCACGTTGGCGAGATACTACGAAACATACAATAGGCGCCCGTTCCGTTTGACTGCTCCGCTGCGATCGAGTCGTCTCGGGTTCGTCGCCCGAAGGGAGGGGACAGCGCGCGTCAAGGAGGGGTTCAACATTTGACTCGCAGCCCTGGGTGTCATTGGGCTACAGTACCATTACAATCCATCGCTATCCGAGGTCTAGAGAAAGAGGACAGAGAAGAGGGAGACGCCGGCACCTAATTGTCTTTCGACAAAGACAGCCGTGCCTGGCCGTTTAGATATCATACTGCATGCGATCCCCGTCAAAGCTTCTGGCTTGTACACCCCAGACATCGGCGAGCTTTCGAGCCATCGTCTTGCCGTCTGCCGTTGCGCAAGTGGGATTGGAAGCTTGGGATTCTAGCGCCTCTAGCCGCCTAGAGCACAAGGGAGCCTTCCTCAAGGCTTGCAGTGTTGGAACTTGTTCTTGATCCCGTTCAGTTCTTTGGATATTGTTCCCGTCCAGCTACCCTCTGCACTTTCCGAAGAGTTTCAAGTGCGGGGTCTTGATACAATCTTCCGTCGAACTAGCAGTTGAGACAATCAACCTAACTGTTTGCGCGACTAAGATTGCAGCCTGGATTCAGAGCTGCTGTATTGCGATACTCCACCTAGAACCAGGTACTTAAGCCCGGATCGCCATTCGTGATCTCGTCTTGCTCAGCGTGGTCGATCTTAAACCCTGATTTCTTTAATCCCGGAATTCGTGGCACTTACTGACCGACTACAAGCGCAATGTCTGGCGAGTCAGGATCTGGCGCACGGAGAATTCTTCCCCAAAGTTCACAGATGCAGAGCTTCTCTTTCGCGCCAAATAACTCCGGGCCGCGGGAGAATCAAAAGAGTGCGTCTGCCTTTCGACCAAGGTCTTGTCCCTGCCACTGTGAACCTGTAATCTAACTGAGCTTTAGATTATGTATTCGTCGATGAACACAACCGCCATAAACGTTTGAAGGGTATGAATCTCTCTTCCTAGTTTTACTATCCTTAAGCTGACATTAGCCGATAGTGATGCGAGCATGTGAAGGTTGCCGAAGGAGGAAAATCAAATGTGATGCAGCAACAACAAATACGTGGCCATGTTCAGCTTGCATTCGATTGAAGTTGCAGTGCGTTCCACCAACCGTCAACTATGATCGCGATTTTCCTACCAATCCTCAGGCGTTCGAGCCGGAGAGAGCAGAGTACGAGACCGGAGGCAATGGTGAAGACGATTACCAACAACAAGTTGCTCTACAGCAACAATTGGTTGGATCGCAGAAGGACATTGCTCCCATTTATACCCAGCAAGGGCCATACTCGGACAGCATTGGTGTTTATCAGTCTGTGGGCTATGGCGAGCCTTCATCAAGTCATAGCCAGCAAAGTATGCACTATGGCAGCTTGCAGACTCCTGTCAGTGTGCTTGATCAGCAGCAACACTTCTCACCAACCCAGGTCTTCCCAACTCCTCCATTACAATCCAACCCTCAGCCAGAAACACCCGAAATGTATGAGCAAGACCAGTATGGACAGCAGAACTTAGCCGACTTGCTGGGGGAGCTCAGAATGAACGAAGCAGGCACAGGTATGGTGTTCTATTGATAACTTGCAGTACTGGTTATTGATAAAGATGCAGCTCCGTATCTAAATAATAAGAACAAGACCAAAACTCTGGTCGAGGAGCCAGCATTCGAAGATATCGATGACTACAAGCACGCCTTCCTTCCAGCTTTATCTGGGCCAGATCTTAAGATCAGGATACCACCAGAATTGATGCCGGATGAGGAAACGATTATGAGCTATTTCGACATGTACTTCACCAATGTCCATCCTTACGTACCTGTTTTGAATAAAGCGGCTTTCTATCAGCAATATCATACCAACAGAGAAGCAATTTCGCCCCTCATTCTTGAAGCTGTCTTTGCAATAGGCGGCCGACTTGCTGATGAACCAGCCCAAGGACACCAGTGGTTGGCTCTTGCCTCGAGTATGTATCCCCACTAGTTGTAACTGTCCAACGCTAAACACTTGGTAGAACATGCGGATTCTTTTATGGATACTCCCCGACTGAGTACTCTCCAGGCCATTCTTATTATACTCAAGGCACGGGAGTCTGCACCAAAGCGTGGCTATTATTTTCGATCTTGGATGACGGTTGTGCAATGCGTGCAAATGGGGAAAGACCTTGGACTGGATGAACATTATGAAGAGCACAAAGCTGGAAGACCATGCGGTTCAGATCTCGCTGAATGCATAACGAAAACTCGAATCTGGCAAACAATTTTCGTTTGCGAGTTGATGATTGGATCCCCCCAAGGTTTGTTCACAACCCAGCCTTGGGCTATTTAAATTGTCTAACATCCGGCAGGGCGAACCGACCTCGCGGTCGAGATGGAAACATTGGACCTCAGTATACAGAGACCAGTCCCAGGCATCGATGATGCGGAGTATCACATCACCCGGAATTTCACTTACTTCACGCGAGTTGTTCGCAACGTAAGGAGGATGAACAATGTGTATGCACGGATCAAGAAAAAGAAGGATTGGGGCATCGATCCCGAATTTGTGCAGTTAAACCCATCTTTCGACGCATGGATGAACGATTTGCCCGCCGATCTACAGATCACCTTCCCTCCTGATGGGTCCCCGCCATGGTTACCATCACACTTCATTGGAAACCTCCACTCATATTACTATCTAGGAATCATTTTGCTGCACCGGCCTCAACTCACATTTATGGAGCCGACGGGGTTAGATGGTGGCTGGAAGCATCATATGATGATATGTTATTCGTCAGCAAAGCTTCTGTGCAGACTGCAGGAAGCAATCTTACAATCTTTTGGAATGACAGGTCTCCTATGCATGCAGCGCGGCATCAATTTTACAATCTACTGCGTCCTGACATGCACTGTTCTCCACCTGGTCCGTAGAATATATACGTTTAGATCTGTGCTATACTGATTCCTTAACAGGTTGCGCTCACTTCACCGGATCCCGACCTCAATGGAGATGCTCGAGAATACTTCACTCGGCACATGAGAATTTTGGAGAAATGCGCGAGCGCCTGGCCAATGCCAGACATGCAACAACAAATCGATGCACTTTGAGAAGCGTTCTCTGCTGATGTGAGAAAACCATTTGTGCTCAAACCGAGTTTTCCGTATGGCAGTCCAGGCGCACCAGTACGTTCAACTCCGCCGCGCACAACCCCACAGTACAGTCAAGCCAGCTTGCACTCAACATCTCTCGATCAGCAAAATCTGGAGCTCCACCATGCCCAGCAACAACACCAAGTCAGTTATACAAACCACCCTCATCCCATCTCACCACCTATTTCAGTTGGAGGTGTGGACACGAAAAGTGACTCTCCTGGTGCACAGTCCATGGTGATGATGGGCGCTGGGCAACGAGCCCCCCAGCAGTCGATGCCCAGTGGGGTCCCAATAGCTGATACCACTGGCTGGAATCCTTCCATTATTTTTGAGTAAGTCAAATCCCCTCCCTACTTTGCCACCGCTGTGGATAGTATCTGACAATGGATATAGTCGATGGAACACTACTTTCGGTACGGCCCCTCCTCCGAGCAGCACTGCTCTTCAACAACCTCTAAAAACTTCCGTACCAGGTGCCCAGGAAATTCCCCAGTTGCCCGAGATGCAAAATCTTCCCCACATGAACTTACCCTCCGGGACTCAGCCTATCCCCCCACAGCAATATTCAGGTGCTGCAATACCTTCCTTTGTCAGCCCGAGCATGTGGCAAGAGTCAGTGGCCAGTGTGTATGAGGGTGGAATGAAGAGAAGCTGGGACTATGTTGAAGGGAATATGCTCGATCCGAGCTCGAAACGATTACGATGAATGAGTTGATGCATGTGCGTTATCTAATAGGGGATACCGTTGGAAGCTCCACACTAGTACTCCTCCGGGTGGGTCCCTGATCGATCATTAAGACATCAAGTATGATAAACTGAGCAGGTGCCAGAGTATGCAAGCCGATCTATCTCTGGACATGCAACAATCCGCCTATCACAGCGCCATGAAGGCATCGAGATATGTTGGCCTCGGAGGTCTTGATGGAATATATTTTGATTTTTTTACGACATTGGTGAATGAAGACAATGACAGGACGTGTTATGTATATGAAGAGGGTATCAAAAGGAGTTATAAGTGATGAACGCATGGTCTTCGGCGCTTGAGCGAAAATGTACCATCCATCAGTCCGACAATGGTTTTATCGATGACGGATTTCACTCTGGCTTCTTCTGTCACAATATAAAATAGAGGTATTTTAGGAGGTCCTGGAAACTAGGTAGTTTCCTGGGACATAGGACCTTTGCCCATGGCCATATAGCAACGCTGGCATTACATTGTACAAAGGCAGGGGTCTGATATGCAGTCATGAATAGAGCTTCTTCAAAAGTTCACAACCTCCTTGCTTGACATTCTCAGGTCTCTCTCAAAAACGGATGGTCCCTCCACCCCATATTTCTCACTTGGATCTGCATGCTTTCCAAGACCCTTGTTTTAACACTGGCGCTACTTCCTCCACTTCCACTCCTCACATCGGTGCCAACAAACGCTCCATGCGTACTCTCGAACTCGTGATTCTTCAGGACATTCCACATCACTGCAACCTCTTCTGGAGAGAGCGGTATCATGTTGGGAATGCTCCACATGAAAGCGAAACTGTTCATACCCGGAGGCCTTCCTCCCTTTCCGGCATCAGGACCTTTACTCCAATCACCCAAACCACTTGGCGTGGTTACCAAGGTATCAGCAACTAACAGCCTCCCAAACGCCAGACACACCAGACTGCCTGGGAAATGGCCTCCCAGTTTCAGTGCCTTGACACCCGTCTTCTCCCCCTGAACTTCAATCTCCTCTTCAGAACCCTCGATGAAAGTTCTTGCTTTCCCCAGCCGATCTAGTCGATTCAGCCACTCTTTATCCTCCCAACTCAGATAGACAGGACAGTCAAAGGTCTCTGCCCATTCAAGATGCGTGGTATAATAGTGGGGGTGAGAAATCACGATAGCCGCCAATCCTCCCATACCATTAATACGATTAATCGTCTCCTCATCCAAAAACGAGATGCAATCCCACAACACATTGCCCAGCGGGGTCTTGATCAAGATGGCGCGTTGCCCAATCGCGAATTTCGGCTCCGTCCAAACCGACCAGAACCTCTCATCGCCATCCAGCTCCTTCCACTTATTCCGGAACCCGGCCTTCTTCATCTCCGCCAGCGTCGTGAACGCCTGGCCCGTCGGCGGCACGAACTGTCGGGGGTCATCACAGATGCGGCAGCGCGTCAGCAGCGCCCGATCCTCTACGTCGAATTGCGTCCCGCACGCGCTGCAGACCAACAGGTTCTCGGTGTGGTGCGACATGATGCTGTTGGCGGGCGGCTCGGCGCTCCTGAATTCGTGGAGCGGCTCCTCGAATGCGTTGGGGTAGGGCGTGGCTTGCGAGGTGGACATGTTTTCTTTCTTGCTCTGAGGTGCCGGGGGGCGGCTCTTTTTGTTCATGTATTGAGAGCTTGAGGGTTGAAGGTGGGGGGAGATGCCTCGTGTACCTATGGTGACGACGAACACACGTTTACCCCTTGTATTTCTGAGGGGCGATATGGTATAAATGTCGGGCTGTATTGGATATCCTCAACCTATGTAAAGCCTTGCTCAGGGGAATTCTCAAGACTGACATGGGATGTGCAAGGTAAGGTAAAGTAAAGTAAGGTAAGGTAAGATGTCTATCGTTGTTTCTACACTCGCATTCCGCTCCGAGATACGAGCCAGTTCCCTATCTCCCCGAATAGGAAGGTACAGCCGGTTATCAGTGAGGAGTACCCCATACTGGGCGTAGTCCCCCTCTCCCCAACCTCGTGCTCACTCTCTATTTTGTGTTTCTTTTCTTTTCTTTTCTATTCCTATTTCCTTTTCCTCTGACTCGTTGTCTATTTTCTCTTCCTAATCAGGTCAGACACATAATATCAAGATGGTTTATTTACTCGATTACTTCCAGCATCGGCGGGATTGGTAATTCTTCTCTTCCCGTACCCCTCAAATCCCCGGCTATCTGCAGCGAGACTAGCTAACCGCCTCCGCGCAGCCAGTTCAAGCAAGCAGAGCGCGTGCAACGGATCCAGGCCCTCCCGACTTACCAAGGTCCATTCACGAGTTCAGAGCGTCTGGTGCTGTCAAAACCCATCGAGCAACTCGTACAAGATGTACACCAGCAGGTCCTTCAGCCAATCGATATCCTGCGCGCCTACGGCAAGGCCGCGCTGAAGGCGCACGAGAAAACTAATTGTGTGACGGAGGTTATGATCGGAGCTGCCGAGGGCTGGACCACGGATGGGAGCGTGAATATGAAAGGCCCGTTGGCGGGTATTCCGATCAGTCTGAAGGACTCGATCGTGGTCGGTGGCTTTGATACCACCGTGGGGTACAGCCGCAATGTGGGAAACAAGGGAGAGAAGGATGGGACTATGGTTAGGCTATTGAAGGATGCGGGAGCCGTGCCGTATGTAAAGACCAATTTGCCAATCACGTTGCTGAGCTTCGAGTCAACGAATGATGTCTGGGGCCGCTGTACCAATCCTCATAATAACAAGTACTCGCCGGGGGGGTCGACCGGAGGAGAGAGCGCGCTGCTGGCGGCTGGCGGTGGAAGGATCGGTATTGGAAGTGACGTTGCCGGTAGTGTGAGAGCGCCAGCGCATTTCTCGGGCATTTACAGCTTGAGATGCTCGACAGGACGTTGGCCCAAGAATGGGATGGTGACGAGTATGCCGGGCCAGGAGGGAATCCCAAGTGTCTTTAGTCCTATGTCGAGGACGCTGGAGGACTTGTCATACTTCACGAAGTCGTTGATAAGTATGCAGCCGTGGAAGTATGATCATTCCGTACACCCTATCCCCTGGAGAGCGGAGGTCGCCGAGCAATTCGCAGAGAAGAAGAAGTTTAAGGTCGGGGTTTTAAGGACTGATGGTGTGGTGGACCCAAGCCCGGCATGTGCAAGAGCTGTTGAGGAGGTCGTCCAGGTCTTGAAGAAGGAGGGTCATGAAGTTGTTGATGTCGAGCCCCCATCCCCGTACGAAGCTCTCTATATCGGCTCGCAACTCCTCAACTCCGACGGATGCAAGACCTTCAAGTCATTTTTCAGGACCGGAGAATGGGAAGACCCCGGGGCGAAGCAGATGAGTTGGCTGATGTCCCTCCCAAGCCCGTTCAAGTGGCTGTATTACGCCTGGGTCAAGTACGTTCGGCGGGATGAGATATGGGCCGGCCTTGTCAGAGACTGGAAGCCGAAGTCCAGTTATGAGCAATGGAAATTCGTTGCCAAAAGGGAGGCATACAAAGCGAAGTGGCATGACTGGTGGGAGCAAGAAGCCAAGGTGGATTTCATCATCACACCCCCCAACGCTACACCGGCCGTCCCCCACGATGGGATGAAGGACGCGGTCAGTAGCTGTGGCTATACCTTCTTGTTTAATCTGGTAAGTGGTGCTTTGCAGTGATGCTTTGCAGTAGTGTGCCTTTCATGGATGCTAATGGACAATAGCTTGACTACACATGTGGGATCATGCCCATCACACACGTCGACAAGGCCCTGGATCAGCTGCCATCCGACTTCTCCCTCAAAAAGTTAAATGGAGTGGCGTACGGCGCGTACAAGCACTACGACGCCACAGCCATGCACGGCCTTCCTGTTGCGGTGCAGATTGTGGGTCAGAGATTGGAGGAGGAGAAGGTGCTGGCAATCATGAAGCGGATCGAGGATATCCTAGGGGATGACAAGTATCAGCTGTTAGAGATTGAATAGGCCTTTTGGTTGTTGAGTGGAAATGGTGATGGTGTTGTACTTGACTTGTAAAATGAGATATCCTGATGCAGTCCATATATATGGCCATGGCCTTAAGCGTGAAAGGCGTGATAATGTCCAGGAACCACCCAAATAATTCCACGTGACGGAAGTTGATATGGGGCCCCCTCACTCCTGATCTCCGCAACCCCTCGTCTCGGTTTGCATCGCTTTAAGCGTCAACATAAGTCATGTTTAGAGAGTCATAAACAAGGCTCCGAAATCGGCATATCCACGTGCATCCCCCTCTCAATATCAAACACATATACCCCATTAAAAAGCCAAGAATCACTTCAACCAGAACCATCTCGATTAAACCCCAAACACAAATCTCTTTTCCATGGCAGCCGAAGCGACAAAAATAGTGGACCACTGGTCGTCGGAGGTAAGGAGAGAGACAGCGAACCCCGGATTTTATGGAAAGGCTAGATACGGAGAGACTTATCTATACGGGTAACAGGCATATCAGAATTCGGCCTCGTTCGTGCCGAGGCTAGCTACTAAGGTCCTGGGCTGGTTGGACGTCAAGCCAGATGATTGTATTTTGGATGTTGGCTGTGGTGGTATGTAAAGAAAAGAAAAAAGAAGAAGCAAAAGAATCCTTGATAACTCGAGGGGATTGTTTCGGTAGGAAGAAGATGGGCAATTGCTCTTTCTTCTGATGAGCAATATGCCGGTTGAACACTCCCCTTGAGATCTATCATCATCTTCTAGTTTCTAGACGTGGAAAAGGAAGTCAGGTTAATAGCTGAATAGATGGAGTCCTCAATCTCCAAATCGCCGAGACGCTCTCGAAAGGAAAAGGCAGGATTCATGGTGTCGACAGCTCAATCGATATGATCACCGCATCCAAATCTGCCGCAGCGGCAGCAGATCCTGCTATATCAAAAGCCTGCACCTTCGAAGGTACATGTGTCAAACCCCCCCTTTTTATTTTCATAAGAAAAGAAAAGAAAAAGCAGAAAAAAAGAGAAAAATACCCATCTCCCATACTGACAACGTCCTCAGTCCTAGACGCCACTCAGCTAATCCACAAGCCCGAGCTACAGCGATCCAGCTTCGACAAAGTCTTCTCCAACGCGGCCATGCACTGGATCCTGCGGCCCGCCGACACGCGGTTCGATTTCTTCCGCGGTGTGCGCAACGCCCTCAAGCCCGGGGGCCTCTTCTGCTTCGAGATGGGCGGCATGGGGAACGTGGCGGAGATCCGGGCGGCGCTGCTGAGCGTCGTGTCGCGGCGCGTGGGCATAGCGCGCGCGCGCGCCGCCGACCCGTGGTTCTTCCCGGACGGCGCCTGGATGCGCCGCATGCTGGAGGAGACCGTCGGCGGCTTCCACGTCGAGCGCATGGAGAGGGAGTACCGCCCGACGCCGGTGGATCAGGGAGGCGTCGAGGGATGGGTCCGGCTCATGGGCAAGCAGTTCCTTGATGCGGTGCCTGGGAGCGAGGACCGCGAGGCCTGCGTGGCTGAGGTGTGCGAGGTTTTACAAACGGTCTGTGAGAGTCCTGGAGGTGGCGAGTGGTTGGGCTATGTGAGGTTGAGGGCCGTAGTTAGGAGAATCTAAACTTTAATCAAGAATTCAATTTGTTGCACAGGGGACCGCAGAGCGGGGTTCTTAATAATTGGAGAATCTGTCGTGATTGTCAGCCCGTTCTCTTGAGCTCTTGATCAGGATTCAGTACAGACCCTTTCGTCTCTAACATCAGACAAGTGAAATATCAACAACACACCTTACCTTGCCTTACCTTGCTCCTTGCTCCTGTAATCGAACATGAGCGCATCAGTGAACGTCCAAAAACGCCTGAAAGGCTGAAAGGGCCCAATTGTACTTAGAATAGAATGATGAACGACGAAGAGTTGGATGTAGCTCAACAGCAATACCTAGCCTGGCCAAGGAGCCGAGGTCTAGACGCTCTGCTAGTGGCAACGGTTTTATACAACCAGGGCCCAGGGATTACCGAGACTACCGAGATTACCGTAAAAGGATAGGAAACCTCGGCTAACATATACTGTACGGGGTATGGTCGGTCCCCCGGATTCCTGGGCCAATCAGCTTTAGCGGGCACGAGCCAACCCCATATAAGACGTCAGTGGACCAGACTTTCGGACGAAGTGCCACCAAACGTTTTGCGGTTGACGATGTTGGAGGCTTTTGTGCTTTGCCCAGTGGCCATGGAAGCTTTGAACACCGCCAGGTCAACTCCGAGCCTTCAGTGTTTCTAGTTAGATCTGTTGCTTTCCCGCACTCCAACCATGCTATTTTCGTTTGTTCGGGCTCTCCGCGTGGAAGTCGTTCTCTTGGCTTGTGATACCTGATCTCTTTGCCACCAGGTCCGCAACGAATATCTGCCAAGTGGTAGTAATCACCTGATCTCTGTTCAGATCTTGGCTGGGTGTTATTACCTACTTAGGTATACTGTTTTTGGGTCCACCCTGAACTGCTCTAGATCCAACCCCTCCAGAACTTTTCTTAGGTCTAGAGTCGGTCCAGCCAGACAGCCATCGAGGTTGTACCTCATTCCACACTTTCTCTTCTCCATGCAAACATCCTGTCTGTCTGAATCCTCGTTCTGAAGAGACAACAAACGCCGCCGTTGGGATCAGCAGAACTGACGCCGAGTTCGAGTGTCTGGGGAGGCTTGATATCCAGAGTACGAACTAATGAGAGGAGGAAAACCCATCTCATAGGATCGGCGAGAAGACCCGGCCCTTTTGGGGTAGAAACACATGCGATTCATATTTCTCTGCTGCGGGCGGATATAGCATCTGCAGGCGGACGGCAGCTCAAGAACACCGGGAGGCTCTTCAACGCCCTTCTTGAGCCTTCTTCAGTATCCGCCACTTAGCAAGCTGCGTCGTCGATGCGATGGCGATCATGTCCGCTTCTGACGCCTCGGGAGATGGCCTCCATCCGCATGCGGCGCACGTTGGCTCACAATCGAAGAACAATCAACACTCCCCCAGGTCCGATGGAGAGCAATATGGAGCGGATTATGACACGCCGATCTTGCCACTGCCAGCCCCATCTATTCAGATGGACGGCCTCGAGTCCATACCAGAGGATAGCCTAGCATGCGATCGGGGGCGATCACCTCTTCGTGACCATAGACGACCTTCGAACACTAGCAGCCTGCATCTTCGGATTCCAGGAATGGCATCCCCGGCGGAGATTGCAATGGCTGCCATGCAATACCTGCCTTATCCATTAATGGTGCTCAATAGCATGAAAACCATCGTCATGGCAAATGAGTCCATGGGTAGGCTACTTGGAATCGGAGACGACGGTGCTACAAGAGATGATGAGATGTCGGTGCTGGACAGACTCCGGGGCAAGACATTAAGCCAGATGGGAATCGATATGCTTCAAGACGGCAGGCCTATATGGGTCAGTTGGGATTCGTTTTTGGATGCCATCGGCGACGAGAAAGGTGGCATAGGAGATGAATCAAGTATTCCGGAAGTCACGCTTGACGATGAAGACGAAACCCCAACTGAAGAGCCATCGAGGAAGTCATCTGCAGACAGCAACAATTCAGTTGTTCATGACGCTGTCATCGAAGTGGTCATTTTACCACCGGATATTGTGGCATCATCACCCTTTGAAGAAAGGAGTGGTACAGCCATGGCGTGCAAGCATACATTTGCCAAAATGGTCATTACTGTATGGGAGCTAGATGGCGAGAAATACTTCACGTTGACGTTTACAAGTACGGAATCGAACCAGACGACATCACGAGGATCTAGGCAGGTTTCTAAAGCCAGCAAGAAACATTCTTCAGCGTCTGCATCGCCTGCACCTTCTAGCACGTCTTCAATGAGTTCCAGGCGCAGTTCAGCCTATGGTGGAACTAGTACATCGTCTTCACTTACGAGCCCTACGAACGCTTCCATGTCGATCAGTCCTTTCCCGCCGCTGGGTCCACCGTCCCGATCTCTTTCTAATGAGCCATCAATTCTGCAGAAGGTTCACATAATGAAGGATGCTCTCCTGGATAGCACAGAGGTTCCAATTATAGCGATGTGGAAGGACCAGAGCATGAGCTTTCCGAACAAAGCAGTTCGGCGACTACTCCAGCCAGCTGCTGCTGATTCAATAGATCTCACGGGCGGGTTCGATCTGCTATCACAATGGCATTTATGGAATGAGAATTTTACAGACCGACTAGAGCCGTCGGAATACCCCCTTTCAGTGTTGCTCAGGACGCAAACAGGGTTCGAGAGTCGCAAGTTGGGATTTATCCATCCTGAAACCGGGCGCAAACTCGTTCTAGATTGTCTGGGGGAAGCCATCAGAGACAAGGATACTGGAGAATTCTTGGCCGGTATGGTTACATGCAGAGATATTACCAGCATGACAGAACAGATCCAGGAGTTGAAAGAGAAGGATGAACAACGGTTTCAGCTTATTTGCGATAGTATGCCACAGATGATCTGGACGACCACCGCTGATGGAACGCACGATTGGTTTTCTGGGCGATGGTAAGAAACCTGACCTCTAAAAATAACGATAGCTGCTGATATTACAAAGGTATGAATATACGGGGTTGACACATGAACAATCCGTCGGAAATGGATGGCAACAACCCTTCCATCCAGATGACTGGGCAGTGGCCGAAAAGAATTGGTTGAATTCTCTGAAGACAGGAGAACCGTATGCCACGGAGTATCGCTGCCGAAGTAAAGAAGGTCAATTAAGATGGATGTTGGGCCGTGCTCTCCCTATGAAGAACAGGCAAACTGGCGCTATTGAGAAGTGGTTTGGGACCTGCACTGACATCCACGAGACAGTAGAATCAAGGTTGGCAGCAAAGAGACTAGTAAGAAGCCGCATCAGATCCGCATTACCTAGTTGTCATAGCTAACATTTCTCTTAGCGGCAACAACTTCTATATGTGATAGCCCACGCCCAAGTTACTCTTTTCTCTGTTGATAGAAATCGGAAGTTGACCCTACTCGAGGGTTCCTTCATCTGGGACCTGGAAAGCAATGGCTCTTCGGGTGATAAGAGCGCGTATAGCAAGATCACCCAAGGCGATAAATATATCGGCAAAAACATCTATGAGGTGTTTATAGCCGGCAATAATAACGGCAAAAAGTTCGTGGAAAAGATTGAGGATATTCTTACTGGCAAGGCATTGGAAGATGTGTACGAGGGCTGCATTCACAATCGATGGTATAAGATTCGATTTGTCGCGGTCCTGGGCAAGAAAGGCGCAGGGGGCAAGGAGAACGAGACCTCTATCGATGGCGTTATTGGGGTATCGATAGACATTACGGAAGTCAAAAATAAGGAAGAGTCACTGCAGGCGCAAGAGAAGGAGAACACAAGACTGATGGCAAACGCCGCAGCTGCCAAAGAAGCCAGTCGATTGAAGAGCCAGTTCCTTGCCAATATGTCTCATGAGATCCGGACACCCATTGCAGGCATCATAGGGATGGCTGAGCTCCTTGCAGATATGAACCTGGATAAGGAGCAGCGGGAATGCGCCGAGAATATCCAGCACTCTGCCAACGGGCTCCTAACGGTTATCAACGACATCCTTGATTTCTCCAAAGTCGAGAGTGGCCGTTTGGATATCGAGGAGGTGCAGTTCTCTCTTAGTGTCGTCGTACGTGACGTGAGCAAGATGCTGAGATTTGCTGCGGAGAGAAAGGAGCTCGCCTTCGAATCCGAGGTCGAGATTGGAGTTGGTCATGATCTGATTGTCATGGGCGACCCCGGACGAGTTCGACAGATTATCACCAACCTCTTGACTAACAGCATCAAGTTCACTAGCGAAGGCCGGGTCAGATTCTCGGTGCTGAAAGAGAAGGAGACAGAGGACATGATCGAGATCAAATTCGTCGTCGAGGATACAGGTATCGGGATCGAAGAAGAAGTCCAGAAATACCTCTTCCAGCCCTTCAGCCAGGCCGATTCCTCAACGGCGCGACGCTTTGGCGGCACGGGGCTCGGTTTGACGATCAGCAAGAATCTCGTGGATCTCATGCACGGGCGGATCAACTTGGAGTCGTCTCTGGGGAATGGCACTCGAGCGACGTTCTGGATCCCCTTCAACAAACCGCACTATCACGGCGCCCAAGCCACTCCGATTGATTTCAGTAGCCTGCCGGATAGGCTGCAGTCCGAGAGGAGCGTGTCGTGCAATAGTGGTTCCGAGTATGACCCCATCGCGGGCACGTCTCCTTTGCCGAGCCCCCTGAGTGGGAATAGGGGCCAACAGATCCCAAGATCGGTTGCCGCGACGTCTGTACCAGCGGACTCGGATCTTCCCCCGGATGAGAGAGCGAAGATCAACATTCTTCTTGTAGAAGATAAGTAAGTCTTGCCCCGTCCCTCTTCATCTGTCTCTTCTTGATTAAAGGACCCGCTAACACATCTCTTGCAGCGCCATCAACCAACAAATCGCCCTCAAGACCATCCGCAAGCTCGGCTTCTCCGTTACGGCCGTCTGGAACGGCAAAGAAGCCCTAGACTACCTCGTCACCGCGGAGTCGCCCAACTCCCCGCACCCCAGACCCGACATCATCCTCATGGATGTGCAGATGCCAGTCATCGACGGCTACCGGGCGACGCACCTCATCCGACACCACGCGCCCTACAAGCTCCTCTTCCGCGAGATCCCCATCGTTGCCATGACCGCATCCGCCATCCAAGGCGACCGCGAGAAATGCATGAAAGCCGGTATGGACGACTACCTCGCCAAGCCCGTCAAAGGCAAGATCCTCGAGCAGATGCTCGTCCGCTGGGTTCTGTCCCGCCGCCGCGGCGCCCGCACCCCCGCCCACAGCGACTACTCCGGCAGCGATTGTCCCGAGCCGTCTGAGGCCAATTGCCAACTCGCCTCCACCATCACCAGCACCAACGCCACCGTCCCCGCCAGTGGCACCGCGACGCCCCGACCCCCGAACTCCCACAACCACCACCTAACATCCTTCTGCGCGTCTTCAGAAAGCGACCGCGTGGCGCGGCGCGAACAAGCAGAAGAGCGCGCGCTCGCGCTCCGCGCTAAGAAACTCGTCGACGCGGCAGGTCCGCCAACACGCACGACGCAACTCCCCACCCCTCCTGCCCACGAGCTAACCTTCGAGAATGTGGGACGACTGGAGAGGGAATCTTCTGTTGTATCTGCAGCTGCGGGGGAGGCGGAGCCGGAGCCGGAGGCAGAGGAAGGAACGACGAGTCCTACGGGTGCGGAGCGTGGTGAGGAGGAAGAGGATGAGGATGAGGATAGCTATATCAATTCACGATCCGGATCCGGATCAGAAAATCCCGGAAGACAAGAAAACGAGAAAAAAGAAAGACCGCGGTTAGAAAGAAGAACGCAGGATAGCGAAATGACGATTACGGGGGCTAGAAGATAGGGCATCGATTAAAATTTGGAGTTTTGAGGATTGGTGTGTGTTTTTCATCGCGGTTTGGTCTGGTTTGGTCTGGTTTGGCGTATGGATGGGATGGGATGGGGATGGGACTGCTGCTGCGGTATAGAAATTCATTTTTATGTGATGTGATGTGATGAATAGATTTATTATTATGATATGTTTGTAGGTTGGTTGGTTTGGGTTGGGATGATTAGGATGGGAGAGCAGATAAGAGCTCTATGAATATGTACCTTATGTATATAAAAACAGGCAAGGCAAGGCAAGGAAAGGAAAAGTCGAGAAAAGAAAGGAAGGAATATAAAGGAAATATGAAAAAGAATGCTAAGAAATACCACCTACCTATATCGCCTTGATTGATCTATACCATCATCCGGTATCATCATACGCATTATCTCATAATAGTGAATAATGATAATATATTGATCAATTATCATTTCATCCCAGCAGCATTCGCAATCACGCTCTCATCGCATTCGCAGACTACAAGATAACAAACAACAAACTAGTTGGGTCCATTTAAGATGAACCATGATGGTATAGGTATAGGTATAATAATATAAACAAACACTTTGCTGCCAAGCAAGCAAAAAATCGCCCCTCATTTTGTGTGTGTGATCGCTAAAACACATCGAAAAAAAGATTCCTCCTGAATTACTCCCCCTCCTGGTCCCAGCCAGCCAGTATACTTATCGCCGAGGAAGAAGGGGGGGGGGTAAAATGATGATAGATAGATAGATAGAGAGGTCCCTGATGATAATAATACCCAATCAATCCGGATTTCCCACGCCCCACCACACCCCGTGTGGTGTATATGTCCATACCATCCATATCCATAATTCCTTATAACTCCATATTGACGGAAAACTCCACGCTGAAGTACAGAAAAGCAAAATAGGTGATCATCGGAGGAAGACTCATTAGTAGCTTAGATCTACGTCGCCCAGTTGAGCGATGATCTTGTCCTCCTCGGTCATCGACGTCGAACTCTCCGTCGTGCTGGTGTTCGTAGTAGTGCCGGTGCCTGCTCGTCTCCGGATATCGTCAGGCTCGGCCAGTTGGACGCCGCTTGCTGAAGCGCCTTCGTCACGCATTTCCTGGAAACTCCAGCTCGGCTGGAAGGATCTGCTCTTCCACGCGTACTCGACCCTCTCGTACATCTCGTCAATCTGTTCGAGGCTGATCTTACTCGTCTCGTACACCATACACCAGACGAAGACGACTGCGAGCACACAGCAGGCGCCCCAGACGAAGAAGATCTTGGCCGCCAGGTCCACGTATCCTTCCCCGGCATTCACTAGGTAAGGGGTCCCATAAGCGATGGCGAAATTCAGAACCCAATTTGAAGCGATGGATATAGACATGGCTTTGGCGCGCACCTTCAAAGGGTATATCTCTGAAGTCACAACCCAGACAACGGGACCCCAAGATGACGCAAAGAAGAAGAGGTAGATGCAGACGAAAACGATGAGGACTAGGTGCGCTGCCTGCCCATATGGGATGGCCGACCCGACGGATGCTACCGTAAGCTGACAGATGGCCATGCCAGAAGCGCCGATCAAGAGTAGATGACGGCGCCCCAAAGATTCTACGAGAACCATACCAGGGACGGTGGATACCACATTCACGATGTTCATCGCCAACTGGATGACAAAAGGGGACTCGATACCTATGTTCTGGAAGAAGGTGGTCCCATAGTAGAGAATGAAGTTGCATCCGGATAGTTGTTGGAGCATCTGTAGACCGCAAGCCGTGAGCACCCGCCGTCCTAGATGGGGAGAGCCCACAAAGACCTCGCGGTATGTTGCTGGCCCTAAACTGAGCTCGTATTCGTGATTAGCCTGGATCTCCGCGAGTTCTTCGATTAAGGCTGGATGGGTTATGTCTAAGCGCCGAAGACGGCTGAGGGAGGAAGCGGCAGCACCATGGAGGTTCCGCTTGATGAGGTACCGCGGCGTCTCGGGCAGGAGACTGAGGCCGAGGAGTAGACCGCCGGCCCAGACGAATTGTAGAGCGATGGGGATCCGGAATGCATTGGCGTGATCGATACTTTCAGTACCTAGACTGACAATCGAGGCCACCAGCAGGCCGCAGGTGATAGCGAGCTGGTACGCGCAGACAAGCGTCCCACGAATCCATTTCGGCGCCATCTCAGACTGATAAAGGGGGACGAGGACTGAGATGATACCGACACCGAGGCCCGCGAAGAATCTGCGCAGCGCCGTGTTAGCCTATCCTGTGGGATACTGCGCCTTGGGTGAAGAGTTGCCATACCTTCCAGCGATGAGCAGCGGGATGTGCATGGCACAGGTCTGCAAGAGAACGCCAAACGCGAAGATGGCCACAGCAATGATAAGTGAGACACGGCGCCCGAGTCGATCGCCCATAGGTGCTGCCATGAGGGCCCCGAAGAAGGTTCCTGCGCTCAATATGGAAACGATTCGGGATGATTGTGCCGGCGATATATTCGGCTCGCCGTCTTTCACATCGATGTAGCCCGTCGTGAACTGCTTGCGAAACGCTTTCATGGCCAAGATCCCCGAGATTGTGCTACACCACCATCAACTCCCATCCTTTTCAAGCCGTCCGAGATCGACTCACCCTGTATCATAACCGAAGAGCAAACCACCGGTGGCTACAAACAACCCGATCATGATCGCAGGCGCCGAACTGCCCGCCACTAGCAGATCCAAGAGTCAGCATGTTTTCGCAACGGAGAAATTCCAGGATCGTTCGCAAGACGTGGTCTGCGAGTCGCAAGATGCTTGGTGTCGAGGGCGCCGCCAGAGGGTCTCGACTCGAGACTCTATGGATCGACGAAGAGGCGAGGGCATTTACCATTATCGGGTTTTCGCCAGCCTCTGGCTAAGAGAGCCATGATGGGCGGGAGGGAACTCTCGAGGTCAGCGCAGGTCGATGGGTCGACGAGATCGTCGTCGTCGGGGTCGTGGTTCGTACTACGGTGGAAGGGATCGAAGAGAGGGAGCGTCAATGATGATCACCAGAGGTTGGTGGTCTAGAATAGGCATCCCTATTGGCAGAGGGGAGTTCTCGCACGGAGGAGCGCAGCAAACCGCATCGCCTAGTTTCGGGGAGGGGTGCAGCGACAGTGGACGTGGGTTTGCGACGTGCGAGGAGCGAGGAGCGAGGAGCGGGCGGTGGAGCGGGGTGGAGGGGGAGGAGGAGGGGGAGGAGGAAGGGGAAGCGGACGATCTGAGGTTGGTCGGGGAAGGGGAAGCGGCTTTCCCTGGGATGGTCGTGCGTACTATAAGTCAGGGTCGTTAGTATATGCCTGATGTATGTAGTTTTGCTCTGGCCGGGAACAGCACGGACAAGACCACAGGACTGTACCTTGGGGATAGTATTGGATTCCTGTCGTAGTGTCTGATGGCCGCCGCAAGGGAGTCTTATAGGACGACGAGTCGCGCTGTCAGGTCAGGTAGTAAGTAAGTAGTGGAGAAGATCGAGGGAGGGGAGGATTTGGTGTGCGGTATGCGGGTAAGCAAGCGTGTGGGGAAGCGCAGCGATTCGGCTGCGCTGGAGTCTGGACTTCTCCTCTTGCCGGGGAACAAAAACGATGCACGACGGCGAGGGCGAGGGCAGGGCAAAGGGACATGGGAAGATGATGCGGTGATTAAAGGGTGAAGAGGAAGAGGAAGAGAAGAGGAAAAAGAAGATGTAGATGTGAAGATGGAGGTGAAGTGAAGTCGAGAGAGACGAGCGATGAGGGATTCTCGTCGGTATCCTGATTACCGTCCTGATTACCACTTTTACCAGTATTATTTACACCATTACTGCCGTTTATCACCACTTATCACCACTTATCAGGTATTTATCAGGTATTTACCACCATTTATTACCACCCCTCCTCCCTCCGCATTCCATTCCAGCCATGCCCCGGTTTTGAAGACCAACGATATAAAATAAAACACGGTAAAAGCAGCAAATCCCCTTCTTCGCATCTTCGGGTTTCGCTCGCCAAGAAATCCCTTCGTTCTCTCACCTACCTTAAGGTATCAATCATCATGCATTCCTCCATCCAGAGGGTATAGTTGTACGTAGTTTATAACTTGGCATACAGCGCCCAGCAAATAAAGTCACCACTCGCAATGTTCCCTTCCTTCCCCCTCTTCATTTATTTCCGAAGTGTCATTCCGCACCCACCCTTGCTCTTCTTTCTTATTAAAGGTCCTTTTGCTATATGACGGTGGCTAGCTGGTTGGCTGTCTAGAACCCCAAGACCAAGCTGCAGATGCTGTCTGTGCTTGTTTCCCCGAGGGGGCGTGGGTGGGAGGCGCTTTCTTGCTTTCTCGTTTACTTTGTCACAGTGCAGAGAGAGGAGGGAGGAATTTTATCTCTTTCCTTTCCCCTCCTGCTCTTCTTCTCTCACGGAGTACACCCTCTTGAGATAACAAGGTAGGCACGGAGTAATTGGAGCAGATTATACCGTGCAAACAAATACATGATACGTCCGACCTCAACTATAAGGTACCTATAGGTAGCTTTTGGCATTCAAGGAGGGAGCGGAGATCAGCTCATTACAGTAATCAACCCCCCTGTTCAGGGACATGTCATGCTATGTATGCCATGCCGTGCCAAGCCTAGCCCCCTTACTCTGTGCCTCTTCTTAAGGTCTATGTTATAGCCTGTCCTGCATATAGCTCATACAAGTATATGGATAGCATGTGAAATGATACTCCCACGCTCTTTCTCTATCCTGGGTTTGTAGTGTCGCTGATGGAATAAAGATGCCTTCAGTTTCTAAGCATTTCCGCAATAATTGTACATTGATACTATCATGAGAAGCAGAGACGAGGAAGGTCAGGCATCAACTGCGAAATCAGATACGCTGTTGGGAGCAAAACGATTCATATTATCAGTACAAAGGCTCAATCATACTACATCCACTATCTACAGCTCGAGAGCAGGCGTCTGGCCCTTGACCCGACCAATCACTTGGCTGGGAGCGTACTTGGGAATAACCTCATCGTCATGCAACATCGCAAACTCCTCCGTGGCGTCCCGTCCCATGAAGTTCATGATGGCTTGGGGCCCTCCTGGGTGCTCGTCAAGCCAGTTCGTGAGATCCAGCACGACGCCCTTCACCACCACCCACAGGTCTTCCTTCTTGTTGTGCTTGGCGATCTCCTCCAGTGTGTATTCCTTCTCCGGGATCGAGAAGGGAGCCGGCTTGGAGGATGCCTTTGCTGAGTCGGAAGCTGCCGCGCTGGGGAGGGGACCTGATGTCGTTTGCTGGGCTGGTTGCGAGACAGGTCCCGTTGCGGCACCTTGGCTCCCCCACTCGACAGAGACCTTGCCTGGCTGTGATGGATCGATGTGCAGAGAGATCTGGCCGAGACGTTGTGCAGCTGAACCAGCGCTGCCTTGAAGTGCTTTCTGGAACAGGTAATTGCTAGCCGTGTCACCAGCAACACGTCCGTAAACCACGCAACCAAGGAGAGAGGAGCCACCGAGACGGTTAGCACCGTGAACACCTCCTGCAAGTTCACCACAAGCGTACAGACCCTCGAATGGCTTGCCTTCCGAGTTGAGAATTTGTGCCTTGTCATTGATCTCGATACCGCCCATGGTGAAGTGGAGAACAGGCTCCATGAGGGCAACGTGGAAATCATCGTTGATATCGACTGGTCCATTGTGGAAGAACTTCTTGCCAAATGGATCCTTCTTCTTCCCGCTGGCGATCTCGTTATAGGTCTTGAAAGTGTTCTGGAGGTGTTCTGGTGTGCAGCCGATCTCCTTTGCGAGCTCCTTTCCAGTCATCTTCTTCATGAGACCACGGCCAGAGTAGTGACGAGTGTGGAAATCAAGCACTTTGGATGCCTTGGAGTTGAGAATGAGACGGATTGGGAATTTTCCCTTGTCCTTCTCCTTCCACATCTCACCGGAAACGTAATCTCGGTGGCCGAGTTCGTCACAGAAACGGTCGCCATCTGCGTTAAGGAGGAGACCACCTTCGCCACGAAGAGCCTCGGCTGCCAGGAACTTCCATTTCGAACCAGGATCCTTGGGGTCTACAAGACCCGTAGGGTGTACCTGAACCTTGTCCATATCGATACCATTGCCACCGATGGCCATGACCATTTTTTGTCCATCACCGGTCGCATGCACTCCGTTGGTAGATGAGAGGTGGAAGGTATCCGGCCTCCATTTCTTGAGAAGTGAGGTCTCGCTGAAATCGGCAGCGTATCCACCCGTGGCAAGAATCACGGGTCCATCAAGAGAGGCGGATTCCCCGTTGAACTCATATGTGACACCGGTAATCTTGTTACCATCTTTGTTGAGGCCTGTAACGCGGGCCTTCTTGAAGATTTGAACCCGCTCCGGCTCAGCCTCCGCAAGCTCTTCAAGCCGTTGCATCAGGGCGTATGTGATAGCCATGCCAGGGAACTTAGCATCGTGCCCTCGGTGGGTTCTCGGCTGCGAGTGACCACTGTTAGGATTGCGGTTAGCATGTGATAGGTAGTCGCAAGCACCAAAGAATACGTACCCAAGACGGGAAACGAGGGTCAAATCCAAATTGAAGACATCTTGAAGCCACTCAACGGCAGCGGCAGATTTGTAAGTCAAAACCTTGATCAAGTCCGGTCTGGCCTTATCTCTGGCAGATTTCAGGGTATCATCGTAGAACTGCTTGACGCTGTCTTGGATCTTGGCGTCGATTTGCGTTCGGGTGAGGGCTCCGTTGATTCCGGATGTCTATAGAGTGTGAGAATAGATCCTCTCCATCAGGGAGAACTGTTGACTTACGGCTTTGGTTGAGTTTCCTCCAAAAAATCCTGAAATGCACTGTTAGCAGCCGAACTCGCTGAGGTTCGGACCAAGAGGCTGGGAAATGCGGGGAAGCGAGGGAAGACGGGAGGGATTGAATCGCATGAAGACTGCTGTGTTTAATTGATAGACCATCGTACCTTGTTTATCCAAAACCGCCACGTTGCCACCATTGAGGTAGACGGTGTGCGCGGCACTCAAGCCGGCCACTGTTTTATCGTCGTAGTCAGCAATGAACTGATTGACGCTGGAGCAGGCATGGAGGGGAGCTTACATCCGCCACCAACGACAATGACTCTGGGTGCCATGTTGGTCGATATATGGGAAGCTTAGGAGGAGATATGGGAGAGCAACTGGAGAAAGGAGAGAGGGAGGGAGGGGAATGCAGATAGGATGGATGAAGAGTCGAGAGGAGGGTTTTGTAACCTCTGACTTGACGAGTCGATGGGTCGGTCCCGCTCCGGGGTTGTCGCTAAGGGATGCCGCGGTCCCATCGTAAGCGATTTCCACGAATGTCCGACAGTCGCCTGGTCATCAACGGCATTTTGGTTCGCCACGGCTACTGCAGGCGTGGAGCTTGTGCTGGCACGGACTGTGAGAGAGAGATGCCTTTGATGGATTTCTGGTTTCTTAATTATTTATCTGTTTATGTACTAATGATCGTTTCCTTCTCTTCTCCTATGTTTTTTTTTCTATTTTTTTTCTATTATATTTTATTTTATTTTCCATCTTGCCTTGACACGTTGTGTTCACCTGTGTACCTAGGTAATGTGTCGGCAACGGGATAGCAACAGCCGAGCCGTTGATAAACACACGTCAGCATGTGAGAAAAGGCCGCTTGCAAGCATGTGAAGAGGGCAAAAAGGCAAGGGATAATCCCCCACAACCCGCTAAGCCCCATACTCCGTAATCGAACCAGTTAGACTCGCAGCCACCGAATCCGGCAATTGTCGCCGACTCTTAGTAAGGATTCCAAGGGGCCGCCCCATCGGGTTAGCGTCCTTTAGTCGAACCACTTATCACATCTCGGCGACTCGCCGTCAGATGACCAGGCGCATCAGATGATCCCTATCTCACTCCGGTCAGAGGAGATGGACATTATTATTGAGAATTGACATGTGAACTTGGTGTCGAGAAGGTCAAATCTCACAAGCCCACGCGACTAAAGTGATTTTCTCGATTATAATCACGTGCTCCAAACTCCCGTGACTCGCTCTGCCTACCTAGCGACCTCGGAGTCCGGCCTGGCCACGATCGTCGTCGTTATCGTCATTATCGTCATTATCGAGCTTCAACCTACTGCGCCAATATCCACCAACCTTCAAAATGAGACTTATCTTCTACCCCGTGCTAACTGCTACTTTCGTGCTCACAACTCTGGCCCTGCAGCAACAACCCGTACTGGACAACAATCTTGGTCCTGTCATGCCTCCCTCCGAAGACTCACCAGCAACCTCGCAACCCGCAGACCCCGACACTGTGATCCTCTCCGACGTGCTCGGAAGTGATCGCAGTATCCATATATTCGCTGGCTTTACTCGAGATTTCGCGCAAATCAGCCAGCGCTTTGAGGACAGCTCTTTAAACACCACAATTCTCGCACCAGTTAACTCTGCCATTATGGCCCTGCCAAGAAAGCCGTGGGAGGACCCGGAGGACTACGATAAACTGGGAGGAGAAGCATACGAAGGAAAGGATGGTGAGGATAGAGCATCAAGGAATCTAAGGAGATTTGTCGAGGCACATGTTGTGCCCGCAAGCCCTTGGAAAGAGGGCGACAAACTGAAGACTTTGGCTGGCGGCGATATTTGGTGGGAAAGCAAGAACGGCGCGAAAATAGTAGGGTTTTCCTCCAACCTTGATGTTAAGGTCTAACGTCGTTTGCAGATACAGCCGGGCAATATCGAAGTCAGCAGCGTGAAAAGCAAGGTTCATAATGGAGAGGTTTGGGTGTTGAAGGGTGTTAGGAATTATGCATGATCGCCCCAGCGGCGGCTTCCCCCTCAGTCTTAAGGCATTAGATGGGCCAAAGTCTGGAGCTAGTGGGAGGGCACAATATGTGATATGGGCACGGAGTACTGGGGAGATATGATACTGGCGTTGATTTCTTGGATTTCAAATACATTCTCCATAGCTGGTGATGGATCCAGCAATATGCAGGCGATGCTAATGGCATGGCGGAGAGCGCGCAATTATAATGAACTTATTGTATGATCAGGTCAACAGGCTATGGATAGTATGTGCTATTCATGTTTTCCTGATTCTGCAACACATTTCCATCAACGCTGTTTCGACAGCAGGCAGGCTACCGCAGGCCTGTCTTGAAGCTTTTGATGTTTCATGCACTATTACCAAAAAAGGTACAAAGTAAATAGCGGCGGTGTACATTTTTGACTTGAATCGGATCTGGTGTTTCTGCTATGGAGGCGCCGAAGCATTCTCTCTGTTGTCTTGATCGTGATACCTTAAAAATGAGGACCTTCCACCGCCTCGCTATTCGGATAGCCTGATCAACGAGTTGAAATCCATGCGAATGTGACGTGCTGATGCCATGGTGAAAGCTTGCAAAACGAGAACAACAGTGTTCCTTGCTCAACTCTCATGGTTGACTGCTGCCACATCAAAGAATAAAAGCATCTAGCCAAGTATCAGCGTTTGTCATGATCAAAATCACTCGGCTTAATGGAATCAGAATCAACCTGCCAAAAACCCCATCCTAATGCGGTTAGTCATAGCCTCGCCGGCAAACCCCGTGCACTTTGATGACAAGCTCTCACTCTCCCCTTGAAAGATTCACCATCCTGCACACATTTCACATCCCCGCCATCGACAGCCTCCTTACATTCAATCCAGCGCCTCTCGCAGCCTCGACTCCTACTAGAGGTGACCTGAAGGTCAATTATGCGCACCTTTCAGTAAACTTTGTGTCGTTTGAAGGGTGCATCGCAACGAATGCTAAACGGCCTCCTGTGCATCGAAATTGCCCTCCTACGTCCAACACCTATAGAATCTTGAACAGTAACCCGCCGACCTCGATTCTCTGGCCAAGCTCCTATCTACCGCCTACATAGAGACAGGTGTCAGATACCCTCCGTTCATGGGACATCCAGTTTATGAACAATCAACCACACGGCCCTGCAGCCTTTGATCGAAAACGCGAACACATGGACGAACAGACAAGACAGCGCGTGTTGCAGCAGCAACAAGAAGAACTGGCGCAGCGTGAGCGGGAATACAATGAAAGACAGGAAAGAGACCGGCAGCAGAGAGAACAATATGGCCCAGCTCCCCCCCATCAGAACAACACTGGTTCGATTCCGATACACCAGCCTGTAGCGTCACGTCTACCTGGTGCCATCCATAGCCCTGGCGGCCTTCTAGCAAACCACGGCGGTGCCCCTCCTTCTGGAGCCCTGGGCGCTCCAAGTGGTCCGGGCAACGCCTTCGGTGGTCCTCTACACAGTGATGCAAACCGCTCAGTCCAACACAACCCGCAACCTGCTGCTGCCCAGCTCCAACAGCATCAGGCATTTGGCCAAAGCCTACTTGGGCATAATAGCGCGTCTTCCAACGTCCCACTTGGCGTGCCTGGCGGACCTGTGGTTGCCTTTGGTGGCCCATTACAGCAGCAGCAACAGCAACAGCAGCAGCAGCAAGAAGCAGCTTCAAGACTGCAACAGATCCCATTCGGTCAACCTGTTACTCCTGCACATCAAATTCCTGGTGCGCCTGCGCTAGGACAAGGCGGACAACAACCTATCCTGAATGTGAGTACAAAGTGATGCGGCTAAGCAAGGCCAGTGTTATGGTACTAACCCTGTGAGCAGGATGCTCTAAGCTATCTTGATCAGGTCAAGGTTCAATTTGCCGACCAGCCAGATGTATACAATCGTTTCTTGGACATCATGAAAGACTTTAAAAGTCAGGCGTAAGTTCGACACTTCATTCGCCCCTTCCAGTAGGAGACACTTAGAGCTGACTTTTGATAGCATTGACACCCCGGGCGTTATCAACCGCGTCTCTGAACTTTTTGCTGGGCACCCAAACCTAATTCAGGGGTTCAACACGTTCCTGCCTCCTGGATATCGTATCGAGTGCGGAACAGGGAATGATCCGAACACAATTAGAGTGACGACCCCAATGGGCACAACTGTACAATCGATAACTGGAGCTGGCCGTCCACCTCTCCCGGACAATTCGATTGGACAAGGTGGTGCAAACAATGCATATTATGCTGGACAACGCCCTGGGAATTGGCAACAACAACCACAACATAACATTGAAAGTCCCGAAGGAGTATTCAGCCCCCAGAACCAAAGTGGAGGGCCGGCGTTCAACCAAAATCAGACACATTCTAGTTACGAGGCACAACAAGCAGCCGCTGCTGCTCATCAACAGCAGCAAAGAGGTGTTTCACAATTGACGAGCGCCGTGGCAACCACTCTGGGACATCCTCCTCGGAATGCACAAACACCTACGCCCGGTGGTCAATCGAATATGAACGGTGCTGGAGCACAGCCAGGTCTCGAGAAAAGAGGCCCCGTCGAGTTCAACCACGCAATCAGCTACGTAAACAAGATAAAGGTGAGAGAACAATGGCCAGATGCACAAGACTAAGCTAACTGGTTTTCCTCGATAGAATCGCTTCCAAGATCGACCGGAGATCTATAAACAGTTCCTCGAGATCCTCCAAACATACCAACGGGAATCGAAGCCGATCCAGGACGTCTATGCTCAGGTCACTTTTCTTTTCAACACCGCTCCTGACCTCCTTGAGGATTTCAAGCAGTTCCTACCCGAATCTGCCGCTCAAGCAAAAGCTGCTGCAGCTGCCAAAGCTGCCGAAGAAGTGGCAGCACTGGCAAATAACACACAAACTCCGCAAGCTTCTCACGGACCTCGTGGAGAGACCAAGATGCCTCCTGTAGGTAACTTTGCAGTTCCTGCCAGCACGAGCAAGGAAAACAAGAAGCGACCGCGTAACGCCACGTCGACTCCATCGGGGCCGCAACCTAATACAGTTGGCGAAAGTTCTGCTAGGAACATGGTGCCTGTTGGAAAGGTGCGTACGAATGAAACTTCCAGTAGCCGTAGCCCCGTGACCCCTTGCCTCTCGATCTCTGAGAGAGCATATAATTTCAAAGAGTTTCGCTTTATATTGACATCTTTCGGAGCCGTAACGCTAATGACATGACTACAACAGAGACCAAAACTTCATCATAACAAGCCAATTACATCAGATGCGCCTGCAGTGTCGCCAACTTTGACTCCTGTCATGCCCGAGCCACTCCCGCCAACGACTACGTCGGCTGCATCATCCGAAGAGCTGGCATTCTTCGATCGTGTGAAGAAGTACATTGCGAACAAGTCCACGATGAACGAATTCCTGAAACTCTGTAACTTGTTTTCTCAGGATTTGATTGATCGTAATGTGCTTGTGCACAAAGTCAGCAATTTCATCGGCGGTAACCCAGATTTGATGAATTGGTTCAAGGCGTTTGTCAATTACGAAGGCGACGACGAAGTAATCGACAATCGACCAAAAGCACCAACTGGTAAAGTTGCATTGAGCAATTGCCGTGGACTGGGACCAAGCTATCGTCTTCTTCCAAAACGGGTGAGTTAAAATTGAATTTCTTTTATGGTCTGTTCTATTGTCCCATTTACTATTGTTCCCAAAATCGGTGGTTTCCCTCTTTAGCGAGAACGTCAATAGGAGGCGAGATCACAAACAATAGGAGCCATGTCAGTCAGCGTGGGAAGACAGCACAATTGGAAGTTTCCGTGTGGGATCCAAGCGCTTTTATAATATTGACAGAAGCTCTCGCCCGCTTCCCTTCTCTTCTTCTATCCCCAGATTTATTCTCCACCTCTCCACTTCTTTTGACACAGAATCAATCAATCGACAATGCAATCCCAATCTGAACTCGAGCCTGCGAACTTCGCAGAGATTGCGGAGGGACAGGACTCAGATATTGGGCTCCAAAATTATGTTTCCCTTCCGCACACCGTGTGCCTGAAGCGCAAGCGCAATACCAAGACGGGAGCGGCGTCTGACCCCAAGAAGCAAAAGACGAAGAAGCAGATGAAAGCTGCAATCGATAATTGTGCAGTGGCTAACAGGCAGCAGGAGCGCTTGAAACCGTGCAGCGGACGAGATGAAATGTGCCAGTCTGTGCTCAATGATGACTGGGCCTCGCATCCTACCTGGGCATCGGAGGATTCCGGCTTTGTCGCCCATCGAAAGAACATCTTCGAAGAGAGCCTTCACAGAATTGAAGAGGAGCGGCATGATTACGATTTCAACATCGAGGCCAACTCAAAGGTCATTCAACTTCTCGAGCCGATCGGGCAATCCCTCTTGGCAATGGATCCCATAGAGAGAGAAAACTTCCGCATGCCGACCGCACTTGGTGGCCAAAGCCAATCCATCTACAAGCGCGTGCTGAAGAAAATCTACGGACCGGATCGAGGACCTGAAGTTGCTGCGGATTTGTTCAAGGACCCTTGCTCTGTGCTTCCAATTGTGCTGGCACGTTTGAAGCAGAAGGATGAAGAGTGGCGTTTTACACAGGTAAGCTTCCTCGATTCCATTCAGTTTTGCAGATGGAGCTGACTGGCAATGAAGCGCGAATGGGAGAAGGTCTGGAACGCACAGACTCAGGCAATGTACTTGAAGAGTCTTGATCACATGGGTATCCACGTCAAGTCATCTGACAAGAAAAACTTTGCCATGAAACATCTTATTGATGCAATCAAGACTAAGCATGAAGAGCAAAGACGCCAGCGCAGCATCAAGGGAAGGGGCCCAAGACATCAGTTTGCCTATGAATTTACCGATCAAGGGGTCATTGCAGATGTTCTCCGCTTCATGGTTCTCTATGTCACCCATTCAAGCCAGCACAACAGCGCTGAGAGACGTCGCATCTGTGAATTTTTCGAAAAATTCATCCCTACCTTCTTCGACATCTCAGATGAACTTGTGACGGACCGCACTGGAGATATTGATCGCGGAACTCCAGATGATGACTTTGATGATGCTGCGCCCACTGAGCTACCAAATGGCCGAGGTCGACGACCAGGAAATGGAAAGAAGACTGATCTGCGCCGCGGTGTCCTTGACAGAGCTCGAAATGGTACCCGGGGTCGTGGCCACAAGGAAGGTAGTGCTAGTGGAAGCAAGGAGTCTACCCCAGACGTTGATTCGGTGGTCGAAGATGATGCTGGTGAAGCTGCCGAGGATCAGGCTGTTACGGAAGTCACCAATGAGCGCTGGCTGGCGGTACCCGGTGCAGCCGCTATTCATGGGACAAAGCCTCTCGACTCGGAAGACCTCGAATTGAGGGCTGATCAGCCTTTCAAACGCAGATGGTACAGCCTCTACAGCAATTCCACAATCTACGTCTTCTTCAGCATTTTCCAAACACTTTATCGTCGTCTTAAGGAGGTCAAGGAAAGCGAGAGCGACGCCATCGCAGACGCCAACCGTGCCAAAAGTGCCAAGCCTGCCAAGGTAATTGGCCTCCTGGATGAGAAGACTGACTATTTCCTTGCTGACGATAGCGAGGAGACCTACTATTCAAAAACCTTGGCTATAGTCGAAGATTTCATCACGGGTGACCTTGAAGAAGCAAAATATCAAGACTACCTTCGGCATGTCTACTTGAAGAAAGGCTGGCAGCTCTACACTATCACAGACCTTCTCAAGTCCCTTTGCAGGCAGGGTGTCGCTTGCTCTTCAAATGATGTCAAGGAGAAGACTCCAGATCTCCTCGAACAATTTTATCACGACAGAGAATCAAAAGAAACATCATTCAATACAGAGATAAACTTGCGCAAGCAAGCCGACAAATACATCAAAGAGGGCGAGTTATTCTTGATTCGTTGGGTATGTATTCTTCCTTGCCCTCTGCCCTGCATCATACTAACACTTTCGTAAGATTCCAAGCAAAGCACAAGCGACAGTTCAATGGCTGCAGAAGGATGAGACAACCTTTGACCTCGATGACATGGAACTCAAGGATCGCTGGCAATACTACGTCTCCTCTTTCGCCCGCGTAGAACCCACCGAAGGCGTCCCCCGAGACCGTGTAGGCCGTTCCGTCCTGGTGCGCAACGTTGGCTCTCCTGATGCCGTATCAGAAGACGGCTTAAACATACCAAAACCTCTCGTCTATCTCGAAGACCTGACTCTCCGCATTTGTGTGAACAGCTACAAGATGGTCTACAAACAGCCCGGCTCCGAGTACTATATCTACTCGAACAACCCTCTTACTTGGGATACCGAGAAGAATGCTTCCGCTGCTAGGGTCCGCTTGCAGAAATTCGAGGATGCTCGAAATGAGAAGTTCCGAGAGATCTTTCACATGAACAACAGTTGGATGAAGGGCTTGGATCATGATCAAGTCCAGAAGATGACTCTGGATTGCAAGAAGTGGATTGATGAGGGCATTCTTCCTCCTTCGGCCAATGGTTCGACCGATCAGGCTTCTCAGTAAGAATGGGAACAGGGTGGCCATAATTATGAATCGTGGCTTTTTTTTCTTTCTATGTTTCTGCTTTTTTACTTTACTACATTACTGGCCTTGACGGATGGGCTTGCCGAGGTCAGACCACTGGCGTTTGAGCAGGGCAGTGGCAACGAAAGGGGCTTATTTTCACGTTTGCATTACACGGTTCATTTTTCGCTTGTAATATAGAACAATGCACCATGGTTTCTGCACGAACAACACCCTCTGTGCTCTTTGAGAGCTGGTGACTTTGAACATAGTGACGGTGCTCGTACGCAGCAAACCGTTTAAGATGTTGTATTACCTCGAGTAGAAGTATAGTAAAAAAGACGAACAGTCTCGAGAAATCATGCTTTAGGTATATTATTGATTAGAAAGCAACGCCATTCATATACATGCCATGCCATCTTCTTTCAAAGAGGCTCCGACTACAGAGAATAGGTACATAGATAGCTAAACGCCAGACCCATCCATCCATCCATCCATCCATCCATCCATCCATGCTTTTTGCAGGTATATATATATCCATCTGACCTATTTTCCCACCAAACCGGCACCCACTCAACCGAACCAGACCAAGTAAAGATACACGGCGAACACGATCCAGGCGACGCGCCAGACGCTCGTCCAGATCTCTCTCCAGACCAGGCCTAGAACACTGCCTCTCCTGCTCTTGCCTGTCGAGTCATCCGCGCTGCTGCTGCTGCTCCTGTCGTCGGCCGGATCGAAGTTGTAATTCAGGTTTGGGTTCGGAGTGGGCGGGGATGGGGTGTGGAAACGCACGTGGCTGGAGGGGATCCCGTAGCCTTTGGCGGGGCTGATGCTCCGGGTGCTGCTGCTGCGAGCGGCGGAGGAGCGGGGCGCGAGGCTGGTCAGGTTGGTGTTGGAGGAGGTGGAGGAGGTGGAGGAGTTGGAGGAATGATGATCGCGGTTGTCGAGGTCGTAGTCCTCACGACGCTTGAAGTTCTTGTTGGAGGTGGGGAGGAGAGAGGAGTCATTGTTGTTGTTGTTGGACGGGGCCGGGGAGGAGAAGGGTTGGAGGTTGAGGATGGGCGTCAGGATGGCGCGGAGAATTAGTGAGATGAGGCTTATGCCGAGGAAGATCCCGTAGCGGATGAAGATGCTGAGTTGGTCGGGCAGGAGGCAAAGATGGCTCTCGATCGTCGAGGAGCCTACGGCGGCCCCTGTCCCGTGCCCGGTATGCATGGAGTGGAGAGGCTCCCCGTCTGGGCCGACGGGATTCCACATGCTGAGCATGAGGAAACCGGGTTTTCGAATACCCATGGCCCAGCTCATACTCTTGACGGTTATTTCCCGGGCGTTGTTCTTCTCTGGAGGGTGGACGATCTCACAGTAATCGTGGTCGTCGCCTGAGAAGACGGACACCACGTTACCGACCGTGGAGACGAGTCTGTTGGAATCCGCGTCGCTGAGGACATTTTGATATTGGTACCCTTTTGCAATCGGGATTGCGTTTCTATCGTCGGGGTTCACCGGTGACGATTGACCCTTTGGTGGTGTCGAGGGCGGCCAGTGTTCTCGATGGGGCCCACACGGAGTCCCTGGGCTTCGGTAGAGTGGGACGTGGGTAAGGAGAATAGTTGGGAATTCAGCAGACTGAGGCCCAGGATCGAGTGTGGGTAGATGCGCAAAGTCAACTTTCTCGAGATCCTCCGCAACATGAGGGTATTGCAGAACTCTCTCGTTCCCAGCTTGGAAGCTCAATTCACGAGCCACAGCTTTCCGCTTTGCAACCTGAACTCCTGATAAGAAGTCTTCTACAGGCTTCGTGATTTCTTCTGTCCCATGCTCTGATGACCCAGCACTTAATGATACTGTATCGACCGAGACAAATGTGTGGTTCCCAATAACATCCACCCTATTTCCTTCCCCAAAGTATGTTTCGAACCTGTTCCGTACAGGGACTTTTATAAATTCCCCGAATCCCAGATCGTGGTTCCCTGGAAGACTCGAGATTATTTTCCTCCCTCGCTGAAAAGGACCTGCTTCATATCCACCTAGGCCCCAAAATTTGTAGAATATCCGACCGAACCTGTCGTACTCTTGCAGCCAGAAATCCTCCCCGTACCTCTTGCCCCAGGTTTCAGCATACGCCTGCTCCCCCGACGGCCGCATGCCATTTGCCCAGGCCGGATCTATCGTATTCCCATGTGCCGTTTTCCATTCTCTGCCCCCATCAAAGAGGTCGCCTAGGAAGAACAGCGTATCGGGGCGTAGGCCCTTCTGGAGCTGGATATAGGAGCGCTTCATGTAATTGTCCGTGTGCAAAACGGTGAGGGTGGAGAGAGGCCACGGTCGGCCAGGATAAGTATGCGGATCGGTGAGCTGGGGGTCAGCCAGGAATACCAAATGGTGCGGCGTTGCTCCTGTGGGCTATCAAAACGTCAGTATTTGCAGGCCTCACTTCGTCCAAGCTGCCTTACCCATCTTTCCCATTTCCCCCATTCACAATCCTCAATGCTTCTCTGGAACACCCATCTCTCGCCCCACAACAGTAGCAGAACCCAGAGAACCACGAAGATATGCGGCAGACTTAGCAGCCTCCGCAGATTCCAATTCCCCTGTATGTGACGCAAAGACTTGGGGGGCCTCCAGGAATTCGTCGCGACGGGATTGTAACTCTGCCGATCCCACAATCTCTGCATTTGGGCCGCGAGTCCGCTGGGTAATCCAGCTATAAGGCGCTCGAGTATAGATGGTGGCTCGACAAAGTGATCACGCGTTGAGCGCGGGAAGAGGGGCGTCATGTCGCTGCTCGCCGCCCATCGCTCGGCCAAAGCCCTGGAGGATTGTGGTGTCTGCGCAATGTGCTGAAGGCTCTATTAATACAGGCGCCGGGTATAGGAGAGCATCGAAGGCAATTGAATGCTCACATATGCCAGTATGCCTTTCTTGGTGTTGCTGATGTTCTGAAGTTCTTCATTTGCGGCCGAGGCCAATCACACTACGTTGCAGACTGCACGCGAACAGCGCGCCCCTGACCCAGGCGAGAGAAGATGACATGGGGTCTCCAATGTACATTTAAAATAGATTATATATCGATATCAAAAATGTAATCATATACCATTTCATATCACAAATAACGAATAACGAATAGAATTCCATGGCCTGGCGACACTTTGGACCGTTGGAACTTGGATCCATTCCTTATCTCGTTCTAGAGTGGGACCCCCCAGCAAAACCAAGGGGTCATTTAATCAATAAGATACACAGTTCAACTCTCCAATTTATCCCAGCTAGACTCTAGACCGATCTATAACAGTATAAATACTTTGTAGGAAAGGCCACGACCAAAAGCGACGGATGATGCAATATTGAGCTCCAACTCACCACCAGAGCGAAAAGGAGGTAGGTGGCCGAGTTCGTATACAATGAGACGACACCATGAGATCGGAGACAGAATTATACTTATATACAGAACATTCCAGAAAAAAGAAGGCTAGAAGTAAACACATGCAAATCGGCCATTTCCAGGTAAAGCACCTTTAATCCAATGTCTCAGTAACGAATAAGCCCTGGATCCGCGCATACAGAGGGGGAAATAGTGGCATGAGGTATGTAGATAGATGTACGAGATCTTGAAAGAAAGCAACTGAACCGAAGTTGGACGGGAACTAGAGAGGAGTGGTAGTAGAAGAGTTTCTGTTGGCAGGGAAATTTTACCTCCTTTTGTAAAAAAGTGCAGGTTCGGCAGCTTGTGCATCAGAATAGAAAATACTCCTTAACTATATAAGCTCAGGCGGAGGAGGTCTGCTTTGGGATGATATTCAAGATATACTTTGAAAGCAACGACTGGTGGGCTTATTATTATTCAGTTATAGCGAGAGCGATGGGATATACCCTGTCATTTGACGAGGGGATCTCTTCTTTGCCATTATGAATACCATACTCACAAGGCAATTCCGGTGTCGAGGAAAGATGAAAGATTCAAGGTGGTGAAATGCGGTTAGGCGCCCGCTATGACTGGACGGATGGACTGGACGGATCATGCAGGTCTCTATTACCGAGAGACAAAAGGGATGAAAGTCCTTAAAACGACTTCATATTGACTATGATATGGTAGGAGGGATCACTCCGCAAAAAGGTAGGAAATGGGCCTTGGGGTCGCCCTTATGGAAGAGCTACGATACCATGATGGAGGAGAAGAGGAGAGACGGATTGTCAAGCATCCTCCGTAAGCTGTGAAAGAATGATAGGTTTGTATACTTCAGATCCAGACTCTTCTGGGACTTTTCGAGATGGAGACTCGAGAGGGGAGGGACTGATATGATATTGGAGACTAGGATGCAATCGCTCGCTTCGCTCGCGTGGGTGTAATGCTTAGACACGTGACCCGAAAATATGTGATTAGTAAGCTACCTATAGAACAATTAAGGCTCTTATTACCCGTAGACGACAATAGTAACGGCACGTAATATTAAAATCACTACTTATAGATAGAGTACTCCTATTAGCTGTAAGGGGCTTAATTAATCTCTTTGTTACCGTTAAAGGAGACAATAGTAGTAGTTAGCTATATAGAAACTCGATCTTAACGATCCTTTATCTTACTTACTACTAACTCTAACTCTAACTTTAACTTTAACTATAACTTTAACTATAACTTTAACTATAACTATAACACTAAAGACAAAGTTAGTATACAGCCTTACTTACGGCCTGTTATTTCTAACCTTATAGACTGTTTCTAGATAGATAGATTTAAGAAGGACTTTCTTACGCCTACTAAGGGTACTATAATTCGTAGAGGCTTATAGTAAGTTAACCCTTAGATCTAGGGAGTAAGGAGACTAACGGATCTAACAGGCTACTAACCTCCCTTACCTATAATAGTAACCCCTTTACTAGTACGTAAGTAACTACTTACCTCTAGCTATAATAGACTACTGTATACGTAGCTAACGGCCTGTTAATAGTTAGGCTAGCTCGGTCCCTAGCTCTCCCTCTTGTAGCTTTAAAGCCGTATTCCTAGCTAGCGTTACAGCCCTTGTCGCCTTATAAGTTAGCTAAAGGCCCTAAATACAGAGCGTATAATAATACTAACCTGTCTGTTAAGGCTATCGCCCTTACTATTACTACCCTTACTATAGCTACTACTACTACTACCCTTACTGCCGCTACCTCTACTACCCTATAAGTTAGCTAAAGACCTTAAATACAGAGCGTATAGTAATACTAACCTGTCTATTAGGGCTATTGTCCTCCCTTCTCTCTCTCTAAACACTACTTACGCTATAACAGCCCTCGCTACTATAGTACTATAGCGGCCGGCGACTCTCTGTCCGGGCTATAACCTACTAAACTAAAACTAGGCTAGTAACCTAAAGGTAGAGCTTGCCTATATCGTAGGTTAGGTAAACCTTTTAGGCTATAGCTATTATTAAAATAGCGCTAGCTTATAGATAGAGTGTATTATAGTACTTAGACAGCTAAGTTAGAGCTATATAAATTACTACTATAGTAGTAAGAAGATCTATTACTCCTTTTATAAGTTAACTTAATAGGGTAGATTTAGGGTATACTATAACTAACAGGCTATAGGCTAGACTTCTATACTAGTACTGTCTACCGCCCTTATATCTACTATTAACACTATATTTACGGCCGCGCCTATACTTCTTAGCCTGCCTATTATACTACCTGTCTTACTAGTATAGGCCTTAAGAGCTGTACTTATAGCCCTAGTAGCCCTAGCCCTGGCCTTAGCCTCTTACTCCCCTTATTACTATAAGTACACTACTCTTATTATATATAGATAGAAAACTTACTATATGTAGTAGCCCTCTCTACTATCGCCTTAGGCACTAATAGTAACGCCTTATAATATCCTAATTATAAGTCTATAACTAACTATTAATAGCTACTACCCTCTTACTAGCCCTAGCCCTAGTATACGTGCCTACTACCTACTCTACTACTTGCCTTACTACCTGCCCTTGTCCTTACCCTAGCCCTAGCCCTTACGGCCCTGTTTCTACTGTCCTTATCGTTAGCGCTATAAGAGCGCTACTTACGCCTTATACCTACTTTGCCTAACTTCTTAATAAAGCCCGGACCCTTAGGTAGGCTAAGATCACTAGCCGCTAGGCCGAAATCTAGCTTAAGCTTACTACCCTAGCCTAAGCTAAGGTAAAGGATAAGAATAAGAATAATAATAACAAAGAGAAAGAGTAGAGGTATAGTTTATAGACTACTAAGTCCTATAAAGAGCGCCCTTATAAGGGTTGTATAATAGAACTAGAATAATTATACTAAAGTATATACCTAAAACCTCTCTAACACTTATAAATAGTAAAAACAGACTATAAACTATAGATATAATACTTATAAAAGAATAATATATAGTATATAACATAAATAGTATTATAAAAATAGATAATACTATAGGTATATAGCTAATACTATACGCTGTTAAACTATAAAGGATTACTTTATTAGATTAATATCTTATAATACCTTTAGGTAGACGATATTAGTAGTAGTACTTACCCTCTCTAGTAAAAGAACAGACAGGCCTACTATAGACGTAACCTAGGAGACAGCTATATAGAACTAACTGTCACAGGTTAGAACCTGGTAAGGGGTTAGTGCTAAGCACGTGACTAACCGGACTATCGTTGCCCTGCCCTAACAGTAGAGTTTTCTCTTACCTCTTGCCTTATACAAACCCTTTTCTTTCTTTTCTCTTTAGAGTATTCTCTTTATAGAATAAATCGACTTTACTTAAGTATTGTATTGTTAACCCTTAACATTAGAATACTCTTAACCCTTTTTATCTAATTAGAGCTTCTTGTAGCTTTATTATACAAGAGTATAAGATAGAGTAAGACTACCTAATAATAAGTTTTTAAACCCCTTTTATTAGCTTGTCTAGAGGTTAGGATAACTAAGAGTAGTCGTCTACTAAACTAGGGTAAGGAGAACAACTAGAGTATAAAGTAAAGTAGTTAAGGTAAGTAGTATAATAGCTCTAAAATGTCAGGGGCCGACAACACGATACTTAGGTAAATGTCGGTCTTATTCTATAAGGAGAATACTCTAAAGAAGAAAGAAAGGAGAGGGTTTGTATAAGGTAAGGGGCAGGAGAAAACTCTACTATTAGGGTAGGGTAACGATAGTCCGGTTAGTTACGTACTTAGTACTAACCCTTTACTAGGTTCTAACCTGTAACATTACCCCTCCCCTTCTCTTCTTACGCTAACGCCTAATCCTATAACCCGTACTTTGTATAAGGGCCCTAATTAGCTCTTCTTAGCAAGTAATCCGGACAATCTCTACACTACTACAAATTAATTCCTTTCCCTTTTTATACCTAACCTTAACAACCTAATCTACCGCTCTTACCGCTACCCTCTTTACACTATACGATCGTACTATAATCTATTAATTAAGCTACTACTAAGCGTTCTAAAGTAGCTGCCCCTTAACGATTAGTAAGTTAAGCTCCTTTCTAAGCTTGTATAGCGCTAACTTAGCCGCTAGCCTACTACTAAGCGTCCTAAAGTAGCTGTCTCTAACGATTAGTAAGTTAAGCTCTTCCTTAGTACGAACTTGTATAGCGCTAATATAGGCGCTAGCCTATTACTAAGCCTTTTTTTTTTTGTATATATAGTAAAAATAGCTGTCCTAAACCTATAGAACGCGTATAACGCTACCTTACCTTTAGCTAGCCCTTACTAACACGTATATAGCCTTGTTTATACGGTCGACAATACTATTACGTAGTTAAACGCCCTTACTACCTAGTAGTACCTAATCTTATATATTACCTCTCTTTACGTCTTTACGTAACTTATCTATATAGACAAGTAGTATTAAGCCTTAGCCTTTTTAAGGCGTAACGTACCTTTTTACCTTAGCTATATTACTTTAGTATAAGTATAGACGTATTGTCTATCTTATAC